TTAGGAGGATCCTCTATCAAGCAAATATGCACTGACGTGGTTTCGTCTCTGTCTTTCGAAGCACAACCTGCTAAAGCGCCAGAATCTCAAGCTCAAGCCGTGCCGCTTCCGAGCTCTCGCGACTGGAACAAGCCCTCCACAGAGACCAATTCCTCTGATGACACTTCGAGTTCATCTAAATCTTCAGACCTGACGCCGCAGCCAGGTTCTTATGCAGCGAGTCGACTTAGCTCGGCCTCCCCGGACATTACCTTGGATGCTGTGGAGGGGAAGTCCTCTCGCCCAATTCCGTTCCGCACAGAGTCATTGTCACTGGGCCAATCACGCCTCTACTTCTTGTCTCAGTACTTGGATGATAACATTACATTGAACTGTACAGCATCTTATGCGCTCTCGGGCAAACTTGATGTGTCCAAGTTCGAAAAGTCCATACTGGCCGTGATTCAAAGTCACGAAATGCTCCGAACCACATTCTACCTCGACGAACAAGATGCAAAACCAGTGCAGGGTATAATTGAGAAATCACCATTCAAGATGACGATAATCTCCGGCAATAGTGACATGGAATATGTCAAGTCAGAGTTGGACCGAACCCGGAACTATCAATACAACTTGGAGATGGGTGATACGTTCATCGCCACACTCTTGTCACACAGTGCCGATTCCCATACCGTCATATTTGGGTACCACCATATCATCATGGATGGTGTCAGTTGGCAGATATTTCAGCAAGATTTGGCGAAATTTTACAACCATCCGAGCTTAATATCATCTCCCAAATCTCTGCCAGCGCAATATGTTGACTTCACCGTCAAGCAGCAAAGAGACATAGCCGGCGGAGCATATGCCCACAGACTCAAATTTTTCCAAGACTGCTTTCGGGAGCCGGTTAGCCCATTGCCACTCTTCCCCTTTGCCAAAGTCAGCACGCGCAGGTCCTTGACGCGGCATGCGGTTCGAGACGTTGCCTTGCACATAAATCCAGAGACACTAAACGCAGTAAAGAAGGCAAGCCAGGCTTCTCGGGCCACCTCGTTTCACTTCTTTCTTTCAGCGTTCCAAGTTCTGCTTCACCGACTGCTGAGCACTGAGCAAATGTGCATAGGCGTGGTGGATGCCAACCGTTCAGAACAGGCCTTTAGCGGCACTATTGGCTTCTTTCTGGAGACCATACCGGTGCTGTTTCAAGTGGATGGAGACCAAAGGTTCAGCAATGTGCTCCAGACTACCCGATCCAAAGCATATGCTGCACTCGCACAGACTGGCGTCCCGACTGAGGAGATTCTGCGAGCGTGCAATATCCCGGCGTCGACGACTGAGACGCCGCTGTTCCAGGTTGTATTCAACTATCGCATGGGAGCAAGTCGGACGTCACAGATGCAGGGCTTAGACATGAAATTTTCGCACTACACTGACGCGAAGAGCCCTTTCGATGTTGTAGTATCCGTTGATGAGCTGAACGACGGCACAGCGATGGTTACTTTCTCCCTACAGGATTACTTGTATGATGAGGAGGGTGCAGAATTGCTTGCTAAAACGTATAAACATTTGCTCGAGGCGCTTGCCAACGATCCTCATCGCCCGGTTGGGAGTATTCCCGTGTTTGACACGACGTTGATTGAGCAGGCTGTCGCTCTAGGTACCGGACCCAAGATAGAACTTGCACCATCTTCAGCTGGCACACTCTCGAAGATGATCAATACCTGGACAAGCAAAGATCCTAATTCCCTTGCCGTCAAGGATGTCAACGGAAACACAAAAACGTATTTCCAACTCTCAGAAAGAGCCAACGGCATTTCAGCAGAGTTGATAAGTGACGAAACAGTATCCCTGTCGCCCATCTGCGTGCTGCTGGAGCCAGGTACAGATACCATTGCCACTATTCTTGGGATTCTTCGTGCGGGCGCCGCATATGTGCCTCTAGATGTCCGCAGTACGAATGAAAGACTAAGTGATATACTGGAAGAATCCGGCTCGACAATCTTGCTGCATCATAGGGCGACTGAACAACGCGCAGGTGAGCTTCAGAGACTCTCGAAAAACTCTCAGAGAATCAGACTGTTTAGTATCGACTCAATCCCTCAAAACACCACGGAAAGAGTTGAAGATTTATCCACTACTGACGGCCTGGCAATGATCTTGTACACCAGCGGCTCGACAGGCAAGCCGAAAGGCATCCCGCTAACCAATGACAACATCCGGACCACTATCCTCGGTGTCTCCAAGAGAGTCCCTCTAGGCCGAGAAGTAGTGCTCCAGCAAAGCGGACAAGGCTTCGATGCGGCTATATTCCAGATCTTTATTGCGCTTGCCAATGGCGGGACGGTGATCATGGGTGATAACCGGGCTGAGCCAGCAGAGTTGGCGGCCCTAATGGCGCGCGAAGGTGTCACTTGCAGTGTATTCATTGTCTCAGAGATGCAATCTATGTTGAAGTATGGATACGATGAGCTCCGTACGTGCTCTTCATGGCGCATTGCCATGGTCGCTGGGGAGGTGTTCACGATAAACCTCCTGGACCAATTCCGCAACCTCAACCGGCCTGATTTGAGGATCATCAATGCATACGGCCCCACGGAGGCATCTATATGCTCTTCCATGCATGAAGTATTGCCTAGCGACATTCGCACGGACTACTCCAGTATTCCAATCGGGAAGCCTATTGCTAATTACGGAACTTACATCGTTGACGAGGAGTGCAGACCCGTTCCTATCGGGTGGCCAGGCGAAATCGCCATTAGCGGACCAGGGGTCGCCGATGGATATCTGCATCTGCCGCAACTTACAGAAAGAAAATTTAAACGTCGAGCCTTTCACAAGCAGACCTCGGGATATGACAGACTATATCTCACAGGCGACAAAGGCCGAATGCTCTGCGACGGCTCCATTGTCATGTCCGGACGCGTGGATGGAGACGACCAAGTCAAAATCAGAGGCATGCGCGTCCAGCTTGACGATGTCTCTCGCGTCCTTGTTCAAGCATCCGGTGGTAATCTTGTGGATGCAGCTGTTTTACTCCAAGGAAATGACGCCACAACCCAGCGACTGATCGCGTACGTCGTTTTCTCGGGGACCAGCCATATCGACGATAAGCCAACTTATTTGCATAAACTTAACCAGGAGCTTCCGATACCACCATACATGCGTCCAGTAATGACTATACCTTTGGACATTCTTCCCGTAACAGAACGGGGTAAGTTGGATAGCCGCAAGTTGGCAGCTTTGCCTTTGCCCGAGGTTTCTCCCAATACCTGCCATCAGATGACAGAGTATGAGGCGCGGTTGCGAGATGTTTGGACAACTGTCTTGGGTGACATCTCCTTATCTGTGCCCATACAACGCGACTCCGACTTCTTCTCCGTTGGCGGTAATTCGTTGCTGCTACTACGCCTCAAGTCTGAAATTCGTCGAGTATTTGCCGTTGACATTCCCCTATCGGATCTGTTCCAGTACAGTACGCTTGAGCTGTTTGCCGCGCGACTCACCGGTAATTCACAGCTTGACCATATCAACTGGGATCGGGAAACCGAGCCGGATGACGCCATTTGCCAATCCACGCCTTCAGCCAAGACGCCCAGAGCCCCGTCTCACAAAACAGAGGGTATTTCTGTCCTTCTGACGGGATCAACGGGCTTCCTGGGAACTGCTATTTTACGTCAGCTGGTTACTCTTCCTCAGGTTGTCCGTGTCCACTGCGCAGCCATCCGTGATGATGGCCGGGATAAGCCTCGACAATTAGGAGTAGATTCGCCAAAGATTGTGCGTTACTCCGGCGACCTTGCACTCCCTCATTTAGGCCTGAGCCCAGAGCAAATGGCTCAGATATGCAATGACATCGACGTTATTATTCATAACGGAGCTGAAGTCTCGCACATGAAGAACTATCGCAGTTTACGCGCTGCCAATTTCCTGTCTACGATTGAGCTGGCCCACATGGCTGTACGCCTCAATATACCGATGCACTACGTCTCTACGGGTGGTGTTGCAAGGCTCAGCGGCGCTGCGGTACAGACGGAATCTTCCTTGGCAGCCTTCTACCCGCCAAGTGACGGATCAGACGGGTACGTAGCGTCCAAGTGGGCAAGTGAGGTGTTTCTTGAGAAGCTTCACAGTCGGATGCAAGGTCAAACGTGGATCCATCGGCCGAGCAGCATCACAGGGAACGATATGCCGACCCTGGACATAGTGCACAACTTGCTAAGGTTCTCTGCGTCAATGAAGGCCGTGCCTGACCTTGCGGGCTCCACGGGATCTTTTGATTTTATTCACGTCGATACTGTGTCAAAGAATATTGCCAACTGCGCAGTTTCAAGCACTGGGGGAGATGGGCGAGAACCTCCGAACCACCTGACCTTTGTACACCAGAGCGGCGAGGAGATTGTACCAGTGAATCAATTAAAGGAGCACATGGAAGCTGCAGAAGCTAGTCCGTTCAGAGTTCTGCCTTTGAGAGAGTGGGTTGTTGGAGCCATGGAGGAGGGTTTGGATGAGGTTGTCGGCTCATTCTTGTTAGGCTCTGGAGACAGGATCCGAGTACCGCTGCTACAACGTGGCGACTGCCCTTGATTTTTTTAGAGATTGTATTTTACGTATGCTGAGTTATAATACTAGTCTTGGTATTTGTCTTGTAAATTAAACACAAATTTTGTTGACAGCTTAATTCTAACCTCGCCGCTTGATACATCTTCGTCTCTGTACAACGGAGGAAGAATGGAGCCTCCTTTAAAACGGAGAGCACGGCCATGTTAAACTCTCGATAGTGACACATTTACAGCACAGAGACATCACAACAGGCGCAGCGAGTAAGTACTGGTCCCATCCAAGCTACGGTATCTTTAATACGCAGCATCTAAACTAGTCGATTCAAAAGTATCGTCTATTATGACAAACAACAGTCCACTTGACTCAACTTGCGTCGAAACCATTAGAAGGGAGTATTCTCCGTGTCTAGTGTGCGCGACCAGAGCCAGGGCCCATCTTGCAAACACTGTCTTTAGAGCTCAAACAAGCTGACCCCAGACAACTATTTCTTCAATCCTCGCACCCTCATTCTCAAGCTCCGCCTTCACCCGTCCCGGCAAGGCATCAAGTTGCTCAGCACTGAAGGAAGTTGACACGCTTCTCGCAACGGCCGTCAGTGGTGCCACGGGTCCTGTAATGCCATTGGCACTCCTAGCACGCATCTCCGGTTTCGCCAGCTTCCCAATGTCACACAGGATTCGCCTTTCCTGCACGTTCTTCAAGCCCGCCTCTTCAAGAATGTGCTTCATCTCATTCGCGAAGTTACCGACGCCAATGGCTGTCCAAACTTCCGAGGTCATCTTGGCGAAGTCAGTCATCGCGGGTCCCAGAGTCCCCTTTGGCGGCTGGAAGGCGTTCATTTCCATGAGCTGAACCCAGCCGCCGGGTTTTACCATGGAAATGAGGTTCTTCACAACCTCAATGGGTTTGCCCGGAGCAGAGCCGGCGAGACTACCTCGTATGTGCACGAGGTCCAGTGAGTTCAAGAGATGCTCTGGCCATGGGTCCTTGAAAGAATGCTTGAAGTATGTGATGCCGTCTGGCGTCTCGGGGAAGAGCTCAGGCTCGATGTCACTGCCAAAGTACTCATGTTGTACTGAGAGCGGACTGCGCACATCACGGAGCCAGATGCCTTTTTGACCATATTAGCGCGGTGTCGAAGGATGTCAAGGGTTACACACCATCGGCGGTGCCAGAATCCAGTATTCTCTTTCCCGGCTCCTGGAGGTTAATGGGGGCTAAGACGAGCTTGCCATCCATGGCATCCAGGAAAACAGCGTGGAGATCAACAAGGCGCTGCAGCTCGGCCGTGTGGCCGGCTTTCTTGGTCATATTCATAAAGTTGTCCATTTTAGTATAATAGTGTGGTTTCGCTACTATTTGACTACATGTAGTCTATCAACAGATGCGAAACTAAGAGAGGGTTTGCCGTGTACAAATACCTATGTAAACTACAGGACATGTCTCTGCACAGTGACAAATCTCGAGAATACTTCATAATCCAGTCTGACTTCAAACGGAACTGACTGGGGCTTGGCTTGGCAGACTGTTGAGTACAATGTACCGAAAGAGCGGCCCGTTTACCAAAAATGGAGCGCATCGCCGAAGTGGACCTCGTCAAGTGCCGAATGTACTCGCTGGCTGAATGTTTGATGCAGAGGCTGCAATATATTTGGTTCTTCGGATCCTTGCGGGTTTATATGTAGTATTCTCCGAATTATGTAATGCAATATGTGTGAATTATCGTAACCTATGTATGTATTTACACGATACTGGTATTCAACCCCAGTTCCGGGTACGTTCCTCCACGTCCATACTGGAACCTGTAGCACGTAAATACAGTAAAAGCGAAAATTTTGAACGATTAAACGAATTAGGCACTGTCATTTTCACACAAGCATGGCTGTGTTATCGCAAGTATGCTGGCTAGCCTTTCTGGGAGTCCTACTTCATTATGTCTCTGGTATTGTCCTGAAGCACCGGCGGATGAAAAGTGCCAAGATTCCGCCAGGACCCAGAGGTACCAGACACACATTTCATATTTACAATGCTCTAATTACTGAACTATAGCTGATAACCTACTGACAGGTTGGCCTTTTTTTGGAAACGCCATGGAACTGGCTTCATCCAATAGCAATACAATCACTGATATCTTTCGCAATTGGGCTCAGCAGCATGGTTCTGTGGCGCAATTCAGCGTCATGGGGGCGAAGCAAGTGGTTCTATCTGATGAGAAGATTGTGAAGGAGCTATTTGTCAAGAGGGGACATAGGTATTCTGATCGAGGAGCCCCTCATGCAGTGGAATATATATCAATGAATCAAAACCCGGGTTTCCGACCCAAGGACGGTGAGTAATTCTTTGCTGTTGGGAGGGGTTTTGTGGTTTTGTATCATCCATGCTGATAATCGATAGAGGGCTGGCGTCGTCAGAGAAACTTGATGCACAGCGCGGTCTCCATCACCTCCATTAATAAATACCAAATATTAATGGACAATGAAGCAATCATCACTCTTCATGCGTTGCATGAATCACCGCTGTCATTTGACAAAGAATTTCTACGGTACTCTTACTCCGTCCTCACCAGTTCGCTGCTTGGATTCTCAGTGCGCTGCGCCTCTGACACTTATATTCAACAAAACGAAGAATTCACTGCCGAAATCATGAAGTCTTTCCGCCCAGATTGCTTTCCCAGTAACGTGTTCCCATTTCTGAGAAAAATGCCCTTCTGGCTGGTCCCAAGTTTGAGAACAATGGAGAGACTTAGAAAGGAGTACGTTGCGCAAATGTGGTTGTTCAGGAGCAAGATCGAGAAGAGTGTCAGAGACGGTTCAGCAACGGAGTCTATCTACAAGCACTTCCTCTTGAACCGGGGCGATTACGCCGTTACGGACGAAGAATCTGTTCATACATTTCAAGGCATGATAGACGGTGGGACGCGCTCTCCTCATAACAACTTGCTCGCATTCCTGTTCTTGATGATGGAGTATCCGGACTGGCAGAGGAGGCTTCAGGAGGAAGTGGACCATGTCGTTGGAAAAGATAGGATGCCAAGCCATGAGGATATTCCCAACCTACCTACAGTGAGAGCCATAGTGAAAGAGGGAGTCCGATACAGGAGCATAGTGGCAGAAATGGGCATAACCCATTGCCTCAGTGAGGATGATTTTTACGAGGGCTACTTTTTTGAAAAGGGAACAGTGTTCCACGCGCCATTCGAGTGAGTCTTGCTTTTCAAGAATTACGCATTCACATATTCAATCCCGCTAATTCTGCTAGATCTATCCTCATGGATAAGGAAACATATCCGGACGGACTCCTGTTCAACCCTGCACGCTGGCTTGAACCCAGCTATCCAACCTACAAGGAACCTTTAACTACTTACCCAAATTGCCACAATTTTCCAGCTTTTGGGTATGGCAGACGAGCTTGCCCAGGAGTCGAGTTTGCGGAACGCACCTTGGTCATCATAATTGCCAAATTGGGATGGGCAGTAAACATCCGGTGGCCTCGGGACGAATTTGGTAAAGAGCTTCGGGAGAAGCTTCGGTATGAGCCGGTGCCCGCCCCGAGACCTATGAAGTTTGGCTGCAGCATCGAGGCTCGGGACCCAGACCGGATCAAGGTTGTTCAGAGGGCAGTTGAGAAATTGAATGAGGAATATCATTCGGCGTAAACTGGCGAAAACAAGCACACAGGGCACGGGTAACCGATTGTCCCTTGCGGAAAACCAGCTATGGCAAGCTTTCATCGGCTTGCTTGGGTATATCCATGTTTGGATGATGGGAGCTCTTTTTTATTTAGCAAGTTTAGAACGCTATGAATCATTAAGCAATCAGGCTTCATGTTGTCATCATCACAACTGAGCTATGTGCTGGTGATATCGGATCAAGTACTACGACATAATGAGTATCTCTCCACTTTGCGTGTCCCAGATTTCCACCCTCGTCGTACATGTTCTCGACTTGCGTCTACAAGCCGATTATTCTTTCTGGGGACGATCCCCCCACTAGTGTCGCAACTGCCCTCACCCCGACATGCCTCTGAGAAATTTGTCGTGGTTACTATGGTTAAGCCTGCGAGAAGCTATCTCGTGTGTGCTTGGGCCATTCTTTAGTTGTCCAACATGGTGGTTGTCCCAACCCGCTCTGAAATCCATGAACTTGGAATTACTAATATGCTGCCCGCCGTAGGAAGACGGTGATGACTATTTGCTTGCAAGTTTGAAGAATAGCCGGTACTAGTGACCAAATTCTAGATAATCATGGATCTAATGTTTTCTATCCCAAGATTCCATTGCTATTGATGCCACATCTTTACCACGCGACACGGCAATCTCATGACCCCCCTTCAAAACTCTCATGTCAACAGACTCTCTACAGAGAAGCGCTTCAGCATCTTCTACTAACTCGTCCTTTACAACAATAGCATCACTCTCCGCGATAATGAGGCAGATACGTCCACTCGGTAGACCCGGTGGTGCATTCGTTGTTCGTCGTCGCCGTAGTTCATCCGCAAGCACTCTCCAGATTCCATCATGGCGTCTGAAGACGAGAGAGCTACGCAGGGAGCTCAAGTAAGAAGAGACAAATCCATCATTGTTCTTTAACTGCCATCGAACCACATCGCCGATTCTCACACCATGTCGATCAGCTGCAATAGGCACGTCGTCAAAGTCGACTTCAGCGTCCTTGACCTGTTCGGGGACGTCTGCACTCGGTGCGCCATTTCTCGGCTCCAGGCTGCTATGGAGGATCCTTAGGCGAAACCAGTCTGGTATTATGCCTGACGAGTAGAGAAATCGGCTTCGGGGGCTTATGTGCGATGTACGGATTAGCCCTCCCGGGCAGATGAGGGTCACAGACCGAAGCATACTCGCGTGGTAGGCAGCGAATGCTACGGCCACTGACCCGCCGAGAGAAAATCCGACAATGTGGAAGGCAGACGATCCAGTCCAGGACAGCGGCGAAGATGAGAGAACAAGCAGAATCTGAGTAGTGTAAAGCCGGGCGTCATGTTTTAAGTCATTTGGCGTATCTGAGTAGCCTCTGCCAAAGAAGTCTGTCATAAAAATTGTCAGCAAAGATCATCCCATTCATAGAGTACTTTACGATTTTTTTTTCTTTCGTAATAGAACTTGGAATGATGATTGTCATCCAACTGTGCTACCGGGGGGTAATGCAAGGCAAGACGGACCAAAAATCATGACTCTGTAGCCCTTTTTGACAAATTCTTTCGCCATATCACCCAATGCTATACACGGAGTACTGAGACCGTGCATCATCAAGACTTTCTCCCCATTTTCAGGGCCCCATTCAAACACTTGGATCGTTCCATATATAGTGTTGAACTGTCTTCCTCCAGGAAAGGCATCCATCGAGTACGGTAGCTCATCCTCCGGGGCCTTCGCATCCGCTGATGGTTGGCCTTTGCCTGCTTCCACACGAGTCCTAGCCCGCGTAATCGTCTGCTCTTCAGGAAGATGTTGCACATCGCGAAGAGTTGGTCGAATCTGTAAATATAGAGCGAGGGAGGCCGCTGCAGCGGTAACTCCTAGCAGAGGCGCTTGCCTGATGGCCTGCCGAATTGCTAACAGTGGATTTAGATCAAACATTCTGGAGAATGTAGCATTTACTTCCCGAGACGACTCCCGGATAGCTGTCTAGATAGATATCTGCGGCCCATACCGCCTCAACTCATCGTTGTTTGACTAGCATCACCTCGGAGAAGGATAAACATGGTGCGAGGCTGATTATCTCCCCCAGGGTCGGTGGTCCCGCTTCGGCACATCATTGATGTGGCGGCGTCCCGAAAGCCCAGTTTACGGCCCAAATAGGCAGTTTCCGAAAACAGCCGAAAGATCGGGATTCCAACTGCCCGCTTCAATCATGTAGCAGCCAAATCAGCGCCAGCCACCCTCAAAATACTATCGGTAACAACCTGGGATCTCATATCACGCCTACTAACAGGCAAAAGTACGATGAGATGTAGACTCGAGTTCAAAGGACTAATCCTAGCTTCAACTAGCAAAGAAAGGAGTGACGCGATGTCTGCCATTAATGGGGCGACAATCAACACAGAACGTTCCCTTGGGTTACCATTTCGTCGGGAGGGCGACTTTTCTCAGTAATCTTCTCCACGGCTAATAACCTCTTTCACCGTAGGTCTGAGCAGAATTGTCTGATGTACTTCTATTAATCGCGCATCTTCCAAGTCAACTAGGATTGTGACTTACATGCTCAAATTGGGCTGTGTATGACCCCTTCTGGTCAACCAGAGGGGGATAATCCTCGACAATGCCGGATTTGACTAGATGGTTTAGCTACACAATTGTCAGCCAACCACGAAAAAACAACTCCAAGGTTACAGCAACATCATACACCGAGTAGATATTTCTCGTGCCCGATTCTATCCAAATATCGTCGGCAGAAGGGAAGAGTACTGAAATTCTTCTTAATGCTATACAGCAACGACTTTGCAGAAGAGAGATGCAAGTCCACTTTAGGCGCATCACTGCGTAGAGCATAATGTGAGACTTCGCCCTGATCGTAGACCTTGCCTTTTCCAGTACTACCAAAGGGCTCAATGGCGAAGACATCACCCTCTTCCATCTTGGTGGTATCGTTCGTCTTCACAGAGGGAACGCTCTTTGAGCCGTGGATGCTGTAGTGTAAGATGCTATGGCCGGTTATATTCCTAATCGGCTTGATTGGGTAGGTTGTCCCATTGATTTCGCATTCGTAGCTTTCCATGGCTTCCTGAATGTATCCACCAAGCTCGCCAAGTCGAACGTCAATTCCGGCTTCACGGACGCCAGTATTTGTCGCGTCCTTAACAGCTGCAAGGAGATTGTCATACATCGGATCAAACGCCATTGTGAAGGCGCTATCAACAATGCGGCCATTTACATGCACGCCAATGTCAATCTTCATCACATTATTATGCTGAAGGACAGTCTTGTTGCCGCTATTTGGGCTGAAGTGGGCAGCAATCTCATCAATGTTTAAGCCAAGTGGGAAAGCCATGCCAGCGTGAATTGCATCGCCTTCGGATAGGCCATCGTGTCCGACTAAACGACGAACGCTGTCCTCAATGCCATTAGCGATCTCGGTGAGCGTCTGACCTGGCTTGATATTTTTCTGTGCCCACTGGCGGACCTGACGATGCGTCTCGGCTGCTTGACGATAATCAGAAAGAAAATCACTATTAAGCATATCTAGATGACGCTTCTCCTCGTTGGTAGTACGATATCGGTTCTCATTGGAGTATTCGACTTCTTCGCCTCGAGGGTATGTGTCGTTCGGAAACAATTGGGACACGAGAACTGACGGAGGTTCGGTCTGGGCAGTCGGAGCCTTCTTCGTCTTCTTCTTCTTCTTGTTCTTCTTCTTCTTCTTCTTTTCCGTGGCACCAGATTCACCAGCGGCAGCGGTAGATTCAGTTATGTTTTCGTCCGCGTCGTCGTCATCGGATTCTGCCCCAGAGATTGCTGCATTAGCCCCCCCGGATGTGGTCCTGTTGCCGCCAGCGGAACCATGGGCACTGTCAGATTCTTTGGCTGCTCATGCTCCTGTTAGCTAGTGTTCCTACTATCAAATATGCGGAAGAGACGTATTACAAACCGCTGAGCGCCTTGGGATTATTATCGGGGGCTCTGGCAGCCATCGTGTTTGTCTAGACCTTGCAACTTGGGATGATGGTGTGACAAGAACGACGGGTGGCTGAGACCCCGCTCACCGCTAAAATCTTGGATCGCGGCTGCCAACCTCAAAAGGGAAGGTGCCCGAAGTGCTAATTCCGGCTAGCGGGGGTCTGGTAGGTATGCACCTATCGGGGCAGCTCCGTCAAATGGGGACATCGATTAACTGATAACATTGAACTTAAGCCATCGAGCCTTTATCCCACCAAGCTCCACCGTTCATCACTTGACTCGTTTTGCGGCCTCCGAATTCCATGCAGCGAGGCGAAGCTGCTTTTGAGCGTCGCGAGACCTGCTGACAACCTCTGACCCTGACCACCTTTGGGGTGTTCCACTGCAGTCCGTCTTAGAAAAGCGAAAACCACCATGGTCGAGTCATCCAAGATGAAGTGCCTCGGAGCAGACTGCGAAAACGATGCTGGAACGTTACAGTGCCCAACTTGCCTGAAGGTGGGCTTGAACGACAGCTATTTTTGCACTCAAGATTGCTTCAAGAGAAATTGGGTCGGTCTTGGTGTCCTCTCCCCACCAGAGCTTCGCTGAACAATCCTATCCTGTAGAACCAACATAAGACGGTACACAAGATAGCACAAGGCAAGACACAAAATGGTACCCTCCACAACATCATTCCCCCCTCCCCAAAGGTTGTCTCTAAATGCAATGAAGTTGCTCGATTTTACAATCCTTTCCCATCTTATGCCTTCACTGGCTCCGTCCGACCTGTCTATCCGCTCTCTCCGATGCGAACCGTGCCCAAGTCGATACCGCACCCGGACTGGTCTGTGACTGGCATCCCAAAGGCCGAACGACGCTTGAATAGGTCAAAAATCGACTTGCTAGACGCCAAAGGACAGGAAGCAATGCGCAAGGTTTGTAGATTAGCTCGAGAAGTACTTGACATAGTCGCCGCAGAGCTCAAGCCAGGCATTACCACGGATTATCTCGACGAGGTCTGCCACAACGCCTGTGTAGAACGGAAAGTAAGCGCGACTCCCTCCGAGATGAATCTGGCTACATCTAACTTTGATAGTCGTATCCTTCTCCCTTGAATTACAATCACTTCCCTAAATCATTGTGTACTTCTCCGAATGAAGTTGTTTGTCACGGAATACCCGATCAGCGGATCCTTCTGGATGGTGATATCCTAAATCTCGACATCTCACTATACCACGAGGGCTATCACGCCGATCTAAACGAAACGTATTATGTAGGGGATCGAGCCAAGACGGACCCCGACTCGGTCAGAGTAGTGGAGACGACTCGAGAATGCTTAGACATGGCAATTGCACTCGTCAAGCCCGGTACACCAATACGAGATTTTGGTGCCGTCATCGAGAAGCATGCCAAATCCAGAAACTGCACTGTAGTCGCGACCTGGGGTGGCCATGGCATCAACACCGAGTTCCACCCCCCGCCGTGGATACCTCACTATGCTAAGAACAAGGCAGTTGGGGTGTGCAAACCCGGAATGACCTTCACCATTGAGCCCATACTCGCGCTGGGCAAATCTCGGGAAGTGTACTGGCCAGATAACTGGACAAACGTCACTGTGGATGGTAAACGGACTGCTCAATTTGGTGTGTACAGGTGGTCATTTTGCCAGGCGCCTATTCCCGAACACTAACAAATGTCTAGAGCACACCATGTTGGTCACTGAAACAGGCGTCGAGGTCTTGACCGCAAGAAAAGAAAATTCTCCAGGCGGCCCAATACCAATGCCGGCGACTCCAAACGACACAGCAAAGACCAATGGCGCAACCCACGCATAGTTTTCGGCCCTGCGATGCGTTGCGTTACCCGGTTAAATAACATCAGATGGCTTGTGTGGAGCTTTATTTGGGCAGGCGAGGCAGATGGTTGCAAGTGGGAGGTTGTCAAATATTTGTAGGTACTCACAGCCAGACGGCCAGTTAAATCGGCAGCCTTGGTGTAGTTAGCAACAAATGTTAGCAACAAATGTACACTGGTGACTGAAGAGTTCAAGAGAACCGAGACCAAACCGACGGCGTAGTAACACAGAGCTCATCTCAAAACAGACCCAAGTGCAACATGGTCAAACGACACCCAACGTGAATGTGAAGCTTCTGTGCAGAAAAGTTGGAACATGGCCAGCACCTCATATCATGCTAAGCTTGCGCTTCCAGATGGGACCATGTACCGGCTATCTAGGTAGTTCAAATATGGTCAAGTTGAGGTGCTTAAACCCTGCCGGAGACGGCGAGATGCCAATTAATCGGCGCCATGAATGGGACTCGGTGTAGTCACTTAAGTGCTTACTTTAACATGGGGGTTAACCCAAGCGCTAGCATTAATCCATTGATCAAACTTGATGGCACCAAGTCCCCACGCCGAACGGCCGAACGGGCCACATACATGTAGGCCGAAGAGGCCGAAATGCTCTATATTTTGTCAGGGTGCGCCTGGTGCCTGCATGTTAATGGGTCGGGTGCGTTAGAACTTAGCATAGGCCTGGCAGGTTTCCACCAAGCGCAGATGGTGTCTGGTCCTTTGATTATTAGAGACGGCACCCTTTAAAGTGCAGAGTAAAATGTTTTAGCGTATAGGTTAAGACATCAATTACATTTAGTACCTATTGCGCTTACCATTCATATGAGCGTGTTCTGAAATACAGCACTTGCTGCAACCACCACGAGCGGCCGCTGTCTGAGCCACGTATACATTCAGTAAGACAAGGAAAACATTGTACTTTTCACGACCCAAGGCAGCTTATCAGTTGGCTTCTTAGTTTCTTTTTATTCCAGAATGGAACAGTCATTGCCCGTACAGTCGCATCTCCAAGATGAAATGCTACTAGAGAGCTTGAAGAACCCAGAGGACTTCTGGGCTCGCCAAGCCGAGCACCTTTACTGGCACAAGAAGCCCGAAGCCACGCTGCGAATGTCACAGAGAAAGCTGCAAACAGGCGAGGTTCATCCGACTTGGGAGTGGTTCTCTGGCGGCGAGATATCAACGTGCTATAACTGCCTTGACAGACATGTAGCTGCAGGCAACGGAGACCGGGTGGCTATTTACTACGACAGTCCGGCTACAGACACAAAAGAGACCTATAGCTATAATAATCTCCTCGGCGAAGTTGAAGCCCTAGCTGGGGTACTCAGGCAACAAAATGTCAGAAAGGGTGATGTGGTGATGCTGTATAGTACGTACACACTTGGGCCTTAACATCAGTCGCCGCATCTGACTTACTCAAATTTAGTGCCCATGATCCCAGCGGCTCTAATCGGAATGCTGGCAGTTAACCGTCTCGGAGCCATCCACGCCGTCGTATTTGGCGGCTTTGCAGCAAATGCCCTTGCTCAACGCATTGACTCCTGCAAACCCGTGATTCTGCTGACTGCCTCATGTGGCATCGTCGGGAACAGACCTCCCATTGCGTATCGACCGCTGGTGGAGGAGGCAATTGGCCTGTCGTCTCATAAACCGGGGCGTATTGTGGTTTGGGAGCGAGAACAATTACCGTGGGGTACGAAATCCTTTGCATGTGGTGGTACTCTATCTCGATGGCTGCAAAGACTTGGCCGTTTTGTAGGGACGACCAGCGACAACTACATCTCATGGCAAGGCGCGGTGAGGAAGGCAAAGGCGCGCGGCGTCAAGGCGGACTGCGTAGCAGTAAACAGCAATGATCCCATATACATCATCCACACCTCTGGAACGACTGGGACTCCCAAGGGAGTACCGCGCGATGCGGGTGGCCACGCGGTGGGATTGCATTTTTCCATCAGCTACATCTTCAACATCCACCAAGGAGATGTCGCCTTTACAGCTTCAGATATTGGCTGGGTGGTGGGACATTCCTACATCCTGTACGCACCGTTGCTTGCGGGAGCTTCCACTGTCTTATATGAAGGCAAGCCAGTCGGAACGCCTGATGCATCCGCCTTTTGGCGCGTGGTGGCAGAATACAAAGTCAACACAATGTTCACTGCGCCGACTGCACTGCGAGCCATTAAACGCGACGATCCTAATAACCATTTCCTCTCTAAAATTGGCGAGGCCGGGGGCCTACGATCACTTCGGGCGCTCTTCCTTGCCGGCGAGCGTTCAGAGCCCAGTTTAATATCCATGTACCAAGGGCTCCTCGATAAATATGGCGCACCCTCTTCCTCTCACGTCATTGACAACTGGTGGTCAACAGAAGCAGGATCACCTATAACGAGCAGAGTTCTTAACCCGCACGCCGCGCTAGATCGTGAATCTAGCGTACGGAATTACAGCCCTCTACGTATTCAACCTGGGAGTGCTGGCAAGCCGATGCCGGGATTTAATATTCGTGTCGTGGATGAGCAGGGTGATGAAGTACAAAGAGGCTTAATGGGTAATATTGTCTTAGGGCTACCTCTGGCGCCAACGGCATTCCGTACACTATGGGCAGATAAGGAGAGATTCTATTATAGCTACTTGAGACGATTTAACGGGAAATTCCTGGATACTGGAGACGCAGGGTGGATTAATGATGAAGGCTATGTTTATGTCATGAGTCGAAACGACGATGTGCTGAACGTCAGCGCGTATCGACTATCAACTGGTATGCATTTGTTAAACATCTGGAACAAACACTTCCCTGCCTGCTACTAACTAACATCACAGGGTCCATAGAACAAGCCATCTCATCGCACCCACTTGTCGCAGAATGCTGTGTGGTCGGTGTTCCTGACGAACTCAAGGGCCAGCTCCCATTCGCATTCATTACCCTTTCCACGGCGAGCCATCCCGAGTCCGCAATACCAGATGCCAAGATTTCACTTGAGATCCAGTCGCTTGTGCGTAGGCAAGTCGGTGCATTTGCGTCGCTAGGGGGGATTATCCAAGGGAAGGGCATGATTCCCAAGACACGATCTGGGAAGACGTTGCGACGAGTACTCCGAGAACTGGTTGAGAATGCAGTTTACGGAGAATTTGCCAAGGCGGTTGTAGTGCCTGGTACAGTGGAGGACGCGGTCGCGGTGGACGTGGCCCGATTCAAGATCAAGGAGTATTTCGAGAAGAGCGGCAGCAAGCACAAGCCGATCGAGTCAAGGGAAACGAGAAGGACGTCGTAAGGTTCCAAAGGCTTCTAGAATCGCTGAGCTATTGCGGCTTAGCAACAAAAAGGCATATTCGGGGTGGGTCTACGGAAAGGTCAGCTAGGAGACATTTGGAAAGAATAGATGCGACGTTCTTGGAAATTGCAATTGTATGCAAACAGGCGAGGGGTCTCTGCTGGCAATCTTGGCTGAGCGATCTTTAGCCGCGTCCAACTTATCGTCTCGCTAGCTAATGGGGTGCAATTCCTCGCTTTGTTTGGCTGCCTTCTCTGCGTGTAGATATCTATCTGTTGTGGTTTCTTGGTCTGTCAGCACCATGTGGTCAACCAGACATAATAATACTTTAACTAGAAATTTGCCAAGGGCTTAGCTTAGATCGGAGACCTCCAGGCAGTCTGAAGTTGCAGCCATGGTGGTTATTATTCAGATGAAATAAATGTCTCCCAACGCCGGCCACCGCTTCCCACGGACGAAATAAATACAGTCAATTTGATTGGTCATAGCAACCACCTATCGACGGAGCTGGTTCATATGGATTGACATCATGATGCACAATTCGCCCCTATTGTTCATCTTCCGGGTTTACATCACGAGCAGTTTTACAACAACTTTGAGCAGAAGCAAGCTATATTTTTCCATGACGTTCAGCAGTACATCGAATATCTAGATCCTGAACTCATGGAAGACAAGATAGTCTGTAGAGTGCTAGTACCCATTGGTCGCCACATCCACCGCGAGGGCGGTCGATACCAATAATGCACTATGGCTTTCAGGTTCCGGGAGATCATAGGCTGCAAGATCAACGCCGGAGAACCCGGCACTTTTGAGATGTTGACCCCATTGCTCAGGAGACTGCAACGGACTTTCTGTTCTGCCCTCACCGACACCGGCCCACCAGCCCGAAAGCGAGCCAAAAGCCATGTTGAAGTAAGGAGTTAACCGAGTTAGCTCTACAAGGCCGAGCTTACCACCAGGTTTCAGCAACTTGTGAATGGTTCCCAGTGAACGGGTCAGAGACTGCGTGGCATGGACAACATTCGCGGCAATGATCAAATCGTAGGCATGCTCTTCAAATCCCTGTTTCGCTGCATCGTTTTCAACATTGAGAGTTTGGAACTTGAGCACACGCTCCCACTTCTTCAAGGTCGTTTGGCTAGTCTTGAAGAAACCGGGAGAGATGTCGGTGTACATGTACTCGGAGCAGAAGAATTCCCCATCGGGACTGCATGCTTGGAGCACTTTGAGCGTTGTGCCTCCCGTGCCAGCGCCAATCTCCAAGATTCTCAAGTCCTTTTTCTTGCTGCATAGAAATTTTGCATAATCAGCCATGTATTGGTTGGGTCGCGCCCCTTCATCGGAATGGTACATTCGGAACAGCAGGTCGTCTCTCAGGATAAGGGCCAGCGGATGAGTTTGGCCGGTCAGCATTCGAACAAGCTCCGGCCCAATCCGGTGGATGGCCTCCCCTTCGATACCGAGTCTGGACGTCAGCTGGTCCATCTCGCTCTTGGTGCTTGGCCCCTGTTGAATGAGGACCTGTCCCGATTCTGACTTTACAAAATCTTGCAGGACTTGCCACCAGTAGGCTCGGTGATCTTGCTTCACGGCCAGTCCACGATCGTGGATCTCTTTGACCGCCCAGTCGATGTAGCGAGCGCAGGCAGCGGAGCCAAGGTTGAACTTTTCTGCTGCAGTCATGCCAACTTGGTCGGATTGTAGTGGCATAACGGCCGATTCGAGCATCTCGGCCGTAATAGATGACGTGGTTGACGAGGAAGTCTGACCTGGGGCATCTTGGTCCGTCTTGTCGGTGCCTGAGAGAGGAGTGAACTCCATGCTCTCCCAATTCGTATCGAGTTCCTTGTTGAGCCACAAGAGCCAATTCTGGACGCCACCAAAATAGAACATGATGTTGGCAGGCTTCCCAGGTATATTTGTGCCAACGAACCAGGAGCGGTTTTCCTTGGCGGGTTGCGATATAAACACCGAGTTCCAAAGTCCGTCATGGTGATCAGACCATGCATGCATAGCATCCTCCCTCACGTTTATCACGGCCAAGCTGTTTTCCTCCATGTGACGAATAGTTTTGCCAATCCAGTTTACTGATAGCTCTAGTGGAACTGGCAAGTTGCCCGCAGGCATGTGAGGGCCACAAACTATGAACATGTTGGGGAACCCGGAGACAAGGACTCCAGCAAATGTCCCAAGTCTCTCCGCGTTCCAATATTCCTTCAACACTTTTCCTTGGCTGCCTTTGATGTCAATCTGGTTCATGGCGCCAGTCCCGGCATCGAATCCAAGAGCGAAAATGATCATGTCGAACTCGTATTCGGCTCCGGAATTAGTACGGACTCCTTTCTCGAAGAGATCAATCTCGTCACGGCTCATGTCAACCAGGTTAACGTTGGGCCGGTTGAATGCCTCGTAATAAAAGTGCCCTGAGGGCGGGCGCCTGGCCCCAAAGGGATATTTCGGACACAGGAGTTCCGCCTTGTTTGGATCTTGAACAATGGCTCGAATCTTTTGACGGATGAATTCGGAGACTTGCTCATTAGATTCCGGGTCCATAAAGGCATCATCAAAGGTTTCGAGCTGAAAGTTGAAACAGCCACGTTCCCAACCATGGTCAAGGATTTGTCTGACCTTGTCAGCGTCACCCACACTCTTAACAGTTCTCCCTGATGCCTTGCATGCCGCACCAGCAATGTTCATTTTTGCAAGTTCCCAAGTGGCTTCATGGTTCTTCTTAATGTCGACAACCTGATACTCATCTATGGAATGATTTCGCCCTGGAAGCACGTAATTTGGCGTGCGTTGAAATACTGTCACGTCTTTGGCAATGGGGGCAAGTTTGGGGAGGAGGTGGATTCCCGTGGAACCTGTGCCAATAATGGCGATACGCTTACCATGGAAATCAACCTCGTGTGCAGGCCAGTTGGAAGCCTGATACCACTCGCCAGTGTAAGAGCTCAGCCCAGGGAATGGCGGCTTCTTTGGAATTGACAGAATCCCGGTAGCTGGTAGGAAGTAGCGACAGGTCGTGGACAGTCCATTCTCAGTCGTGATGGTCCAGATATTCTCGGCGTCGCTGTAACTTGCGGCCGCGATTCTGGTATCAAATTCGATGTACTTGCGTAGGTTGTAGCGGTCTGTTTTTTTATATTTTTATATTAGTAAATGAAAAACGGCCTTGTCCAGTTTCAAAAACATGCAGGTCAGCCAGTGAGCGGAGGAAGACTGACCAGCGATACGACTCAAGTACCGTTGAATCTCTTCCTGAGTCGGGTAACGTTCATGGTACTGCCATTCCTCCAACAGGTCCGGTGCAAAATTTAATATGTATACCCATGCCTCGCCATCGGTGCGTGACCCGGGATAGCGATTCCAGTACCACGTACCCCCAACATCGGATGCAGCATCGAAGCACTTCACCGTCAGGCCAAGCTGATCAAGTTCCCAGAGAGACCGAATACCACTAAAGCCTGCACCGATGACGACAGCGTCGTAATCCGCAACTCTCTTCGACATTATCTACACAATCCAGGAAGGCAGACGATGAGATAACTTGGTGTTGCAGAATGGACAGAGAAGGACATGGGTGGTAGGATTTGGTTGGAATTCTTGGTGTTAATTTGGTCTGACTCGAGACTCCGAAATCGACGTATACAATGGTACCAAGTGTTCAGTTCTAGCCGACGGTTCATTGCCGAGCATGACAAGTTGTCTGCCGTATCTGCGATTTGGCCGCGTCGGTGTCGGCAGGTTCAAATCGCCGAGATACACCAGGCTGTTGATTGCCACGAATCTCCTGTGATGGGTTGTGATGAGGCTGGTGTATTAAACTGATCAAGTGTGTAGGCAAAAGAGACCCTTGTTTAATTTCTACCATGAATATATTCTAAGATTTGGCTACATAGCGGCACTAACCGGGTAGGCATTCCGGAATGCCCAGGAAATTGGGAATTGAGCACCACCTCGGACGAATACACCCAGCCGCCTCTCGTCCGCAGATTCGGACGAATAAACCCAGACTTGACGTCTCTCGTCGGCAGATTCGGTGTTGAGTTCGGAAAGGTGGATACACTGACCTGGCCGAATCAGGAAACGTCCACCGAGTTGAATCCGCCGAGCGGAGGACTGGGGGACCATTTCTTCCCTCGGGACCAACATTGAAATGGAGTTTAATAAGAGCTTGAGCCAATGTGACAACCCGAATTGCTTGCAATATCCTGGGACCGAATTCTCACCGGGCTGATCAAACAGACCAGACCCCTGCCAAAAACCGGGACCATCGTTTAAGTGCAGACTCCCATATTCCAAAGGCAAGACTAGCTAGTATTAAATTTCGCCCGTCAATGTCAATCGCTGGACAAGAGTCTGGTATTATAGTATTTGATTCGATTTACTCCGTGGCTCAGTGACATTTTCACCCACGCAAAGCAGCCACCAAAAAACAAACTGAAACAATGTCATCTGTCTTCACCAAAGACAACACCCCAGACCTGGGAAGAGCCATACTTCGCGTATCTCCGCTCGTTCTCTCCTCGGCGTCCCTGATGTTCAGCTGGTCTCAGGACATTTCATTCAGAGCCTTCCTGCACCACTCGCTGCGCAACGATCCGGCCCATCCAAGTGGCAACATATTGCCGCGATACCTGCCCGCATTCATGAAGCCTGGGCTCTGGGGAATTGGTTTGACCTACCTACCAGCCACCGCTCTCTGCATTGTCAATGGTTTAAGTAACCAGACCAGTGAGGTTCGCGGCTTCTACCTTGCTGGAGCTGTCTTCAGTATCGCTCATTTCTGTTGGGGCCCTTCCATGTTTGCTATTCTTCGCCGTATTGGGGACCCCCAAACCGCCGGGGTACCCAACGAAGATGCGCTCGAGACTTGGTTGCCCAGGCATCATAGTCGAACTCTCTTGGTTAATGTCCCGGCGTTCTTATGCATTTTTGCTGCCACCTTGGCTACCATCACTGAGGGCCTTAAGTAGGCGAGAAGTGACTAAAAAAGAATATAGAGTTTAGCTACTAGAGTCCTTCAGACCGTCAAACATTTTTTAATGAGAGCATGTAGACGTCTTTTAAAAAAAAAAGAAGCATTCATGCAAGACATTTATTTCACAGGTCTCTGACCCCAAACTACAGAAATGGGCCAGCTTCCTCCGTATTCTATCAGCTCCATCTCTAGACGTTCCAAGAAACTGCTTGCCTCATCGCCAGACATAGACTGCAAACCGCCGGGGAGTCCTGGAAATGATCTTTAGTATCAGACAACAGCCAGTAGATGAATGAAAAAATCCATACCTATGTTTGCCCCAAGCAGACTAGCAGCTGATTCCAACGTGGACTTAATTGCTGTTGCTCGAATATTCGGATCAGGCACTTTGGCGCCAAGAGTTCCTGGAGCCTGCATCGTTCCCACGCGTTGGAAGCCAGCGGCCATAATATGCCCTTCCAAAACTGCCACGTCTGCCAAGTTCCGGGGAGCTCCAATCTTTATGTGCAGCTCGTTTATCAGCTCGACGAACTGGTGCACAGCAGGACCATCGTCTTCGCCAACCCTGCTCTGCATCTCGACGAGTTGAATCCATCCGCCAGGCTTGACCAGATTACAGAGTCCTAATACCGCTTCGCGTCCCTTAGTCGCCGTAGCGGCCAAGACAAAACGCTGATGCACCACATCGAATGTGCCATGCCATGAATCTGGGAATGGCCCCATAACGTCTTGTACTCGAAGCTCTATCCCCTCGGGTGGTGGATCCGGAAATCGTTCGTCGGCGATGTCGAACCCTATCATCGTGCAGGTCTCAGCTCGTGTAAGTGTCTTTCGAAACTCAGTAAGCCAGTAGCCTGTAATTTGTATCAGAGGAAGCTAGATATGTGTAGTCTGCGCTGTAGTGGCTGACCATCAGAAGTGCCCGAATCAAGTATCTTGAGGTTGGGCCGAGTAACATCGAAAGGCGCGAGCAAGATACTACCGCCCATAGCTAACTTGGTTACATGATGATTTATCTGAAGACGCTCATTCTCAACCTCTGAGGCGGCAAGTTGAGGAGTGTTTTCGTTTTCTGCAACGGCCATTTGGGTGTCTGAAAATACCAAGTGTTTCTCGCTTCAACTACCTGACTCCGGACTGTGGCGAACCCTGCAGATATAAGTGCCAACACTCGTCACTTTAATTCCGATAGGCGGGTGCCCTTCTGAAAGCCCTTATACGTAGAAATGTCGTCAGAGCCACCGACTCCGGATATGCTGCTGCTGCCCCTATGCCGACATTGAACGATGCACCGATAGGACGGAATAGCAACCATTTAGCAAGTCACAACAAAACATTTTGCCAATAAGAGAGTTCCCTTTTTAGGACAAAGCACTTGGCACACCGTTGTTCTGCCGGGACCCTCAGATTCAATGTTTTATATTATGCCCATTTCAAGTCACCACAGTAGGACTGCCCTGTTGGGGTAAATATGCGATACATTCGGCGTCCATTGAATAGCAGTCGATTAGATTATCTACCCGAAACGATAAAAGGAATCAGTACTGCATCCACAACTTTTGTGTATCAGAACATGAACCCCCTAGAAACACACATAGGGCCATGCCAAATAGGATTTCCATCATACACAGCAATGCCAACTAATCCCTCTAATACAAAACCAACCACCAGGAATGGGAGCGAATATCTTGTATTCGCAATCGTTTACTAGCTCGCAAAATTCATCCATCACAGCCAGCTGTTCGCATCAGCCAATAACCAGTGCTTTGTCTCTCCCACAGCCATACTCTATTATCTTTCCTTTATCGTAATTGCCTTTCCACAGCCACATCTATGATTTAGGTTCTCGAACATGACCATCCAGAGTAGCAGAGGGGGCAGAAACAGCGGCATCGCCTGGGCCGAGATCGAGCGGCGCTGTCTTCTCCGGGGCAATATTGGTCAGTTTAGGCTCCTCAAGAAACTCAAACTTGTCAGTGACGGCTGCATAGATGGGTTGATGGATAATGGTCTTGTACCAACGAGACACGTTGGGGTTCGCTTCTCGCCAGGCCTTCCCGTAGAAGAACTGGAAGCCGAGGGCAATAATCCCAGCACAGAAAATGTCAGCAAGGGTAGCAGATTCGCCAACGAGAAATGAGTTGGTTTGCAGGTGCTCCTCAACAACATTAATGGCCGCCTGGGCCATCATCTCATATTTCTCAACGGACTCCTTGTTATAAGGGATGATGCCTATAAGAGCAAGATACTCTTCGACGATGGGCATAATAATCTCAGAGTTAAAGAAGGACATCCATTTGACTATGTCAGCGTACTCTTTCTTAGAATTTCCGAGCAGAGTGGTCTCTTCGTTCTGAGAGGTGACTAAAATGACATTAGCTTTGGTCGAATGGACTAATGTATCAACAATGAGGCAAGAGCCAGGCGGAGCGTTGGGAGGCAGGGCACATCTATATATGATACATATATTTATATCGGGCCATCCGCATAACCTGACATATCGCAGACATCTTGCTAAAGGGGTATTCAAGGACAATGAGTCCTGGAGGGGTTGGACGCACTGTATATGGCAATAGCAATGCACTCAAAGAGCTTGAAGCCGTCTTCTCCAATGAAAGCAGGAACTTTGCCTAGCTTGCTAACCTTGAGGTGCTCAGCAGTCCGAGGTTCTTCGCAAATTTTGAGTTCGAGATTATTCGCTTTTGCGACCGCCTTGATCGCGATGGTGCGGGGATGGTCACCCTGAAGTGGAATTATTACACCAGTGAAGTCGAATGAGTGGAGGGGTTTAATAGCGTACATACAGGGAAAGTGTATAGAGTGCCGAAAACCATTTTGACTGATTCTCAGCCGATCACTGAACCGGCTTTGATGTTTGATGGGCGGTGTAGGTGTGATGGATCGCCTGCAAAGGTTATCGCCAAGAGAGCCTGTATTTGGCACAACGTCGCGATGCGATAGCCCAAGGCTAAAAAGAAAATACATTCGACTCAAGAGAAATGGAGTCCATTGAGACCCTCGTCATCCCTAGGCCAGCTCCCTTCTTGCCGGGCATCTGGTATTCGGAACAAAGTATTTGGTTCGATTCGGAGACTTCAACCAAATTAGGCTAGCTCCCTGGAGAACTACTAGCTTCCGAGACCGAATAGGGTAACAGGTACCGGCATGGGCCGATGGCAATCAATTGGTCGCCATGCTGAGAGCGAGACTCCTACCGTTCGGACTCTGGACTCTGGAAATGAGAATGAAGCCGCGAACAATCCATAGTCAGGCCCTCCGCAGTATGATTTAACATATTTGAATGAGCGATACATGTGTAAATTTACAAACACCGAGTCACGCCTAAACTGGTTTACAGAGATCCTTAGTTATTCCACCTTGCAGAATATTGTGGTCGATTCTATTATGGGTAGCTATACGGCAAATTTAGTCGAAACCCTCGACGCAGTCGATGCATCGACTTTGGATGGAGATGATGCCTCGCGGCTACAATTGGCCATGGCTGCCCGCAAGCTTTTTCATAAACTAGAGACCAAGGAAGAGAAGACTATACGACTCGCCATCGAAGAACCTGTTGTGTTCTCTGCTATCCAGGCTCTCATTGACGTTGGTCTCTGGGAAGACTGGACTGGTGTTGGTGGAGGCGAGAAGACTATCGAGGACCTTGCCACAATAACCAAGAAGGATATTGATCCGGAATTACTGCGTAGGTGTTCTAATGTACGGCAAGTATGTTCAGTTACGAGCTCCTGACACAACTCTCAGGCCACCTCCTACGACTCCTAGCTACGAACCACGTTGTCCTGGAAGCCGGGGAAGATCGCTACGCGCCGACCGCATTTTCGCTCTCCATGGGTGATAAGAGTACCCTCGTTGCGCCAGCTCTTCGCATACGGTACGCATGTCATCCTTTCTAAATTTTTTAAAGCCGAGTGAAGTGAATTGACCATGACGCTACAGAACGGACCACATCGCCCAGTGTGCCCATCACTTCCCCGAGTTCTTGGCTGATACCAACTACCGCAAGCCTCTAGACGACAATGCCAGCTGCTACATTGATACGTTTCCTGAGAAGAAAAACTTTTGGCAAAGATGCAAGGCAAATCCTATGCATCAAGAGAGCTTCTCTTCATTCATGCTGTTATGGGGCAAGCATAAAAGACCGTGGCCGCAGTTCTATGACACCAAAGCGCTGCTCGAGGGCGCTGACTTGAGCGATGGCAGCGCATTCATCGTAGATATTGGCGGACATCACGGTGTCGACCTCTTACGTGTGCTCGACGAGCATCCCGACGTCCCTGCAGGGTCCCTGGTGCTCGAGGACTTGCCAGAGGTCATCACTTCCGTGAGTCTTGCCACGGACAAGATCAAGGTTATAGAGCACAGCTTCTTTGAGCCGCAGCCGGTTAAAGGTTAGTTCTCTCGCCTTCAACTGCCATGTTAAAACTTTATTTTTCAGCGACCTGACAATTGAGGGAAATGTGAAGGCAGCCGGGCCTATTACCTGCATGCCGTCCTACACGACTGGTCCGACAAGGTGTCAATCGAAATCCTGAAGAACGTTGCGGCAGCCATGAAGCCCGGCTACTCTAAGGTGCTGATTCATGATATCGTCCTGCCGGCAACAGGAACTACCTGCTACCAAGCTGCGTTGGATTGCCTGGTGATGCAGGCCTCGGCCAACGAAAGAACCGAGGCTGTGTGGAATAAGGTGCTCGCGGAGGCGGGCCTTAAGCTGCTCAAGTTATGGCCAGATGGCCGAGGGTATGAGAGCCTGATTGAAGCAGAGCTAGCATAGACTGAAGTCGTGGGAAACCCCTAGAAATAATAGAAGGCGCAACTCTCCAGTAAACAGATGGACTTGGTCGCGCTTGTTACAGTTGTTTCTGTTCATCAGGCTATTTCAATTTCTGGACAGCACACCCACGCACTTGCGCATGCAAAGGTACCTTCCTGGCGCCAGAATGCAAAGTTGAACTGTATGGGATCATGTGCACTCCCATATTACGATAGACGAACAGGCAGGGTCGATAATGGAGTGGACTGGTTCTAGATGTTGGTATCTGCGGTGGTCGAAAGCTGAGATTTACCGTCTACATTGTTGTTATTGCTGTGAATGTGTGACTGGTGAGTTGCGCGTTGTGCGGAAGTCGTCTGCGCTGAAGCTATACAAGGACATAGCCAGTGATTCAGTAGCCACGAGGCTCCGTTTGCCCATTCCGTCTTGTAAAGTCACGGCCTGTCATGTTCTCTTGTTTCATGTTAACGCCAGCTATGTTGTAGGCGTTGTAGAGCTACGTGTATAACTGAGCTACCTCACATTTACAGCTCGGGATTAGCCACCAAATAGCAACCTGTTCCCGGCAGGTACTTCGTTTCAACGAATGGTGAGGAATTTACTCACATTATCCAGACAGGGACAAAGTGCAACATGGGGGTGTTGAGAGTCTTTCTTTTTCTAAAACCATCCGTACAGCCCTCAGTGATTTGCCAATCCTCCTCATACAGAGGGTTGTGCTGACTTGCCGCAATCTGCTGTCTCAGCAAGAATAGCACAGACGGTCAGGTGGCGACCATTCTATCATAACCTCCCAACTCGACAGATCTTACGAGACAACAGGAGCCGCTCATCATTCTATCAATGAAAGTGGACGATGAAGATGCTTTCGAAAGCGGATAACGACTTTGAACCAGGAACCTAGTCAAATATCTTGTCATAGCCTTGTATTACAAAACACCTCAGACCACGCTGGCACCGGGTGAAAGACATTGGATGTTTTCAGCCTTGTGCAAATTTGGCCACTCATTGTCGGGAAAGTCTCATCGAACATTTGTGGGATATGTATTGCAACCAGGGTCATTGTTGGGTGCCAGCGAAGACTTCACACTGCGTATCGAGACACTCTTCGGACGCTCTTCATATTTAGAACGTCAGCTCTTCATATTAATTATCTTTGCCAAGGATATAGCGAATCGTCTCCCCAATAGTATCCTCCTCCGTAATCCCACTTGGACGCCAACCAAGCGCTCGCAACCGATCCGCCCGAGACCTTGAACTTGAACCCCAGAACTTTAGTCCCCGTTCCCAAATCTTCGCAACACCTCTCTCATCAAGACTGTCCACATCAGTATCAGAAACATACCCGTGCGAGTGAAGCTCCCGACCAACGGCCTTGGCAAGGTTTGTGAACGAATCCTCTCCCGCTTCGACGGAGTAATATCCGTTCCGACCCCGATCCACCCTACTTTCCGTGCTCAACGCCTCCTCCACTAACAAGAGCAACGCAGACGATGCGTCACTGACGTGGCAATGACTTGATACGTTTCTCCCGTCACCTACTACAAATACTTTCTCGTGGGACTGGGTTGCACAAATTGAACACGTTCTCAGGCAAGACTCCAGGTATAGCCGTTCTTTATATATACATATCTAGTAGTTATTATTCGCTTTCTTCCTCTTAGAAAACCAAGCACCTTTGAGACCCTACTCGATGGTCCTTGACTAGAATCCTTCCCAATCCCTTGAGATCAAGCCCTTGTCACACTATGATACTGAATTTAAAGCAGTTCACAATCCCTCATGAAGGCCTTCTCGCACTTGTATCAAGCCGAAAGTGCCTGCTCCACTCTTTGCCCTAATCGCTCCGTCCTCCAAAAGCGGCATCCCAACGAACCGACTTCCAAAACATGAGACCACTACCTCGATAAAGTCTGGAGGCACCAGATTTGCAGGCCGGTGGGCCTTTACTCGTAAAGTCAAGTGCTTGCTTGCCAAACCGATAACTGCGGCAAGTGCCGTCAATATCATGTGGTCGAAAGCGGAAAGCGACTGCATATGATGCCTCAAAATATCCCGCCAAACGCCACAATCACGATTCATCACAAGGTCAAACGACGACTTTGTGCCGAGTTTGCCGCGCTCTACCCCTTGAAGCACCAATCCTTTCTGTATTTGCCAAAAGCCACAGTCCATTATTGTCTGCGAATGTAGTAGCTGAACCGTAAGTCTCAGCCACATAACCTATCCAGGCAGCGCCTCCACAATATCTTGACAACCACATTGTTCCATTAGTGCTTACGGGCGTTGGGGGAATACAGGTAACTAGAGATTTCTAGCCTGTCGGTGAATGCTTCCCCTAGGGCTTAGCAGCACCAAGTAGGAGTCGGACAACCTAAATTTAGAAGAACGAGTAAGCGTAAAGGCAGTGCTTAGTATTCTCGTTGAAAGATAATATATTTAGAGCAGGATAGACGCAGATATGGTCTTACACTGCCCTTCTATATTACACAGCCATGTAGCTTTTACTTGTTGTAATAGTTATATAAGTCGATCGTACTCTCTAGGACATGGCTTTTACGGCACTGTAGCTCATCTTCCGCTCTGCACTAATTAAAATGCTCACCAAGTCACTCCTCGCGTTTGCCTCTCTCGCCATCTCGGCCTTGGCCTGCACTCCCCCTCCTGGCTCTGGCTTCGCCAAAGCTGCTCCTCCAATTAGTCTCTTCATCTACAACGTTGGCACTGGTGCCATTACCCCCTCGGCCACCGCCTTGGTTAATAAATTCCCGGCCGACGGAGGTCAGGATAGGACCACCCTCATGACCTTTAATGACCCCAGTGGTGGTACATCAAACAATTGCATGATTTTCTTTGATCCCGGCGATCCAAGCCTGACAGTTGCCGGCAGCGGGAAGCTTGACCTTTTCACAAGCAATGCCCCTGCCCCCCCTGGTGGGAGCCCAGGTTGGGGTCCTCCGGGGAACCAGCGCAATAACCAACTTGTCCGATGGACGGTAGCACCAGGTTCAGTTAGCACGGACGCGACCTATGGTAGTCTCACTGTTGCTTGTAATTCTTTAAATAATGCGGGGTTTGAAATCGTTGGCGTTTACGATACTGATACCGTCTCCTATAAGACCTTTGGGGTGTGTGTCGCCTATAATTAATCGTCGTGGCTGGGTCTTGACACTAGATTGGTTGGGAGCGGCGGTTGGCCTCGTGGATTTTGTTTGTATTTACATCTAGACGATGAATCGGTATTTTAGTGTATCAATTCAATGGTTAATTTTCAAATGGCAACTTGTATTGCCCTAGGCCTTGGGAACGCTGCTTTGGACTTGTTACAGCTGAGGCCCAAAAATCTGAACAAGTCAAGTGCAATGCGTATGAATCCAACATTAGGAACTTACTTCCGTGCCTAGATCACAGGGACTTTGTATATGTAGCACATCTTGGTCAAATGGTATTGTTCGCTCAAAGTCCGTCTGACTAGAAGTTTTGGGTGGCTTGCACGGTGAACGTCCTCGGCGCCCATCTAGGCTCGGGCCTACAGCACAAGTCCTTGAAGAGGCACGCTCTTTTCTTTTTTCACTAGGATAACTGAGATCGAAGTATTATTTCTTTTCTGCATACTCCCGCATACATTTTGTAATATAATAGTTAGAGCTCTCTTCCATGTTGAACGCCTGATGCGACGGTTGCTTCACCTTCAATCGGCCACGCAAGCCAAGCTATGACAGTGTTACACGGAAATCGCCCTGTTACACAAGGGCTACGGTCACGGGATTAGGACAGAAGGCCCTCACCGACTTCTTGTATAAATAGACGTCTTCGGTCCCTCATGGCCTTGAGGAAAACCAAGGACCTTTGATACCAAAGACTGTTATTGGTTGAATTGAGCTATTGCTCCAACCCTTCCGTGTTGAACCCTTGTCACAGACAGCGATACACAACCGTGACCGGTTGCGCCTAATGGTTGCATGTGCATCAATATCTAAAAACTTGGGGGCTCCATTGAATCCCCCGCAAGTGTCAGTGGCTACGACTTATAATTCAGCCCAAGTGGCGACTACGCGCATGTGGTCACAAAGAATAACAATTGCTCAGAGGGCAATATACATCTTCTTCAAGCGGTATTAGACTATTTGATCTTTTTAATGCGTACAACTAGTATTAGCTCCAATAAATGCCTCGTATCAATCTTAGTGTTACACGCCCGCCCAAAGTCAAAGCAGCACCGTCTCAGCGACGCATTTCATCGGAAACAGGCAGGAACCCAAGCATCCCCTTTACATACTCCCAAATCTTGACATACAGAGGCTTCTGCACCGTGTCTGTTGTCACGGTAAGCGAGTGACTCTTCTCAATGGCATACTCGGCCGGCACCTCGGGCCACACGTCGACTCCGTCCAGCAGCGCGATGGACATGCCGCCCATGGCGTGCAGCTCAAAATGACAATGGAACAGCCAAGGCCCCGGGTTGGTGACCTGGTACCGAAAGACGCTCCAGTACCCGCCGGCCGGGACGGGGGAGAACATTGTCATCCAGGTGTCCCTGTACCCCGGGTCTTTGAGGTTGAAGCTCTCGGGCTCGGCGGCGATGGCTTCGGCAACACTGCTGTAGTTCCACATGCCGGCGCCGTTGCCGATCCTCCACGTCTTGCTGCCGTGCTTGTGCATGATGTGCTCGAACGCCATGCCGTCGCCGGGCAGCACGGCCACCTGGAGAATCAAGTCCACCCAGGAGCCGTTCTTGGTGCGCACGACGAGGTTGTCGTCTTCGGTTCCTAGCGTCTGGTTCGGATAGAAGAGCAGCGGGCGGTCGGCCTTGAAGTCCATAGGGTACAAGTACTTTGTGTTCATGGTGTATAGATGCGGCGCTCCGGCCCGGCCCATGACGAGAAGAAACTCCTCGTCGGCCGTGGCGGCTGGCGCATTCGCAGGCCATGGCGGCATGTTGTCCGAGCTGATGTTATATGGCGTGTAGCTTCGCGTCGCGGTGTCCTCGCGCGCATTCAGACCCCCGTACGTGACGTACGGGCGGGTTTCTGGCACGACCTCTTCTGCACCTTTGTACACCATGTTGGCAAAGCCCGAGATGACCTGTGTTGCGCCAGAGTCTGGCAGTCGGATGGTGTAGCTGCCGGGGGGCTTGTCCAACTTGACCAGCACAGAGTAGCGCTCACCGGCCGTAATGGCCGCTGCCACAATCTGTCTAGGCTCGACGTAGTTGCCGTCGATTTCGTAAATCCACATGGGGTGCTCGTCGATGGAGAAGTCGACTTGCTTGTTCGCCGCCGCCGCGATAAAGTTCATGCTGACCCAGCCGTCTGCCGCGTCGACTTGGACTGTATAGTTTGACCCTTGGGAAGGAACGCAACCCCATTGCATGTGATCTGGTATTTTCTCGGGGAGGCTTTCGTTGACCCAGGGGCCCTGAATTCCCTCCGCTTGTATAGGGAAACATCTGTACGCCACCAAGTTTGTCAGCGGCCATGGACTGGTGTGGTGTATATGGTTGACTCGGGACGCACCCCTTATCTGTCACGTTGTAATCTGGAAAAGTAAACTTTTGTGGCATCGGCTGTGTTTCACTTATGAGGAATTCGTGAGACGGGCAGTACAGCTCCCCGTGGCCATTCAATAAAATACTATCAACGCAGCTAAGGAGAGGTGGTATCGCATCAGCACAAGACTATGATATTGGATCAAAAGCAAACTTACAAAATTAATATCTTTGACTCTTCAATCACTCTCCAATACTCGTCAGATGTGAGACGGCTCCAGTCCGACAACACCATTAGCTGTGGATTAGCCGCTGCCTTGTCCATTGCCTCGATATCCTCTGGGTCCTGGCTAATCTTGGACCATAATTCTTTCATGTTTTGCTTTGGTCTTGCCATCATTCATTAGCGACCGTCGGTATGAAAGTCTAAGAGCAGCTTGCTTACTTTATGAACATGGCGCCATGAAGGCCGTCAACCAGAGACATGCGCTCGTGAGAATGGTACCAATGGGTTCCGGCCGGCGAGGCTTTGAACTTGTACACAAAGGACTCTCCTGGCAAGATGGGCTTCTGTGACAGTCCCATGACGCCGTCAGCCCACGGTGTGCCTTCTTGACTATGGTAAAGTTACATGTTAGGTGCTCAGGCTTCGCTGTAGCCATGAAGGGCGAGCCGACTCACGCAAGGCCATGCCAGTGAACCGTCGCGTTTCGATTCATGTCATTGTGCACGGTAATCTAAAACCTTTTATTAGAGGCATGAGGTTTTGAAGTTTATTTTTACACTTACTTCCACATCGTCATCCTCATCGAGTAGGAGACTAGGCCCGGGAAATTGCCCATTCGTGTAGATCATCTCCCGCGATTGTCCATTGGGCGCGCCCTTGTCCCAGGTGAAGCGCAGCGTCTTTTCGACCTTTGCTGCCCAGGAGAGGCAGCAAAGGCAGCAAAGTAACATGCATCGTGCGATCGACGACATGTTGGGCTAACCGCAAACCCCTAACTTTCGGGGATTCGGTAGGTATATTCTGTTTTTAAACTGAAGGCCAGAATCGATATTTGTGAGAATAGAAACGAGCCAAGTGAGTTGAACCCCGTCGGCTGAAGAAGAGGGTGCTTCCAGTGGTCTGTGTCGTCCGAGCGGATTCGCCGTGGCTACCTCGGTGAGCCGTCACTTCTGACTGCAGGCTAAACTGAAACACAAGACGGAAAACTCGCAGGCAATATTACAGATACAATCGCCTGGCTTGTCTCGGCACATAGGCGGCCCGGTCGTGGTCACAACATATCAACATACAGCCACTTCATCATACATAACCGGGGGCAAATACTGATTGCTTCCCCCTGAACATGCATGTCTCACCGAAAAAAGTCATGGCTCGGTGGTGGTTTCCTACTGGCTGCGTTATCTACAGGTGTACTCCGTAGACCAGAAAATATGTGGCGTCTGGTCGGCGCATTATCTGCATGTACTCCGTACATACGCAGTGGCTACTCCGTAGTTTGTGCATGGATTTGGGGGTCAGAATACTCTGCATGGAGTAGCGGGCTTCGATTTTGTGAAACGTACGGAATGTCTTGCTACAGTATTACCACAGCCACTCAAGGCCGGATCAGCCGCATGAGCAACCGCACCTTTCTTCGGAGCCTATTCCGCGTCTGGTTTGGAAAGGGTGGTCAGCTCTGCAGGCGTCATGCCGCGCCTGGGAAGATGCTGGGCTGAGTACGGCTTGCGGCGGGAAGAAAACGGACGAGTTGACAGTTGCGAGCCACGGAATCGGCGTGGATAGCTCGGTCCCGAGCCGACGGACCATGTACTGCCAAATTTTAGGTGACATGAGGCTACTCCGTAGAGGAACCTGCAATTCTCTACGATTCCCACAACGCTCATGCGTCACGACACGCCGGCCATGATCGACCATCGACTATCTGAAATGGAAGTGACGGAGGCATTCAGAGATGCCATTGTCATAGAGACAGGGTGTGATATCGGGCACTCTGACATCAACACCGACTTCTCAGATCTTGGTCTGGATCCCCTCGCTGCCCTCAATGTGCTCAATACTGTGACCAATAGAACTGGTATCGAGCTTCCAGCTTCCCTGTTTCGCGACTGCAAGACATTATCCGATATTTCCAAGCATCTGGGCCAGAAGCAAGGCATCAGCGGTTCGTGATTCCCAGTCCAATTTGTGCACCGAGCTGCGTTATTTTGCCTTGTAACAAGAAGCCATATGCTTACAAGAATCAGGATCGACCTCTGCCACCCAACAGCTCTCGTCGCAAGCGGAACAACCTGTCAGAGACGCGTTCCTAGAGCTGAGCAGCTACGAAAGAAAATTCGCAGAAGAAGCAGGGTTCGCCAACTTTTGGAGAGCAGTGTACCCTGCCGAGCGCCGGCTGGTGCTGTCCTTCGTGTACAAAGCTTTCTCCGACTTGGGGTGCGCTCTGGACAAGGTCAAAGCCGGCCAAAAGGTTCCATGTCCGCAGGGCATTTTGGACAAGCACCGGCGAGTATTTGACGGCGCGCTTTTTGAAATTCTCGAGGATGGTGGCATCGTAAGCGAATCTCCGGCCGGCTATATTCGTACGCCGACCCCAATAGACACGACGCCATCTGAAGACATTTACAAAGACCTTGTCCGTGACCACCCCCCGTTCGCCAAGGTCCATGAACTTCTTCACGTTACGGGCTCGCGGTTTGCGGAATGTCTGAGCGGCAAGTCGGACCCCATCAAGCTCCTATTTGGGAAGAATAAGGACTTGCTGCAACACTTTTACACAGACGCGCCCATGTGTCTGGCCGCCTCGCTCCATCTCGCCGCGCTCATTCAACGTGTGTATACTCGCCGCGCCCGCAGAGACGACGAGTGCATAGAAATCTTGGAAGTGGGCGCCGGTATGGGAGGGACAACGAAATTTGTCATCGATGCGCTTGTCGAGGCCAATGTCCGCTTCAAATACGTCTTTACGGATATTTCGTCGTCATTCTTTGCCGCTGCAAAGCGCCGGTTCGGCGATATTGCACCTGGCTCCATGGAATGCCTCGTCCTCGACATTGAGAAAGAGCCGCCGGAACCGTTGCAGCGACGCTTCGACTTGGTCATTTCGACCAACTGCATCCACGCGACGAAGAGCCTGGTTACGTCGTGCTCGAATGTGCATAGGCTTTTACGACCAGGGGGATTCTTCGCCTTGATTGAGTTTACGACTAGGTACTATTGGCTCGATCTTGTGTTTGGATTGCTTGATGGGTGGTGGCTCTTTGAGGATGGCAGGAAACACTGTACGGTTAATGGGCCTTCTTGGAAGACGAACCTTGAGGCTTCTGGATTCAGCCATGTGCTTTGGACTGAGGCAGAGGGGATCGAGAAGCCGAATCCGCAACTGCTCGTAGCGTATACAGATTAGTCGAGGCATGCACTAGGTACTGAATAGGATTGACGCGTCTGACTTTGAAACGTTGGCCAACGGGGGACGATTTGAACATGTCGAAATTTAAAATTGTGGAGAGATTGGACGCAAAATAGAGTTGAATCTATCTATGTGCTGCTTACCTAGTACTCATATATCCTGCCTGCCTTCCTGTTCATCTACTGTACGTATTTTGCCCGATTCCCCACGCACGATCGGATCAGTCAATGATAGCTAGAGTACATAGCGGATCAAGGTCCAGCGTGTTTTCTGCTTATAATCGGCCCACATATCCCCATACTGTCCATGGTCAATGCCAGCAGGCGAAATGCATGATTGGTTGATTCGACTTACCCTCTTGGAGCAGTACTCGTCCAGCGCCGGAACAGCCCGGTTGGAAAAGTCCCACATGAAGAACGTGGCAATCAAGATGCCGTAGGTCGCGCCGCTTGTTGCAACTGCCAGCCCGGCTCGCCAAACGGTAAAGGCGGTGTAGTTTGGGTGTCTCACGATGGCGAAGAGTCCGCTCGTGTATGGTTTTCCGCTATTCTGGGGGTTGAGCTTGAACTGCCCACGGTTGACTTCGCAAGTGCACTCGGCCGCAATGCCGATGACGAAGAGAGCGAAGCCGGCGGCCAGATATGGATTCCACGTGCTCTCTCCAGCAGCCTGAGAAGTTGCCGAAGTGGCAGCGCAGAGGAAGAGGAAATTGTTGAGCGTGTCGAAGAGAATGTTGTCGAGCCCGACGACGATGGCGCCTGTCAGGGTCCAGGCCTCTTCAGCGACATTGAGCACAAACCAAAAGTGCTTGGCTGCGGCAATGACGTTCATGGCAAGCAATCCAAGTCTGTACCCAGACAGGCCGAGAGCATCAAAGTGTGGAGTGCCTGCATACGGTTCTGGAGTCGCAACGATGCTGCCGCCAAGCAATTTGATGAGTGCCGACCCATAGGCTTGGGAGAGGACTAGGTATTGCCAGTAGCAGTCCACGGCACGTAGACTCAGGTACAGGGTGGTATTGAAGGGAGATGACGACTTGTTCCCCCGCGGAACAAAGTCCCTCGATTTTAATTCGGATCTTGACACTTGCTTGGCTCCGGTCATTGTATTGTCGAAATTCATATTGGCGTACCCTGCACCTTTTCCACCGTTCCATGTTGAGTGAGTAGAGACGGAGCTGATATTATAAGTTAGGATCTAGACTTGAAAGATACCACGATAGACATGACGACCCGGAGGCAGCGGGCTCTGGCGGCGCCGCATGCTGCATCTTACACCGGTCAGAATGATGGATTGAATGCGTTATGCAAACAAGGTAAGCATGTGTCAACAAGGGTTTTGCAAAATGGAATCCTGAATTCTGCATCCAAGGTAGCGTGACGGGGGTTCGTGTGTCGTCGGAACGTGGGCGGAGGCTGGGGACCGAGAGAGGCAATTTGTACCCGACGGGTTCGTGGGCTTGCGGCTTCGGGCCCGAAGTCGCGGACCCGAAGTTGTACAAGGCAATAAGCACTAACCTGGTTTGGGCAAGACCAACTGGAGAGTAGCTGGGTACCTAGCGCCTCGCCTGCCAACATCAATAATGGAACCTTCATGTTGCAAGCCAGGCAGGCACAGGGGGTGCGGAGCGAGAACCGAGAGGAACGATGATGGATGCCTGTGGGTACTGGGGTCAGCCCGGTCAAGGGTTCTTTCCACTTGGACATCTCCCGTTTCGTCTAATGATTTGACGTTAAATTACAGAGTAGTGCATGGGCAACAACACGCGCGAGCATGGTATTGATGGGAGACAATGGCTTGCATGATGAGGCACTGGGGTCATGTCGAAATCAAGCACGGCTACTTCGTATTGAGCATGGCTACTTATTTTTTTGACCCTTTGTTCGGCCACCAACGCGGCCTACCCGTCTTGCTCTGTTGGTCCGTGGCAAGTACCGAGTACGGGGGGCCGAGCGCGGAGTACATATCTGCGTCCCTGGGCTCGCAAGCACTTGGATGTACCTCGAGGCGGGTACCAACGTACTTGGGCACATGCATAATATCCTGAGGTCAACGGCTGGTCAACAGCTGGTCAACGGGTGACACAGAGTTGACAGAATTGACGCGAGCCACCAGACCTGATTGACACCCGACACTTGATAGGTCGTCTGTGCCCTTCCAACAGCCAACACTCGCAATCGTGCATGGACAACAAAAAAAAGCTTGCGTCGCCTCTCCCCTCCTGCAATCTGGAGCCAAATTGTCGCCCCATATGGCCGTCTTCAGGAGTTTGTTTCATTTTCTTCTTCGCATCCCCAGCAAACAGCAGAGGAGGCAACCATCCCACAGACTGTGCAGCAGCTGAAATACGAGCCCTTCAGTCTCCCTCATTCTGGTCACTCTTCCTCCCTCCCTCCCTATCTCCCTCTATCTGCGGTCATTCCTACTCGCCGTGTCTCATCACTACGAGTTGACCCCGTATCGCAAACACCTCGAGATGGACGCAGCCGCCAAGGAGAAGTCTAGCCTCGCTCAGGACGAACTGCCTCACGAGCTCAACACGCTCCAGCACCCCGACGACGCACATCGGACGTCTGATTCCGCTCAAGCTCCCAGTGCGGCCAACGACGGCCATTCTGTTGGTGGGAAGCCCAGCCAGGATGGCATCATTCAAGAAGAGGCTGGAGAGGAAGCCGCCCAAGACGACTCCAACTACCCCAGTCTTGGGGCCCTGACCATCATCATGGTAGCCGTGTCCATGGGCATGTTTCTTGTCTCCTTGGTGAGTAAGCCGTGGCCTCTTGACTGAAGCCACTCTCCCACACTCCATGCAAATCTCAGCCTTGATGCATTGCCATGGCCCCTACCTTCGATAAGACGTTCCAAGGCTGACAGGTAGCTGAAAGGATCGTACCATCATCTCGACCGCTGCACCCACCATTACGGATCAATTCCACTCCCCGACAGACATTGGCTGGTACGGCAGCGCATACAGCTTGACGGGCTGTGCCATGCAACTGCCGCTGGGCCGGTTCTACAAGTTCTATTCACCCAAGTGGGTCTACATGACGCTCGTCTTCATCTTCATTGTCGGTTCGGCCGTGGGGGCCGGGGCGATGAACTCGAATACAGTCATTATTGGCCGTGCCATACAAGGCATCGGCCTCGGTGGCGTGCTTTCGGGGTCCACGATTATTGTCACCGAGAATTGCCCTCTTCGACGGCAGCCCATATGCCTCGGAATTCTGATGGCGACAATGAGCATCTCGGCCATTGTTGGGCCTCTGATAGGCGGCGCGCTGACGACCAACACCAGCTGGCGTTGGTGCTTCATTATCAACATCCCCATCGGTTTCGTAATCATGGCCATCCTCTTCTTCTTTGTAAAAGCCAGAGAGGGCAAGGACCAGCAGGCCCGGGGATGGGCCGAGAAGATCCGTCTCCTGGATCCCTTGGGCTCAGCCCTACTTTTGCCGGCCGTCGTGTGCCTGGTGCTCGCATTCCAATGGGCAGGGTCCGAATACAGCTGGAACAACTGGCGCATCATTATCCTCTTTGTATTCGGTGGCCTTTTGTCCCTCGCATTCATCGCCTCACAAATCGCTATGCCTGAGACAGCCACTGTGCCTCCCCATATCGCTGGTCAGCGTACCGTCTTTGCATCCTTCGTCTTCTCCGCAGCCACTGGTGGCGCCATGTTGGTCGTCACGTATTGGATTGCTGACTGGTTTCAAGCCGTCCAGAATCTCAGCGCTGCTCAGGCAGGTATCAGGACCATTGCTCTCGTTTTGTCACAGGCCGTTGGAGCCATAATGGGCGGCGGATCGGCAAGACTTGTCGGATACCCACCGCCAATCATGATGATAAGTGCCATCCTGATATCTGTCGGGGCCGGAATGCTCTCAACCCTTGCCATTAATGAAAGCTCGGCCCACTGGATTGGCTACCAGGTCATGATGGGTCTGGGCCTCGGTTTTGGAACACAGCAGGCGTCGCTTGCCGTTCAGACCGTTCTCAAGAAGGACGACATTCCCTCGGCAATCTCGCTCATCTTTTTTGGGATGCAACTCGGTGGTTCCATCTTCATTTGTGTTGGCCAGAACGTGTTCAATCAGGTTTTCGTTAAGCTGCTGAGGCAAACCTCTATCCCAGGACTCGATCCAGAAACCGTCCTGAGGACGGGTGCAACCGAGATAAGGAACCTTGTTCACAACGGAGAAGATTTGTTGAAGCTCCTCGAAGCATATAACCGCTCCATCACGTCGACGTTCTATGTTGCCGTTGGGACTGGAGCTCTAGCAATGCTGAGCTCCTTCCTGGTCCAGTGGAACAGCGTTAAGAATGTCGAACCAGTGCATTAACCCGCCACCAGTTTTCACTAGTAGCACATTGTCTCTGTTTATTCTCCAAATGGTTTCCTGACCTTTCTACTTTTACTCATAGCCTAGAGGGGAGCTACGGGACTCGATTATTCTCCCATAATGTTGATAAAAATGTACTCATGAAAATCGCCTCTTGGTTCATTTGTCTACATCTCTTCACTTCTCGTTCTTGTTATTATTTCTTCCTTGTACAACCATAATACATAGATTGAAATGGAGCAGAGGGCTAGTCATGTGGTATTCTTGGTTAGACGTGCTCAGTCTTGTACAGTACAAATTCATCGACAATGCCTAATGGCAGCTGTATTCAACATTGAAATAGACATGAGCCGGGTTCACTTCCCATCACATATTGCCCTGGACCAACTTTCCATTCATCATGAGCGGCGAAAACCAGCCTATCATCATCTGCGATCTCTTGGTGTCGGCAAACTTCTCATGATCCGGACCCACCATTTGTTTGAAGAACGGATCGGCCTTCATCCTCACAAAACATTCAATATCAGGGAACACCAGCTGCACACAGCAGTCGTATGGGGCAATATTAGCAAACTGTGCATCATGGATCTGGTCCATAAGCTGACGGGACTCATCCGGCGTGTGAGTCTAGAGGTTGCCATGTCAGCCCACCCAACACGACATATGAGCAGATTGGGCATTTCTGGGGACCAAGGGCGACAAACCATGCTCCAATGAAGAAAGCCGTACTTTTCCATGAGACGGGCAACCAATGGCGCATGAACGTTTAGCATGTAGCTACGGTACTCTTCGGTGCTTATCCCCTGCTTCTTGAAGCCGAGGATATTGAGGCATAGCAGTTTGTTGTTGGACTCCATTTCCAGTGCCGAGCATGCGTTTCTAGATGACAGAGATGACAGGTTGAAAAGTGGCTAGGTCAGATTGAAAAGGAAAAATGACGCGAGCTGAGGGGTAATTCTGATACGCCGATAAGGCAGAGGAGCAGCAGTTGGGAGTTCAAGTAGGACACAGAGATTGACCGGCCCCCGAGGAAATGACTCAGGGTCCTTTGGAGATGCCAGGCGGCCTCTTCTCCGACTTGGGAAGACCCGGCATCATCTTTTTCTGGCCCAGACATGCTTCTCTTGTACATGCGTCCTGTGAGGCCTGTTTTTGGCCTTGTGCATTGTGATGAATGCAAGGCAGTGAAACTTGTCCCATGTGCTGGCATGCTCCTTTGTCTGACTCATGGAACAAGGTCAAGTGAGATTCAATATTGCAGTACATGTATGCAAGACAATTGTCGGGCCGTATTGTATCCGCGACGCAGCCAAGATTTTCCCCTGATTGGTTGATGTTTCAGACATGTGAAGCTACGCTGACTATTGATGACGAGACAATCCTGGCCCCAGGTCTTCCAGATGGTGGATTTTGATTCTTGGTGTTCTACCCAATTGGGAGGACATGAGCGGTTTTTTTTTTTGGTAGGTCTCCAAATATCCCCTGTGTCTTCCAATAACATCTAGTAGCTGTTGATAACCTGTGACTAGTTACAACTCTGTTGAGTAATTACATGTGAACTGGGGTACTATATCGAACCCCAACTCGGTTGCGCCACGATAATGTTGTCTTATAACTGGCCCCCACGCAAGGCACCTTGCTGTGGCCCTTATTGCGGCCACGGGGCCTATCTCACTCACAGCTCCCGGGATCATGAACCAATGGCCGCATGCACCGTTAGACACTATCGAGACATTCTCGTGGTGGGATGTGCAGGCCCGCATGGTCTTACTACGGCACGCGGGAGCCGGGCTGAGCTGAGCTGAGCTGACGCGCGGGAGAAATGATTGGCGTTTAGGGATATGATGGCATAAGATAACGGGCAAGAAGAAAAACCCGACTACGCGCCAAACAGTAAGAGATGGGTTGGGTAGGGTGAGACTAGGAGCAGCATCTACAAGGTAGCTCGTTTCTGCACGGTGATCCGACAAGGGTCATTGCATTTCATCACTTACAAGTGCCATGAAGCCGCTGCCGAAAGTTGACCGAGTGTAACAACGGTCCCGAGCACCCAGAAGCGTTTCCGTGCTGCGCGCTAGATTGGCGGATGCCGCTGTTACACACGATCAACCAGGTATTTGATAGGAGCTGCAAGATGACAGCATGGCAACACGGCGCCCGAGACAGCTCGGGACGAGCAGATTCAGATCGCGGCAACGATGGTTGGTTCTTGACATCGCATCGTCGCCGGTCTCACAAGCTCGCCTCACGACGACGGCGACGTGATAACGACAACTGCATAAATCAGCCGCTCCGCCGAACCTCTGTTGCGCACTTTGCACATGGATGCATGAATATATTACTCACTTGTCTGTATGACTGCATTTGCATGTAATATATAGGAAGACTGGCTCTTGCCATTGGCCCGATGGCGGAACACACCGAGTTGGCAACTCGACGGCAAACAGTGATTGACCGAAACGCAGATATCCTTGTTTATATCAACATCGTGGTGGTGGCCGGGCTGAGACAGTCGACCAACCGTGGGATCGTGTAGGATTCAGTTGCATCCTATTGCATCGTCTCTCAACGGCACCCAAGTTGCTTCTATTTGAAATTCCATTCCGCTTATCCGATTGTAGACGCACCCCCAGGGGGAAAGGGCCGCTCCGTGGTGATGTAAAACCCGTCGAGTTCTACCAGGCAGGCGGCATGTCCGACGTGACGAGTTGGAAACAAAACATTGTGGAATGCATAAAGCGTCCCCGTCTGATCCTTTTATCTGCCCTTGTTTCTCTATCGTGTATTCGTCACTGGGACGCGTCATCTTGAGCAGTTTGCCGACACAATGGCACCCAGGTTTCAAGTCATAGTCTTTGGCGACTTGTCTGTCCCGTATCATGCCGAGTTGCAAAGACTTCTTTCCGACAAGGACAGCTGTACTCTTGTCTCTCTATTTTCAGACGCGCATCGGGCGCTCAGATCGGAAATCGCTCGACTGCCGCCCAGCCAGAGGAGCTGCTTCCCCCATGTTTCCAACCTCGCCGAGCTCTTGATAGCTCGGCAGTCATCACAGGTGCCCAACTGCGCGTTGGACAGCGCACTGGTGTGCCTTTGCCACATTGCTTCGTTTATAGCGTACGTGCTCCCCGTTGTTTGATTTTATACGCTTGCCGGTTTGGAGAATTCAACCAACACACGTGCTAGATATACGAATGAGCCTGGGAGATGCTATCCCCAGTCATCATCCTCGTGCCTGCTCGGCAGTTGCATTGGCCTTTTGGCCGCCGTGGCAGTGAGCTGTGCCGAGAATGTGCTCGACCTCGTCGAGGCCGCGCCGCACTTTGTGTCACTGGCCTTTCGGCTCGGCCACATGGTGCAGAACAGAACCACGTCCGTCGTGTCCGGGACCGACGTACACTCTTCATGCTCGTCGGTGGTGTCGGGCGTTGATGAAGAAACCATGCCCCCCCGTATTGAGGCGTACTGCGTGTCGAGGGGGCTGGCTGCTCTGAGCCGTGTATACATCAGTGCCGTGGGCAGCGGCTCCGTCACCATCTCAGGGCCGCCTGCACACTTGAAGGAGTTTCTGTTGCACAACCCAGCTTTCAAGGCTGGCAAGATTGGCGTAGCCGGACTATTCCACTCTTGTTGCCTGTATACGAGGGCTGATGTAGACGCGCTCGTCTCGGGCGTCGGTGTGCATACAAGGAGCAGGGCCGTCCGCCTGCATGTCGTGTCCAATTCTGAAGAGGCGGGTGAGGGCTCGTGTGAAGCAACTTGTGAAGAGCTGCTGCAACGCGCCGTCGCTGAAGTCCTGCTTCGTCGACTGAGATGGGACCTTGTGATTCAGAGAGCCGTCGGCACACTCGAGAGCTCCAAGCTTTCCGAGGCTGACATAATTCCATTCGCCTCGAGCAGTGTTGAGAGCCTGGCTACTGCTCTTCGCGCATCTGAGGCTGTAGAATCTTTGGACGTGTTGAGCACTCTTCCTTTGTCAAGGAGTGAAGGCAGCTCTGTATCCGGGCCAAAGTCCAACAGGTCCAAAATCGCCATTATCGGGTTTTCTGGGCGATATCCCGAGGCTGATAGCAACGAAGCCTTTTGGGAGCTTCTCGCTGCCGGGCTAGATGTCCACAAAGAGATTCCCAAAGATCGCTTCGACCCGTGGCTCTACTACGATTCCACGGGGAAAAAGAAGAATACCAGCGGCGTCACCATGGGGTGCTTTGTCCGCAACCCCGACCTTTTTGACTCTCGGTTCTTCGGCATGTCCCCCAGGGAGGCTGATCAAGCCGATCCCGCGCAGAGACTGGCGCTGATGACGGCGTACGAGGCCATGGAAATGGCTGGCTTCGTACCCGATTCCACGCCGTCCACGCAGCGCAGTCGCATCGGCGTCTTTTACGGGACGGCCAGCGACGACTACCGAGAGACAAACGCCGCCCAGAACATTGACACATACTACGTCCCCGGAGGCAGCCGCGCCTTTCTGCCGGCGCGAATAAACTACCACTTCCGGTTCAGCGGGCCGTCCTTTGACGTGGACACGGCTTGCTCGTCCGGCCTTGCGGCTACCCATATTGCGTGCAACTCCCTCTGGGCCGGGGACTGCGACGTTGCCATTGCCGGCGGCACGAATATCTTGACCAACCCCGACAACTGGGCTGGTCTCGACCGCGCCCACTTTCTATCACGCACCGGCAACTGCAAGACGTTTGACGACGGCGCCGACGGGTACTGCCGGGCAGAGAGCGTGGCGACGGTTCTGCTAAAGAGGCTTGACGATGCGCTCCTCGACGGCGACCCCATCTACGGCACGATCCTCGGGGCCTACACAAACCACTCGGCCGAGGCCGTGTCCATCACCAGACCACACTCGGGCGCGCAAAGAGCCATCTTTAGTCGGATCTTGACATCTGCCAATGTCGAGAGCTCCCGCGTCAGCTACGTGGAGATGCATGGGACCGGCACGCAGCACGGCGACGCGTGTGAGATGGACTCTGTCCTCAACGTCTTTGCGCCCGAGGGCTCTCGCCGCGATGAAACCCTGTACCTTGGCTCAGTCAAGGCAAATATTGGCCACGGAGAATCTGCCTCTGGAATCTCGTCGCTGATAAAGGTGTTGCTCATGATGCAAAAGAGCTCAATCCCTCGGCACGTGGGCATCAAGACCAAAATCAACCGCAACTTCCCTCTGGACCTTGCGCGGAGAAACGTCCACATTGCGATGAAGGATACGCCGTGGCCGAGGCCGGATCCCAGAGACGCGCCGTCGGGCAGAATAGCATTTGTGAATAATTTCGGCGCCGCCGGCGGGAATTCTTCTGTCCTCGTGCAAGACGCCCCGGCGACGTCGGCGGCGGCGGACGACGACCCCCGGCCGCTTCACATTGTCGCCGTGTCGGCCAAGACGCAGACGGCGTTTAAGAATAACCTTGCTGCGCTGGAAAAATATCTCGATGCCCATCCGGATGTTCCCCTTGGCTCGCTTTCGTTTACCACCACCGCCCGGCGCGTCCACTACGGCTACCGCGCCGCCGTCACGGGCTCCAGCATCCGCGACATCCGGGAGGCTCTTGCGAGCGCGGCCAACGCGGACAAATGCCTTTCCACGGCGGGGAGTACGACCCCCGTGGGGTTTTGCTTCACCGGCCAAGGTGCCCAGTACCTCTCTATGGCCAGGGAGCTCCTCGCGCACCCGCAGTTCCTGTCCCTGGTGACGGGGCTGGAGGACGTTGTTCGGCTGCAGGGCTTTGGGTCCATACTCGACGTGCTCCAGGGCATGGCGGACGACCCGATGGAGCAGCTCTCCCCCGTCAAGGTGCAGTTGGCCATGAGCTGCTTGCAGATGGCCCTCGGCAAGTTTTGGATGGCCCTCGGCGCGTCTCCCGACGTACTTGTCGGGCACAGCCTCGGCGAGTACGCCGCCATGAACGTGGCCGGGGTGCTCTCCGACGCGGATGCCGTACACCTCGTTGGCACCAGGGCGGCTCTTCTCAGCAAGTACTGCTCTGTGGGGACGCATGCCATGCTGGCTGTCAAGGCGTCTGCGGACAGGGTGGCTTCGCTGCTGGGCCGGCCCGGCCTGGAGATTGCCTGTGTCAACGGGCCGGAGGAGACGGTGGTGGCCGGGCCCAGGGACCAGATTGACTCGTTGGCGGCGGTGCTCAACACGCAGTCGGTCAAGACGACGCTGCTCAAAGTTCAGTTTGCCTTTCATTCTGCCCAGGTAGAGCCGATGCTGGAGAGCTTCCGACAGAGCTGCGGCTCGGTGAGATTCAAGGATCCCGCTGTTCCGTTGTTGTCGCCTCTTTTGGGCAAAGTAGTCAGAAGCGCGGCCGATTTGGCATCTCCAGCTGACTATCTGACGCGGCACTGCCGCGAGACGGTGAATTTCCGCGGCTGCCTGCTTTCTGCGGCAGAGGCGGGCGTCGTCTCGGACAAGACGGTCTGGGTCGAAGTCGGGCCTCACCCCGTCTGCGGCAACATGATCAAATCCACGTTGGGGGCGTCGTCGAGAACGTTTCCCTCGCTGCGGCGCGGCGAGGCGGACTGGAAGGTGTTCACGTCGACCTTGACGAGCCTGTACAACTCGGGTCTCGCCATCAACTGGGGCGAATACCACAGCGGCCTGACGCACAACAAACAGGTGCTGTGTCTGCCCTTTTACAAGTGGGAGTTGAAGAGCCACTGGATCCCCTATGTCCACGACTGGTGCTTGACAAAGGGCGATGCGCCGCCTCCGCCGCAGCCGCTGGCATCGCCTGCCCCCGTTGCCCGGCAGAAGCCGTTGACGACGTCGGTGCAGGACATTATACACGAGCAATACTCGGGCGACGAGGCGCAGATCACGGCGCGGTCTGATATCCAGCACCCCGACTTCCGCGAGGTGCTCCTGGCGCACAAGGTCAACGGGCAGCCGGTGTGCTCCTCGGCTGTGTATGCCGACATGGCTATGACGCTCTTCACGCGGCTCCTCGAGCAGTCGGCCGTGGGCTTTGACAAGTCCGACATTGGCGTCGAAGTCTCCGACATGAGTGCCGACAAGGCCCTTGTGCTCAACGACGACCCGTCCCATCTCCTGGAGATGAAGGCGGCGGTCAAGTGGTCGACACGGCGGGCGACCTTTACCATGTCCAGCATCTCCAGCGCGGGGGCGGAAACGGCGCACCACGCAAGGTGCACCGGGTTCTTTGTGGACAAGAGCCAGTGGAGGGCGGACTTCAAACGGCGCGACTTTCTCGTCAGGGCGCGCATCGACGACCTCCGACGGTCGGTCCACGACGACTCGGGGTCGGTCCACCTGATCAAGACGGGCATGTTTTACAAGCTCTTCAGCGCTCTCGTCGACTACCGTCCCTCGTTCAAGGGCTGCCGCGAACTCGTCATGCGCTCGGCAGAACTCGAGTCGTCGGCCAGAGTCAAGTTCAACACGCCGCCCGGGACGGCCGACAAGTGGATGACGCCGCCGTACTGGCTCGATAGTCTGGGCCAGATCACGGGGTTCACCATGAATGCCAACGACGAGGTCGACTCGAAGAACCAGGTCTTCATCAACCACGGCTGGGAAAACATGAAGCTCCTGGAGCCGCTGTCCCAAGATGTCACGTACACGACCTATCTCAAGATGCGGCCCAAGGACAAGGGCTCCTACATTGGCGACGTGTACATCTTCAACGAGGGCGCGAGGGACATTGTCGCCGTGTACGAAGGCGTGACCTTTTCCGCGGTGCAGAGGAGCATCCTCGACAAGGTGCTCCCCAAGCCCAAGCCGGCGACGGCAAAGCCGGTCCCTTCACAGCCCGTCTTCGGGAGCCAGGCCCCGGCGGCTGATGACGAGCCGTCGACGGAGCCGCCTGCGCTGCTGCCGCCGCACAAGTATGGCGTGCCGGCGGACAAGCTCAAGGCCATCATTGCCGAGGAGGTCGGGGCCCCGGTCTCGGATGCGCAGGACGGCGCCGAGCTCGCGGGGCTGGGCGTCGACTCTCTGCTCGCGCTGACCATTTCGGACCGCATGCTCGAGGAGCTCGGCGTCAAGGTGGACTCGACGGCCTTTATCACCTGCAAGACGGTCGGCGAGGTGATTCAGCTGATTGCCGGCTCGTCGACGCCGTCGTCCGACTCGGAGCCCTCGACGCCGCCCGTGACGCCGCCGCCGCCGAGGGAGCCCGAGTTTGAAAACGCCCATCTGTCTCGGGGGGTGGAGGCGGCGCTGTCCGCTCTGTCCATGGACCCGGACGAATACACCCCTATTGCAAGCATGAATGACAAGGCCAAGCCGACGCCGGCGCCGGCGTGTAAGTCTACATTCCCACCCCCTTTATACTCGCACGAGCAGTGGCTAATCAACCTCTAGTCGGCGTCGTGTCTCCCCTGACGGTCCTCCCGCCGCCGTCCCACGTGCCGCCCGCGTCTTCGGTCCTCCTGCAGGGAAACCCGGCGACGTGCTCGCGCAAGGTGTGGCTGTTCCCGGACGGATCGGGCTCCGCGACGTCGTACCTGCCGCTGCCCGACGTGGATGCGGATCGGGTGGCCGTGTACGGCCTCAGCAGCCCCTACGTCCGGCGCGGCGACTGCAAGCCATGCCGGTTCGAGGAGCTGACGGCGGCGTACGTGGCCGAGGTGCGCCGGCGGCAGCCCGCGGGGCCGTACATTGTGGGCGGCTGGTCGGCCGGCGGCATCTGCGCGTACGACGCCGCCCAGCGGCTCGCGGCCGAGGGCGACGCCGTCGACGGGCTCATCCTGCTCGACAGCCCCCGGCCCGTGAGGCTCAAGAAGCTGCCGCCCCGGCTGTACGCCGAGCTGGACCGCCTCGACGTGTTTGGCTCCGGCGGCAGGAGGCCGCCCGCCTGGCTGGCCGCGCACTTTGTCTTGTTCGCCGACATTCTGGACACGTACAGGCCGCGCGGGTGGGCGGCCGCCAGGCCCCTGCCTACTTGGGCCCTGTGGGCGAGGAACGGCGTCGACGAGGGCGGACTGATTGACATTTGGCCTGGTGATCCGGACAATCTGCTGTGGCTGCTGCACAGGCGGGCCGTGGTGGATGCCAACGGCTGGGATGAGCTGGTTGGGGGGGAGAATGTGGTCATGGATGTGGTCGAGGGGGCGCACCATTTCAATATGTTGAAGGAGCAGGGCGCGCGGCAGGTGACGGACTTTCTTCGACGGGCTGTGACGTGTATGGCTGGGGGGGTCTTGTAGTTGCGGATCGGTGATTTGGTCGTTGGCTGGAGTTTTCTGAAGTTTATTTCCCGATATTGGTCAACTTACCCTGCATCTCTATCTAATAGTGACTTTACAATACATTGCTGTCCTTTTCGTGTCTAAATCCAGTACCAGACGACATGGGAAAAGTCCTTGAGAGCAGAATTGGCACGAGGCTGAGCTGGCCCAGATGGAAGCAATGGTGTTGACAAGCGTGGGACGCATCAGTATCACGATACGAGACTTTGGGTGTCAGCCCACTAGACGCAGTCAGCTTGTCATCGAGTGGTGATGAGTGAAAAAAGCAAATACGTCCGACGCTTGATGCAGGACATGGGTTCGGTCCCGAGTGGAATCCGCGGTGACACAAACATCTGGCTCCGGTCCCGAGACACGCGTACACGGAGCATCAAGCTGCTTCAGCTTCGTCATGACTAACCCCTTCAAGAGGGTAGATATACTACAAGGTCTATTTTAACCCCGTTTGCAACACCAGCCCGCACCAGCCAGGGCAATGAAACAATGCCTCCTCCCAAGGTCCTCATCGTCGGCGCGGGCATCGCCGGCCCAGCGCTCGCGTTCTGGCTCGCGCGCATCGGATGCGAGACGACCGTCGTCGAGCGCGCGGCGGCCCTCCGCGACACCGGCCAGCAAGTCGACCTGCGCGGCCAGGGCATCGTGCTCATGAGAAGGATGGGCATCGAGGCGGCCGTGCGCGCGGTGCTGTGCGACGAGCCCGGCACGCAGATTGTCGACCGGAGCGGCCGGCCGAGGGCGTACTTCCCGGCAAACAAGAGCGGCAAGGGCAGCCAGAGCGCGACGAGCGAGTACGAGTTTATGCGCGGCGACCTGGTGCGCATCCTGCACGACGCGACCAGGGGCCTCGGCGGCGTCACGTACCGCTTCGGCCTGCACGTCGAGTGCCTGGCGCAGCGCGAGGGCTCGCGCGGCGTGCGCGTCGTCCTCTCGGACCAGACGAGCGAGACGTACGACCTCGTCGTGGGCGCGGACGGCGTCGGCTCGCCCACGCGCAAGCTCATGCTGGGCCCTCTGTTCCCCGATCCGCGCCACGACCTGGGCGCCCACGCGGCCCTGTTCACGATTCCCGCGCTGCCGGACGACCCCCGGGCCTGGACGGCGTGTCACCTCCCTGGCCGGAGGCTGGTCATGACCCGCAAGGACCGCCCCGAGACCCTGAGGGTGTCTCTGGTCGTGCACGGCGACTGCGCGGAGCTCGACGCCGCGGATCGGTCGGGCAGCCTGCAGGACCGGAAGACGGCGTGGGCGCGGAGGTTCGAGCCGTTTCGCGACTACCCCCCCATGCCGCGGTTTCTCGACGGCCTGCTACACGCCCCCGAGGCGGACGACCTGTACACGCAGCACATGAGCCAGATCAGGCTGCCCGAGGGGTGCTGGTCGCGCGGCAGCGTCGTGCTGCTGGGGGACGCGGCGTACTGCCCGACACCCATGGGCGGCGGGCTCGGCACGACGGCGGCCCTGGTCGGCGCCTACGTCCTCGCCGGGGAGGTTGCCGGCCGGTGGCGCGACGCCGAGAGGGAGGGGGCGCGGGCTGACTTTGGCGACGCGGCGCGCGAGTACGAGCGCTTGATGAGGCCGTTTGTTGCGAGGGCGCAGCACGTGCCCTCGCTGGGTTGGCTGATGCTGCCGGAGACGGAGTGGGGGATATGGATTGTTCAGACGCTGGCGTGGGTGTTTTCCGTGGTGCGTATCGAGAGGCTGTTTGGCTGGTTCAGCCCTGAGGAGAGCGAGGAGCTTACGTTTCCAGAGTATCCTGCGCTGAAGGGCGGGGATGGAAGATAGGCTGGCTATGTGGTGAGATGATGCGAGGGCGAGAATGAGTGGCGGTGTTGAGATGCGAGGAGGGATGTATTCTTGAGTTGACTAACACGGGAGCTTTGTAGTGCAAATTTCCAAGTGAAACATGCTACGCTTGGTGTCAACTTTGAATACTTGATCAATATACGGTTGACATTATTATGGATATATAGCAAAGCATGTTTACAACTCTCCTCTCCCATGAGTAACATGGCGGCTTGGCATGTTCCCTTAGCTCTCTAATGTACCATGGATATAAAGTAACTTCTTCCCTCTGCTTACTTTGTCTAGACATTTGACGTAATCATGTCGGTTAAATTATATTCCCTTGAATTCAACTCGCCCTCTACATTTTCATCCATAGTCATAAGCCTATCGTACCAATAAAAATATGGCTCCTTCCAAGCTCCAATTAGGTCCGGTAGCTTTATATAGCGAGACAACCTCCTGAATTCAAGCCATCACACTGTGCTGAGAGCTGCACAGCCCATCTCTCTGGACTGGTTATACTGTTGTCGTTTGTAGGAGAAGCAGTTGACATGACTACTAAGTAGTGATCCATGTCGCAAATCACTGCTGTATACGAGAGGCATGTTAATTGTACTATTGTATAATTTGCGTACCCGCATACGTTGCAGCGCTCTAGTTACCATATTTGCAGTCTCTGACAGCAATTCGTAAGAGGTTCGCTCATATCATTTAACGAACCTGCCTCGAGACAGGGAGTTCTTTGCCTTTGCTCAACTCTGGGTTTCCAAATCGAACCCTAGCATGATCTGTGAAAAGGCTTCAGTAGGGCTTGGATTCAATAACTCCATTCATCTAATAACATTCTTTGGTTGCAAGGTCCTTAATTTTCTTCAAAGTCTACATAACCAAAGAGAAATATTTATAAAACAAGTCGGTGAGTCATGCTCTATATCTCGTGATCGTAACTCCTGTGTCCATAGACTAGACACATGACTGCTTTCTCTGAATGCGGACATCGCATGAATTTCGTGCATTTGCGCAAGACAAGCCATTTCCCCATTCTCCCATCCCGTATATACTCCGTAAAATTCTCATGGAGGAACCCATCCCCGTCATCATCCTCCCGCGTGCCACGCAGCATCGGGCGCTACCGCAGCCATAGTCATCAGGGCCTGGCTTGTCATCATCTACAGTACTGGTACTGTGATCAAATGCAACAAATCACCTCGACGGCCAATGCCCACTCCATCTGAACGCGGATCGCCGCCACTGACCCCGGGGCGGATCGACAACCACCCGTTTGACTCAAACGAGCCTCGTGTCTTCCCTCCTCATCTGGACATAGCCCGCCACGGCAAACAGCAAAAAGACGACGCAAACAGGCGTCATCAGCGCGGCGGCGTATTCCCTCTGCGCTTCGGGGGTCTCGCCGCTCCAGTCCCTAGCCCATTTCGGTGTCTTGATCACCTCCCCTTGGACCAGCCATGCGGTTACAAATGTGGCGATGACGACAAAGGTCCACACCAATCGCGCAATGTTCAGGAGCGCTTCACGCAGTGGCTCAGATGACCGTGGCATATTGGCGAGTGCTGGCCGTGATTTTCTCGGCCGTCTATTTCTTTCTTTCGGGGTGCCGTGCTTTTTTCGGACCGGAATTTCATGGCATGCTCGCGGTCATGCAAGGTTGTTTCTCGGTTGGCAGAACGACATCTGCCGTGGGAGGAGTGCTGGGCGCATGTGAGCGTTGAGGAGGAGGGCTGAAAATATGTAGCCGAGGTGAGAGATGGTCGCCCTGGGTCAGTTTTAAATGCTTTGCCGTCGTGTAGTAAGCTGGTTGAACTAAAAGCTGACCGACGTCTTGGCAGTGCTGCATGGTCAGCTTTTGGCGTGGTCGGATATTTCCATTTTGGGAATCGTCAAGCCGTGCGGGTTGGAAGCCGTATGCGCCCGGACTGTAGGGTCACTGGTGCTCTGTATGCTCTGTTTCAGGTGGGCCTTGCTTACGTCCCGTGATCGGAGGTCACATGTGCAAGCCGGGCAAGTAATTGTCCTTGGATACGTTGAGCTTGATGTGTATCACGGACCTGAAGATGACAATTGTTGTAGAACGGCTTGAAGATCTGGTTGAAGCCTTGGGCGTCTGTGGCCTCAGGCCTTGAGGCTCATGGCTACATATGTACTTGTATAACCGAGACCCTTGCTTCCCCAAGGTTCTTCACAAAACCGAGGGTCTTTGATATTAAAGAGGACTATTGCAGTTTAATGGAGTTATTACTCAAGTCCTTCCAAGTCCCTGTCGCAGATGACAGAGCTGCACAGGCGCCATGGGCTCTATTCAAACTTTACATCGGTCTATATAGATTCTATTTGACGGACCTCCACTGTCTCGGGGCATTACCTAAACTCTGGAAACAAACCAGCCATCACCTGTCACTAGGCTCCTAAGTTTCCAGAACAGGGCCCTTGTAGTCCTTCTTAGCCCAAACCAAATAGTACACCGTGCTAAATAATACCAAGGACCCTGTAATCAGTATGCTAAAGTTCATGGTATCTGGCGTAACTTCTGAAGAGGGTGGCCAGAAGCTAAAAAATAAGATAATACTCAGGTAAACGCAAGTGATGACGTTGTTAATGATGCCCCCAACACCGGGAAGATGCCACGGCCCCCAAACCAGCTCCTTGCCCGTCGTCTCAGCCACAGCCGGAAGAGAAGACGGGTCAGGAATGCTGAAACCCGTAGTGCAGCGACGATACAAAAGCAAACCAGCGGCCATGAGGTACGATGAGTACAGAGAGGAAATGGCGAGAGAAACCAGAGCGTTGTAAGCGACCTGCGAGCCGATGTTGATGAGCCCGAGAAGGCAGGAAATGGCGCTCGTGGTGAGAATGGCCCAAACGGGGACACAGGTAGTAGAGTCAACCTAGGTCGCACAAAAGAATTAGTCTTCACATGCAGGAAACTCAATGTCTTGCGCGCGCCTACTTTGGACAGAGTCCGCCAAAAGGGCAGGCCGCGGTCCCGGGCAAAGGCCCAGAACATGCGCGACGTGGTGGCAATGACGCCAATGACGGAGGCGAGAGTCATGAAAATGATGATGGAGGCCATGGCAGTGGTGCCCCTTCGCGAACCCACGGCCTGGTAGAAGATTTCCATGAACGGATAGCCCGAGGGCGACGCCAAGGCGGCCTCAATGTCGGAGTTGCAAAAGGCCATGGCGATGATGATGGAAAGGCCGAGAGAACCATTAATCAGGATACTAATGATGATGGACCGCGGGACGACGAGCGACGGGTTTCGGACTTCTTCGCACATCTGTTTCGGTCGTGTTGGTGAGTGTTGTCGGCCGGGGGGGGGTCAAGACATGTCTGGCTTCAAACTCACATGAAACGTGCAATCGACACCTTTTGACCAAGGTCTTGATGAGCAATGTGTACTATACAAAACGTACCGTCAACAGATTGGCATTGCCGGGGGGGAAACTCGTACCTGCAAACGAAAACACACTGCCCACGATGCCGACGAAGCTGGACAAGGCCTGGGTGGACCAGTTGCCGCCGTTGTGGAACGTGGTAAAGACATCCTTCGCATTCCCGTGGGCGCCAAAGGTCCCCAGCGGGATGATGATGGCAAAGAAGCCGATGATGTGGACGACGAGCAGCATGCCCTCGAGCTTGGGGAGGTGCGTGCTCAGCACCGTGTTGCACAGCACGGCGAGGACGACGACCGCCCACAGCATCAGGGTGCCCTGGTACGGCTGCGGCGCGTAGCCGGCGTGGTTGAAGGCGACGAGGCCCTGGATCATGGTGCCGCTGAGGTATCCGACCGAGGCGCAGGCGCCCTGCCAGCCTCCTATCGTCAGCCAGCCGGTGATGTAGCTGAGGAACTTGGAGCAGCGGCGCGGCGCCAGCATGGCCACCCAGTGGTACTGGCCGCCCGAGGTGGGCGCGATGGAGAGCAGCTCCGAGAGGGTGCAGAAGACGCTGATGTTGCACAGCCAGACGATGAGGAAGCCCCAGATGAGGCCCGCGGAGCCGCCGTTGAGGAGGCCGGGCGCGAAGCTCATCAGCGTGCCCTCCCAGGTGATGAGGACGGCGCAGCTGAAGCCGACGGTCGAGAGGAAGCCAAAGTTGCGCTGTGAGCAGAGGGACAAGTCAGCCGGAGTTGCCTGGGAGCTGATGTTGCGCGGCACCGTACCCTGAGGACCGACTTCTTGCCCAGCCGGGCGAGCTGATGGCGGTCGTCGACGTCTTTTTGGGATGCCCGCGTCACCGAGGTCTTGCTCCCCGTCATGTCGTCGAGGGCGTAGCCCTCTCGTCGTAGACTCATTGTGGCATGGACTAGTATCCGGCGAGGCACACGGTGATGATGGTGGTGATGATGTGTTGGTGTTGTGGGTGTTGTTGTTGCTGTTGCTGCCACGACCGACGTTCAATTTGATGTTCTCTCCTGACCCGAGATCAGGAGCTACCCCATTGACTTACTCGCACATCAGTTTCGGCAGATTCAACACGTCGACGCTCCGACAGGGTCAAACCTGGTCCGAGGCCAGGGTTCATGGCACGAGCCGCATTAGCGCGCATGACGCATAACCCAGCCAACGCAGTTGGTCGACGACGATAAGCAGGGATCAGGGGGGCACAGAGCCACGGCGCCCGTGGCCGGCTCGGCATCGAGACGACATGGTTGGCCGTTGTCGACTCGTCGCATGAAGCATTCAAGACGCCGGGCCAGGGTCACGACTGTTCCCTGACCAAGGAAGGGGGCTCCAACGCAGCGGAATGAGAGGACATGTCTGGTTGTACATACAATACAACATGATGCCATTGTGCTACATGTATCTATGTATTCGCCCTGCTCGCACGAACCGGCGACTTGGCCTCAATGTCCACCTGCCAGGACTGCTGGACCAGGACCGTCTGGCTCGTGTGGCTGCGCCTGTCCCATCCCTCGGCGCTGACATCGCCCTGGTTCGCCGTGACGGTCGCCGTCGTGGCCGGCTTGGAGCTGGAGGCTTGAGCGGCGCGCGGAATGCTCGTCAGCTCAATGTCGCCGCCGCGGCCCCCGTGCTTGCTGCTGTTCTGCGCCGACGCCGCGGCCGCGAACTTGCCGCTGCCGCTCCTGCTCTTGGCCCCCGTGTTCTGGGACGAGGCGTCGACGGCGAGCATGGCGCCCGACTGGAAGCTGTCGAGGAACGGCTTCAGGTACGGCACGCACGCCGTCACGATGCTCAGGCACTGCACCACCTGCGTCAGGATGGTCGGCAGGAACATGTTGAACGTGGCGTCGCTCTCGTCGTAGAGGCCGTGAAAGACGACCATGTGCGCGATGATGGCGGGCGTGACTCTGGGGTCGTTGTTAATTTGAAGTAAATAAAATAAAAAGACGCTGCTGCGCGGCTGGGGTCCGGCAGACTCACAGGATGCGGCTCCCAAACACGCCTCCTACCAGCATCTTTTTGCGAAGCGGTAGCTGGAGCTGGAAGGAAATCGTAAACATGATGGCCACAATGGCAACGTCGGTCAGGATGTCTCCGATGGCGACGTATATCCAAAAGGCGGTCTGCACAGCCGTCAGTCAACATCGGTAGAGGACGCGGGGGATTTTCCCCCAAGCAGCAATACATACTCGCTGGAAACACTGGCCGGCAATGTAGTCCCACGGAATGGGCAGGTCGCACTGCAAGAGGGCGGGGACAATCGACGTAAAGGACCAGAGGATTATAAAGGAGCAGGTAATGAGGACGGTGCGTCTGTGATACAACGGCGCGAGCACCCAGAGCGTCGTGATGGCGGACAGTTTGGCCAGCGTCATGCTGGCAAGGAAGAGGGCATTGGCAGCATATTCGGCCTATTGACTCTGCGGTAAGCCCAGGGCCAGGCCCAAAAAATGACTGCAACATGAGAGTGCATCGTACCTTGAGAACATACGTAACCTGGTCGCCGCGCAGGTCACGCAGGTGTTGGCCGAGCCCGCGGTCTGCTTCCGCAACAACCACGGCAGACTGCGCAACCGCCAGGGCCTGTGAAGCACCACCGCCAAATCCGCATCGTCAGCGCCGTGATGCGGCCTCGGGAACATTGAAACTCGGGGCGAGGGCGGCACTTACGGTTGCCGCCATGGCGAGCTGGTCGTCCAGGCCCAGCCTCCTGACGGTGAACCATTTCATCGAGATGCGCGTCAGGCAGGCCAGCAGCCCGACCACCATCAGGAACAGCGTCGCTGCCCTCACCACCAGCGACCTGTTGTGCATGGACAGGTCATGAGGCCGCTCCATCATGCCGCTGCTGCGCACGGCATCAAGATGCAAGACCCTTGGCCACGTGTGATCTCGATAACTTGGCTTGGCGGGTAGAAGTCTTGCCTTGGGCCGAGAAAAGGTCGTCGGAGTTTGTAAGGGTTACAATACGGAGTAGGCAGGACCTGGATTTCTTTTTTTTTTTTTCTCTCTTCTGTCCTCTTTGAGTAACAATGTACGGAGTACTGTCAATACAACAAAATCACCACCCCTTGTCGTGGCGTCCAACTGGGCTTGACGTCGGAACGTCAACCACCTTCTAGCGAGCTTCTCGCAACGCATAAACGGTGGCAAAGGCCCTGGTGGCAGAATTTCTCTTCTCCGCTGCCCCCCGAAAAGAGTCGAGTCAACTGGTCTAATTTGCTGTTTGGCCAGCCAATTCCTTTGGCAGGGAAGACTGGTCTGCAGGGCGCCAGAGCCCAGGCACGCCAGTCCCCCTTCAGCCAGGTCGCTGCCGATAGTTGCCAGGTGCAGTTAGAAGCTGCATGCAGTTTAATGCGAGTCGCCTGTTATTAAGGTTTCAATGTTCAATTTCTTTGAGACGCCAAGGCCCGTCCGTCCGCTTGGACTACGCACGCTGATCGTGAAACGCACACGCAATTCCCGCACAAACGGCTGACACGAAGAGCTGGGGTCGACACAACTAGCCAGGAGCAGCGAAGCTGGACGCTGGTTTGTTTTATATAGGTCCCGCCGGCTCGAGGCTTGTCAAGACTGGGTATCCCTTCTCTCTGGCCCTACAACCCGGGCTTTGAGGCAATGCCATCCCAAGTCACGGCAATAACAGGTCGCTGCCCTTTTTTTAGTGTTTTAACGTTATGCCATCTTCGCTCCCAACACGTGGTCTCGCTGAGAAGTGTGTAGAGAAGCCGAGTCAGGTCCCAGGGGCACTCGCCTCAGATGGAATAGATGGGGTTGGAACACGACGCCGGCTTCGGTTCCCGGCAAAGACCATATCCCAGCCGTGCATATACGATAACCCACTCGGCTGGTGGGCCTGGCTTCAATCGTGTTTCCAGGTTGTACATTAGCTTACCTGCGACGGTGGAATTCCATTGGTAAAGCCCCTGCGTCCAAGAAGCGGCGACATGCAGTCGAACTCTAGTTGGGTTGGGTGAAGAGGCACTGTCCGCTGCCTCGGGCCAAAGAGCGCCCTGGTGATTTCTAGAATCACGTCAAACGATATTCTGGCGTTATAAGCTCGACGCTACTTCCTCTGTCGCCCGTCGTCTGACGTCCAGGGTCGGGCGTTGATAAAAATAGCCGCCCGGGGAGTCCTCGTGGCAGAATCTTGCCGGGGTCTGTTTGCACAGCCGAATCCGTGTATGGATCCGGTTGACTGAAACTTGGGAGCATGACGCCGAAATCAGATCTTGTTTTTCTGCCCAGTTCCCAACCCTGGCCCGCCATGTGTTGATAACTGATGCACGTAATGACAGGCATCTGGTTACACGAACCCAAGGCCCGAGCATGCCTACCCGTTGGCGACTAGGTGGAAGAGCCGCATGGTTGCCAACGGGTGAGGTAAAGTTTTGCTAACCAACGCAAACTATGAGAGACTCGGTAGTTGGCCGTTGACAGGTTACCGACGAAAAGCACTTGTTTGTTTACCATGACCATCACCAGCGTCAGGTAGTTGGCTAGTTGTATAAATGCACGCCTCGCACATGCTGTTCCTGTTATATCGTGCGGTCGCTCTCGTGTGGCCGTTGACAAATCCGAACACATTCCGCGTCGCTTGCGTTTTGCCGAGCGTCCCAGCCCCATTATTGATCCCATTATCCCCAGAGGTAAGCTTATCGGCAAAAGTGGCACCTGGGGACTTTGCCATTTCTCTCTTATAGCCTTGCACCGGATTTCGTACAGAAAGTCTTGGGGTTAGGGTTGTACAAAACGCGAATAGCTCCGTAAATCGAGTCGTGGTCAAATGCAGCCAAGATGCCATTTTGCGCATTTTCTACATTCAAGTGCAAGAAAATATGACAGACCCGTCATTCATAGTTTTTTTAATTTTTAAAAACACAAATTAAAGTCCAAGTATCTCAGGCTGAGTGATGGATTGATTACCTGTCAATTGATGCTTGATTACCAAGAAATGACGAATAAACCCCGCCCTCAAAAACCCCAACTTCAACCAGACTTCATATCCCCAACATCAGCCCATCGCAATCCCCACGGAGAAACCCAAACATGTCGCCCCGGGACGTAGTAGCAGCATCGGACTCCGTTCCGCTCTCCTACCGCCTCCTGCTCACCGTGGTCGAGCCGCTGTTTGCCGTCAGCGGCGCGATGCTGGTGCTCCTCGCGCCCGAGAGGTACCTGTCGACGGTGACGCGCCACGGGGGCACGTTTGCCGCCGGGTCGACCTTCCTGTATACTTTGCTTGGGGGCGCCTGGCTGTACTTTGCGTTTGTCGAGGCCGTCGTGATGCGCGCCTGCGACGACGTGCGGCTCTGGCGGCTCTTGTGCGCCGGCATGCTGGTCAGCGATGTCGCCTTTTGCCACGCGGCCGCGCAGGCCGTCGGCGGCTGGACGAGCTGGGCTGACCTGTCGGCCTGGATGCTGGACGATCATTTGGTGTTTTGGGCCACCGTGCCCTTCTTGGTCGTTCGTGTCTTGGTTGTTCTTGGCATCGGCGTCGGACCGCGGGGCAAGGGTCCAAAGTCGGAGTAGATGAGGGGATGGGAACGGGGGAGATGTCGAGGTGCTGGTTCTTATTGGAATCTATCGGTCACGTATTGACATGGGATGAGCTTCTGCAAGTCGTCGCGATGAGGGCGATGCCACCTTGTTGGTTTGCGCTTACTGTCTTTGTTTAGGTACTGGTTTACATGCATTTTTACTCCCAAGCAAAGCGTAAGAAGGGTACTGCAAGTTGACAGTGTGGATCGACATGAATACTCAGCGCTTAGCAATGCCCGTGGTGATTGATGATGTTAAATCTACCACTGGAGAGAACTTGGAGCTACGTCAGCTCTTATGCTGCCCAAAGAGTACTCTTGGCTTCTAGTCTCCGAGCTTCCTTGCTTGCCATTTGTTATCCTAGCTCTTTGTAGGCATTTACGCCGCCCTGACTCGTGTCATGTTATTGTTCTAGCCACCAAGAGGGATTGTCAGGGCGGTTAGTCTAAAAGCAGAAGAGCTAGGTCATCAAGTGTAAACCATGACTCGGTCAAGAGATGCTATGGTGAGCCTATTGGACTGCACTACATATTTCATCGCAACAGCGCCCTGGGAAGCTTTTAGTAACAATCTCACCCTTCGTGCGGAGTATTCCTTGTTTTTCAGATTCAGACCCTCCGCAGCAGCAGACTCCACCAAAACTTCTCGACAAAATAGCGCTCTAGGTCGAATGCTTGAAACCAGAAGAAAAATAAAGGAACAGTCCCGAATATCTCTTATGCGAGAATATACAGTGCACTTCCGGAACTAGTTTCATGTATGACTTGGTAGGCGGCCAAAAACCAATATAGAGGTTTTCATCGGAATCGGCAGGCCAACCTTGTACTATATTCGAGCAAAACGACATCGTCGATCTCATCGGATACAATATACAAGAGCAAGTATACGAGTCAGCTCGTGTGATGCGGGTGCGGATTACCACACTACACGGTGCGGCAAGGGTTATCATCCATCTTGGACATGATTGCGTTTGAGAACCGAGAACGGCAAAACAGGGCCATACTCTATGAGACGTTTACGTTGGTATTGAAATATGCACCTTCTACATCCCACGAGCATGGACCAAGTATATAAAGTAGGCCCTGGTAGGTTGCTGAATCTCGAAAAACAGACACAGGCCTCACATTCTCATCAACTTTAGCCTACATATCAGACATGTATACTACTTTTCATTCCGTTCAATATGTGTTTCCTCAAGGGGGCTTTCACATTCGCGGCCTTTTCGGCCCTGGCTGCCAGCATCCTCGGTGTCCCTCTTGAGACGAGCACTATTGTCGATTATGATAGTAAGCTTGTTGGATGCTCTCTTGTGCCACAGTAAGCCTAGATAGGGGCATGTTGAGAATCCAGCCTTGACTGCTTGCTTGTCACACGGAAATGGCGTTGGTTACACAAGGGCTACGGTCACGGGATTAGGGCAAAAGGTCCTCACCGACTTCTTGTATTTAAAGACGTCTTTGGCGACCGAGGCCTTGAGGAAAACCAAGGACCTTTGATACCAAAGACTGTTATTAGATGAATTGAGTAAATGCTCCCAGCCTCTAGCCCTTGTCACATTACTAATATGCTAATCATCTATTAGAGGGTGACTTGGCACGACATGCCGTCGACGTGGGCGGCCTAGACGAGCATCTTGCCGACCTGAGCCTTCCCATCGACGCCAGACATGACTCCCGCCTGGTCGAGAGACAGGTTCAAACGCCTCCCACAAGAAAGGACATGAAAGTCTACTTGGTCAATCTCGAAAAGCAGCCAGCATACTCCGGTTGCACCCAGAAACTTGTTTTCTGGTCTGGTGTGACTGAGGGCCAAGCCAGGTCTTTTGCGACCAAAAATAAGCGATTCACAGTAGGCATGTTAATTCAGCCCAAGACAGACTAGGACATGTAAAAGAAGCCCAAGTCCGAGGGCGGCTACTGAACGGACTGGGCAGAGACGTTCAAAATGTTCTGGGACACCATCTCCAAGGTCATGGCCGAGCTAGCCTAGGGCGACGTGTACGGCTACTTCACTGAGCGGGCGGTCGAGCAGAAGGATCTTAAAGAGTGCCAGGTGGTCTGGTGCAGGATCGAAAAGTCGATTGTCGTCCAGTCCCGCAAGGGCAAGCAGGTCACCAGTGTCGCGAAGTACGTCCTCTACAAGGACAGGTCCACGAAGCATGGTGGCTTGATCAAGACTATTGCCGCATAAATCGGTGCGCTGGGCGGGAATTGGCCGCAAAGCTGGCTCTGACACCTGCACGGCGTGACGGAGACTGAGGAATCGGCGAGGATCTTGCTGCTGAGGCGAGGGTGCACTAGTCTGCCTTTTCACAGTTTCATTTCTGCTTGCTTTGTTAGTCTACATAGGTAGCAGCTCTTTTATACAGTAGTCGCGGCCGCCTAGATGGTTCTCAATATATCCGCTGTGGCGGCTACATGCTGCTCTACATGACTCGCTTGTTGCTTGCTGTCTGAGCATGACTTCCCAAAACGAGCGGAATTGTAAATTCCAGCAGAAAACGTAACTTGTGTGAATTCCTTTTCTTGCCTGCTGGGCGGTCTTCCGGTCCCGGCCGGCCGGGGCTCGGGGAAGTGGAGTGCCGCACCGGGCCTAGCCGGAGGGCGAGCCTTCGATAACCATGTTGATATCAGGAGATGCTATTGTATTATGCAGGCTGCCCCCCTCTCAGCGCTGGCGTGTCTGGCGACAAGCAGCCCGTGGTCACCCTTATATTCAAGACATGCGCACACCCCGGCGTGCTGGGTTATGCGCGTGACTCGCCGCCTCAAACCCGGCCACCTCCCCTCCCCCCAAGTCGTCAAAGAAACCCGCGCCCGTACCAACTCACACCCAACCCGTATATTGTTAGCCACCTCTATGTAACGCCATTATGGGCATCATGAGCAACGGACACGGGTCTCCCTCCCAGTCACGCAAATTGGAAGAGCAAGCCCAGAAGCTTGTCGAGGCATCCTCTGCCGGCGATATCCCCCATCTGGAAGCATTGCTCGAGGCGGTGCAGGACTTGAACCGGGACCCGGCCCATCTCCCCACAGACGGCTTCCTTCTCCAGACTGCCGCCAGGCAAGGCCAGGCCGAGTGCATTCGCTTTCTTTTCGAGCGCCTCCCCGGCTGTGTAGCCCGGCCGAACAAGCGCTGGGATCCCGTCCTGCCAGACGGATACAGCTACACTGACATTCCCGACAAGTGGCACGTCTACAAAGACGGCGTTATCCACGAGGCTATTGGCGGCAAGGACCCTGTCGGGCTCTTCCGCGTCTTTTTCAACTACGGCATGAACCCCAATGTCGGCTTGGGCTACGCCGGCTCGCCCCTGGCCCAGGCCGTCTCCAGCAACCAGCTCCCGCTCACGGAATACTTGCTCGCCAGGGGCGCCGACCCCAACGGCACCTACATGTCCAGCAGGCTTTTAGGCGTGGCAGCGAGGCAGCCGACCGACGACGTGCTGCGCGCCCTCGTCGCACACGGAGCGCTGGTGCTGGGATCGCAGGCCCTTCAGCAGGCTGCGCACTATTGGCGAGCTCGCACCGCGGAGACGCTCCTGAGGCACGGCGCCGATATCAACGAGGTGTTTGCCAGGGAAGAGTATGACGACAGCATGCAGCTCGTCCGGGTGCCGTTGGGCTGTGCGCTGCACTTTGCCGTCGAGGGCGGCATGCGCGGCGGCGGCCCGGCTGAGCAGAGCGACTTTGTGCGGTTTTTACTTGGGCGAGGGGCGAGGACGGATTTGGTCAACGATCGGGGGGAGACGCCGGTGCAGATGGCTGAGCGTCTGGGCAAGACGAGCATTATTGACGTTATTCAATCGCGGGGCGTGGATGGGTAGACGAGCATGAGACCGGCATGGGAGCCCGTCGTGTATCGCGAGATAGCTAGCTGTAGCTCAAGTTGAACACGACTTGCTTTGTCGTGCAAAAGGGCTACCCAATGCTTTGTGCAGACGGTTAGAAGGGCTCGCTTAGCCGGTTGGCCAGCTATGCTGTTGAGATTGTCCTGCTGTGAACCCACGGGCCGGGTATGAGTTGATGTACTAGGAACTCATTTTCAGTGCGGTTGTTTCTTGGTGGCACAGCGTATTGTGGCCCATGATCGTCTCCCCGTGTGACCCTTTATACGGATCGTGTGGCACGGAAGCGTTACTCGGTTCTCATCGTTCCGATGCAAGAGGGTTGGCTGGTTTGTTCCCGGTGCTTTGTGCATCGTCGGTGAAGTCATGGCCTGCCGTCGAGCTTTTTGGGAAGACGTCACACATGTAGGTGTAACCTCGGTGAAGTCACCGCCTGTCCTCCAGCTTTAGGCAAGATGCCATGGGTGCAGATGGGCACGGGAAGCAACAGACGAGTTGGGCCAAGTTGCAACGCACATGTTGAACATAAATACTGTGTGAATCCCGACTGAATCGCAAGACTTGTTCACTTCACAACACTACAAGTCTACAACACGAGTGCTGCTACCCAAGGCTTTCAACCTGATATCAAGAAACTTGCCCCTCTACTTCCATCTCTTGGTCACATCGGCGCCACCTACACCATGTCGGATCAACAAAAAGCCAGCGAGCTGATGGCAAAGGTGACCTCGTCATTTACCCCGAGGTGGAACGATGCTGGCAGCAAGGCCTCCCGCGACGGCGGCTTCTGGCATCCCGACTCTGACCGCGATTTCCGACCCGTCGGCAGCGTTGGCGTCGGCAGCCACAGGGACATCAACGGCAGCTACTCGGCGGTGCTCATCGCGCCCAACTGTGCGGCGATGCAGAAGATCAACGCCGAAGGCATGTGCGAGTCTCCCGTGGCCAGTCCCACCGGGTACACCCAGATCTGGACGGACGCGGGCAGCAAAGCCAAGAAGAACGGCTCCTTTTGGCGTCCAATTCCTCCCAACGGCTACGTGGCCCTTGGAGATGTTGCCCAGGACGGCTGGTTGCCCGCACCGAGCGTCGGCGATGTCTGGTGTGTGCGGAGAGACCTCGCAGTGGCAGGCAGCTTCGGCAGCCCGAGCGTCTGGGATGACAAAAAGTCGGGTTCCAAGAAAGATGTGTCGGTCTGGGAAATCAAAGGCGGGTATGGCAATATCCAGCCCGCCGTGACACGACTTGGCGCCATCCGCGTCAGTGAAACGTACACTGCTCCTAGCTTGAGCTTTGCCGTCGTCCCCAATGTGTAGGCCGTCTTTGATGTACGGCTTCCCGTTGAGGAGTCGTGGGGGGTTGGAATTGGCGAATGGATAGGTTACCGTGTCATGGAACCATGTTGGCAACAGAGGATGACCGGCAAGGTAACTTGACCTCATAAAATGCAAGGGCGGAACTATTGTAGATCAACTCTACATACTCCTCGAGCTTTATTGTGCGGCTTCTCAACGATCCCGCAGCATGTGAGATGATTTATGACATTCTGCAGATTCTATAATTTTGAATAATTCATTTCCTAGATATTATATATCGCTGACAGTGGAAATGGTCTTTCATTTTGAGCCCTTAACGTGAACATGGTCCAAATCTACTCCGTATATATAATGGCTCAAACTTCCCCGGCGCCATCAGAATCACCGACAACCGGACTGCACACATCATTGCAAGCCATTACATTCGCTCTGAGCTCTCGCCATGACTACCAGCGTCTTTCGCTCCATTGACTCTAGTTCGATTCAGGATGATGGATGGGGGGCTTGGACCAAGGTCGACAGTGACGTCACTTGCTACAAATGCACCCAACGTCGACGCTCCGTGACGAATATTCGCACATCGAACTATATTACACGGTGTGAAGAAAGTGAGTACCTTGGGTCTGAGAGGTGGCAAGTGACTTTTTCAAAATCTGGCTTCGCTCTGACTTGCCCCATTCAGTACGGCAAGTCTATAGATCAATCAAGATTGTGAGCTTGTTGAATCAAGACAGCCATTGGTACACAAGAGTTTACATTGCGTAAGTTTGCTCAGCAAAGTCCAAGTTCCCCTGACTGACTCACGGCAGCATTTTGTGATTCAGTGGCGGCGGCCAACTACAGCCGTGATTTCTCACGTTGGGCAATGCGGACGGCACCGTCAAAGTTTATTATACTACATGTGTAATTTTAAGCTCATTTAGTACAGAGTCTAGCTCGTATTCTCCTAGTCTGTAATCATTATTTTTTTTCTGCGTCTTTTACACCTCATGTCCATACGCTGTGTGAATGACTAGCCTCGGCGCCGCCTCCTGGTCAGGCACTCCGAGCATTTGGTCGCACAAATGTAGGCCAATCAGAAATGCAGACGTCTCTTCTTCACTGCTCCATTCATCTCTACGACGAGTGTTAGTCACGCACCCAGGACATCTAGTAGCACAAGAATAGGCCAGTAATGGGTGCAGGCGTCTTCTCTTGACACATGGAAATTGTGCTCCACAAGCACCCTGGATTTACTATATAACAGGCGCGATGGCTGGTCTTCTGACCCGAATCTACCATCCCTTTACAATTCTTAAAGCTGATTTTGGGCAAAATCTCTATTATTGTTCTCTACGCCAATGCTCAATATGAGTGGCTCCTCCGGAGAGTCATTACAAATCATCAACACGGTGGAAATAGGAACCGGTTCGTTTCCGCAATTCACAAAACTTCCCCCGGAGATTCGTTCTATGATATGGACGCAATCACTCTGTCATGAACGCTTTATTCGAGTGGAACTTTTGCTAGGAAGAAGTCCTCAAGACCTATTAGACGAGGATCGACCAGACTACTATATTCGACTAGATGCGCATATTCTGCAAGAACTGGACGCTCGGTCAAATCACCGTGCTCGCCTTGACCGGGAGAATAGCTTCCTGGTTGTCTTGAGAAACAGGCATGAGATAAGCAAGCTCTTCCGGGTTTGCTCCGAGTCGCGACAAAGTGCCATGGGTTTCTATCGTGTTAAAGTGCCTTGCTATTATAAGCAGCTGGGCGAATATCCGACCGAAGGTACATTCTATTTCAATCCGGAGCTGGATTTTTTGGATATTGTTGGGTTGAAATTCCTTCCCAGATTCGCCAACACACTATTGGTTAATGATCCCTGGCATGTCGGACTCATCAACCTAGGGTGTGTATGGCGTCATGCTAGGGGATACTACGATCCTTTGTTTCAGCCGATCGAGGGCGACGAGCATCTTGTACGTCAACTTCTGTCAAGACTTCGTCGTGTCATCTTCGGCTACAATGGACACTTTGGGCGTGGTATTCAGAATCGTATGGCTCAGAGGTACGGATGGAAGCCTCAGTTACATCGGTCCAGACCCATACTGGCCTCTGTCTCCAAATTTCAGAGGTTGCCACAGGATCCCAGGTCAGTTGAAGCAGAGTTGACCAAGACTTTCTTGGGCTACTCGGATCCGCGAGACCAGATGTACCGCTGGTTCAGGCTTTTGGAGCACTGGCAAATCGAGCATCCCAATCATCGTGTCGATTATCGTTATATGGTTGCTGTTAACAATACACGGGTGACGGACCGAGACGAAGCACTTTTTGCGCTCAGAGAAGAGAAGGAGGAATGGAATAGATGCCAGGAGGCGTATATGGCCAACGGGGTACCCTGCGAGGAAGACGATGATGAACTTGCTTCAGCCTATGGGTTCTGGCTCTTTCCCATAAATGCATTCGGGCGCATCCCAAAGGCCAATAACCGGATCCGTCATATTGGTAGAAGTTATCTCGAGAGTCGGCCCAGGGTTTGGAAGTTTGGGAAGGCATGGGATGTATCGAAGGAGTCGCCCGAGCTCTGCCTGCAATACCTCCCCAAGGTACCATTGTCAGAGCCCGAGGACAATCGGACTAGCAGGCTATGGAAGTCACCAAAACATCGTCCATGCATGAGAGACCGATTCCCTTTATAGCCCTATATAGCGTATTATACTCTTATTATCGGTAAACTCTCCTAGTAGTATATATTAGCTATTAATAATTATTACTTATAGTAATTTTTATAATTTATAAGAAGAATTTTTAATAAAAATAATATTTTAAATTATTAAATTATTAAATTATGTTAAATATTTATATTTATTAAATATAATCACATGATAAGGGTTTCAGCCTTGCGCGACGCCCATAGCATTACACACTCCCGTTTTTTCGGCCCAGTACCTCGTTTGCAACCTTGTTTGCAACCTTGTTCGCAGCCTTGTTCGCAGCCTTGTTTACAGCTTTGTTCACAGCTTTGTTCACAGCCTCGTAGCTATTTCTCAAAAGCATATACAACCAGACACAATCAACATTTGCCGTCAATTATCAAGTGCAACAGTCCTAAGCTATTCAAACCAAGGCAAATGTAAGTAAAATAAAGCGAGTGTTTCTAGCAATAACTAATAAATCAAGCTCAGACCTAAACTACGAGAGCCTGCTTCGCAGACCGCAATGTCTGTAGAATTCACCCTCGATGAACTCGTACAGAGGAGTCCCGCTAGGTTTACCGATCAGGGCTACGTAGCCCAACGATTTTACACCGCTGGAAAAGGCAATGACTCGAAAGAAACGGATGGCCTCGCGACCTGTATTAGAGTTGCAGTCGCGGGTGACTATGGTGAACCTGAGGCCTCTGGCGACGACCGTTTCTTAGCCCACGTCGACGATCTTGAGGATCCTGTTTTGGAGGGCTTTATTCCTCTAGTAAGAACTGCCATAGAAAACGGCCTGCACAACTTGCGGGCAATCATGGTGGTTCCGCAACCGGGTACGGATGCCGACAATCCTGACGGCACGAACGACGATCAGCTTCGTCAGGACGAGATTTTTGACCTGATCGGGACCGTTGTGGATTATAACAATATTCAAATCGAATCTCATGACAACGATAAATCGTGGCGCCTGGAGATTGAGGGAAACAAGAACTTTAAGTTCGGCCGTAAAATGGGCGATGTGTATGACGACGATGATGAGGATGACGACGATGACGACGATGACGACGATAACGATGATAACGATGATAACGATAATAACGATGATAACGATGATGAGGATAATAAGTATGACGAGGATGACGACGATGACGATGATGACGAGGATTATGTGGACGATGAGGATGATGAAGATGATGAGGATGAGTACTAAAGGGTATCATGAGCCTCTTTTAAATACCAAGAAGCTTGGTTGAAGTAAACTGAATCAGTCAATCTGGGTCATAGTTATTTAGAGCTATGCCTTGTCCTAGTCAGCTACGTCTATTTAGAATAGCAGGTTTGGGCCATCTTCGATCATAAGTCTCCAGTATACCATTGAGCTCCGCGTCCACGCCCTGTTCACGCAGCCAAATGTCTCCTCGAAATGGCCGCTTCACATTCAGGTCTGCTTTGGTCTGGATAATGTCCGAAATCTTGCTTGTCAGCTCCCGACACCACGGGCCATGTTCCTCCTCGTTATCCCAGTGCGATTCAAATCGAATCAATACTTTGCCCAAAGGCATGGAGCACCTTTCTGGTAGTTCTGACATGGCTCCGGCTCCGAGAATAACCAACGCGTACATCCGGTTATGAACAGGATGGTCCTTTGCGAATTCGAAAGCATCGTATAACTTGGGTAGTACGGCCTCACAATCTGGGACAACCCAAGACGATGTCTGCACACTAAAAGACCTGGTCATTTCATGAGCCGCATTGGCCGGCTTCCAGAAGACTAGAGGGTCCTTGAGCATTGCTAAAGAGGAGGCTTCTGCCAACATTCCAAAATTGGCGGCCAAGAATTCCGACGCCACCTGCAATCGGTAATCGATGAGGGGTTTCTCGTTCCATTGCGAAAGGTCAGCCGCCCATGATGCAATCTGGTCCCCCAGATGCTCCCGAAGACAGGCAATTGTCTCCTCTTTCCTCAGGAGGCTCGCGATGCGGAACGCACAGACGGGCTCGGGGTCATCCAACTCGTAGTAAAACTTAAAGGATGGCGAAATGTCCAGAGGCAAATTTTGCGTCTTGTCCATGAGACTAGATGTCACGCAGACCGCCACCTGCTCCCTGTTGAGGCGAATGTTGCACCACGTGGTCACCTTTGGCTCATCAATCAACCGCAAACGTATTTCGGTGACTACTCCTGCTCCGGCTGCGGCACCACCACGCAACGCATATAAAAGTCTTGGGTGGCTATGCTCATCCACGCTGACGACAGATCCATCCCATAAGACAACACGTCCGCCGATGACAGATTGACAACCGAGTCCATACCGCCGAGTCAACATAAGATCCCATCCAGCCGTAGTGAAATGTCCACCTACTCCGACACCAAAGCAATCCCCGTGGGGGACTGCCTTGCGGTTCGTGGCGAGAGTGTGCATGACCTGACCGAGCAAGCAGCCTGGCTCAAGCACCAGTGTACCATTCGAAATATATTGGTTGGTCATGGCTCCCAGGTTCAGTAGGATGACGGGATGAGGGCTTGGATCCCGGTGCAGGTATCCATGGCCGCCACTCTTGATTGAAATGGTGAATCCATCGTAAAGCTTGAACTCCTGGAGCAACTTGACAGTTTGGCAAACTCCCCATTCGCTCCGCGGTGATACCACAGCTGCAGGAATCACGGCTCCCGTGTCATGCATCATGGCTTCGAGCGGAAGGGCATCTCCATTGACATGCTCTGCTTGAATTCTTCTCCGTTTGAGGGTCGATATAAAGCATGCTAAATCGCTGTTTGTCCCATCACCGTTGCCATTCATGATTGCACAATCGGTTTTGAGGCTTGGATAGGTTTGGCTGTCCATGTTAGGAAGTGAAGTTATGGTGAAAGAGTTGTTGCCTTGTGCCACTCCAAATAGCCGCTATTGAGTATGAAGGGTCCTTGGTTTTCCTTAAGGCCTCGTTTACCGAAGACGTCTTTAAATACAGAAGTCGGTGAGGGACTTTGCCCTAGGTCCCGTGATTGTAGCCCTTGTGTAACCAAGGCCATTTCCGTGTGACTGTGACTACGTATGTCTTGCTCCCACCCGAACACGAACAGCTCCCATGTCAATCCCATATATTAATTGCATTTGGAGCCCATGATATATTTTGGCTAGACCTAGAATAAGATGGCAGTTTAGAGTCTTATTCAGGTGCCCACGGATGCGGGTAGTAATAGCTGCAAAATAACCACCTGCCTTTTAATAGATAAGTAGAAGAAATTAAGGAGCCAGTTTATTAAATATATATTTATAGCTTTTTGTTGTGATATTAACTATATAACTGAACACACTACTTGTGCTACAAGTAAAAGGTATAATTAAAGAGAACACAGTAAAGTATAGTACATTTAGCTAAACTAGATCTTTAGCCTTCTATTTTAACCCCAGTATTTATAAGTATATTAAATTTAAATGTAATTAGTATTATATTTTATAATATATTTGAATATATTGTAAATATATTTAAATATATTAAGCCTTTTCTATGTAAGACGTGTCGGGCGCAAAATCCGCAGGTAACAAAACAAGGGCTGTTACACGGATGACACGTTGCCATGAAGGCACGGGCCGAACCTTAAACCCGACGATAGTTACACAAGGGCTCTAATCACGAGACCTAGGGCAAGGTCCCTCACCGCCTCTTAATATAAATAAAGGTCTTCCGCCCTCAGGGCTTTAAGGAAAACCAAGGACCTTTGATATCAAAGCAAAGTATTAGCTGAATACGAAATGTTATTCTAAGCCCCTAAATACTATACCCTTGTCACAAGGGCATTGTTCTTTGAAATCTATTTTTCAAGTTACATGATAAGGCGTCATTATAACATGTTGTACTTGTCTTGACTAGGTTGTAACAGTTCTTGTAGTATAGAATTCGCTATCACCTTTACTACCAGATTACTTGTCATTATGCGCAGGTGCGTTCTAGAAACGAAACGTGGACAGATATTGAATTCTACTGTCTAAAAACAGTTCCATCGCCAAACGTCCTTCTCTCTGATGCCTCCGCATCTATTCTAGATACAGGCCACCAAGTAGACATAGTCCAGTGCTATTCTGAACGGGAGCCCTCTATGCGTAGAAGTGACGACGTGTCCTTCCATTACCCTTTGGCTTGGGCTTGGTCTTGGGCTTGGTGCCAGTGCTAGGGTTGTCGTCATCATCACCGCCTTGCCCCGGATGGTCCTCCCCGTCTCCCTGGGTAGCTGGCCTAGCCGGCCTGTCGGGTCTCGTACTCGGATGCTTGGGTGGCGGCTCAATTTCGTCATCCCCGGGATTGCCGGTTCCCTGTTCATCGTGGGATGTACCCGGCTTTTTACCCTGAGAAGGATGCTTGGGCGGCGGCTTGACCTGGCCCGTATCAGAAGTACCTGGATCCGATTCATTATCGGCCGGCGTGGGTGACTGCGTGACTGCAACCTTTCCAGCCGCCTTTAGCTGCCTCCAGTTGAACGGTGTTGTGTCCGGGACGGCGGCAACCTTGTCATCAGTCAACACGTTGAGGTCCTTGACCAATCTGTTGCAGCCCCAGTTGTCCTATACTTTCTGTGAATACCTGTTCTAAACGCGTTTCAGGGGTCGAGAATATACCTACACCGTCACCGCAGGGGGGTTGAATGATGTACTCCTCGCCATTGGGGCCCGGCCTCTTCAGTTTCATGATGGCGACAATTCGAGCCTCGCTGTTGCTCAAATTTTCGCTGCCAATGTTGGCCTTGTAGTAGGCATCAAAAGTCATGACCTCACCGCACCTTGCTTGGTTCCTGTGGGTGCCGGTGCCACAGGCGGCCAGGTCGGCCTCTACCCCTGGGCCTAGTTTAAGGGAGTCGCCTTTCTTGACAGATGAAGCAAAGAAGATTTCCTTGGAACGAGTCAGGGACGATTGTCATGCTCGGCAGCAGTCAAAACTTAAAACTTGGACGACCCTCTCCGGCCGGCGAATCTCGGCTTTATCCTCGTATCTTTCAAGCTACCTTGATAGAATACACCGGAGCCTGCAAGTCTTGGCGGAAAATTGAAGCCTTTTGTTTTTCGGTGGGAATGACACTGTATCTCAAGTACAGCGTAGCTTTGGGAAATATTTATACCCAAGGCTCTTGCCTCGAGAATTTCCAAAATCATCAAGAGCATCGGTTGACAATTCAGTCTACGGGGGTGCCATTTGCTAAATCCTGGATAGGCGAGCTGCAACTCGGCACCGTGGATGCCATTGTGGCTGCCCTCCTGGCATCCATGCCAAATTTGACGACTTTGTATCTCGGTCCAAACTTTACCATCAAGAGCCGGCTTTGGGGAGGCGTGCTTCAATGCGCCCTTTGCCAGCCAAAAGAATACCAGTTGCCTACCCTTACGCAGCTCCGTCATGTCACGTCCGAGTACAGGGCCAAAGAATGGCACCACCGCGATACCACCAACACGGCCGACGTCCTTCCCTTCTTTTACCTCCCCAACGTTGAGCACCTGTCCGTTTCTATTGACAACCCAGCTCAATTCGCGTGGCCTTCAGATCCGCCCGCCCCGTCGTCACTAGTGTCCCTGGATCTGTATAGGCTGCGAGAATCGCGACTGGCCCCCATCCTCTCCGTCCTTAGGGGACTCCAGAAGCTACACTGGAACTGGCTATACCAGCCAGATCTCGATGAAAACGTTAGTCAAGATGTCGTTGAACTTGATACGGCAGCTGCTGCACTCGGCCACGTCCGAGATACGCTTACAGACCTGACGATCCGGACCATAACACGCCCTAGAATATCAGTCGGCGATTACGACCCTCCCTCGTTAGAAATTCAACCCTCCTTAGACGGCATTTCTAGCTTTAATAAGCTTATAAGATTATGCGTCCCTTGGGTCTTCTTGATGGGGTTTTCGCCATCCTTGAGTAGGAAACTTTGAAATGCTCTCCCTTTACATCTTGAATTCCTTGATTTGGCCGCAGATTTAGACGATCACGAGGAATGGGAATGGGACGATGACTCCGTTCTAGATGCGGTGAGGTCCGAGTTAGCGGGTCGAGCTTTATCGTCGAGACCCCGTCTCCGTCAGATTACTCTGCCTATTCCGCTTGGTTTTGGCGATTTATCTAGTGAACAAAAGAAGCAGCTAGGGGATATTAGCGCAAGTGCGGGAGTAAAACTGGCATGGATTGATAAATGAGTATCACGGCTTTGTTACACTTGTGCTAAATTTTTCAGCACAAATGGGATTACATATGTCAAGCTGGTACAATGCAGACGCATGTGGAGACACTTATAATGACGTCAACTTAATTCTTGGTCCGTCTCGTTTTATGTGGCGCTGCTCGATTTCGTAATAGGAACAAGAAGACGGCTCTTTGTATCATGTTCGCGCAAAGGATCCCGACATCCAGCTTATAATACTCTCAACATCCAAGGTGTTGATACGCTCATAATCTGGGGAGCCCTCCCATTGGAGACAGCACCAGTTTTCACATGTCTTGCTTTCACGCTAGGGATACAAGTTTGTCAATGCCAAAGATTAACGAGGGCTCGAAAGTGCTTCCATCTATGGCTTGGAACCTTGTGGCGTTATGACTGCCGTGAACCTGAAATGAACGCATTCATGTCAATAAGCCTCGCAGTCGAGCCGAGGGGTAAGCGAAGGTGGTGTGCGGCATTTTGTCCACTTGCCCGACATGAAAGTCAAGAATCTGGGGCACAAATGCGTCGCGGCGTTGGACTAAAAACGTGGAAAGGGTTTAATTCAGGAGACCATCTTGATTTCAGTAACAGACTAATTCTGCATCACGACCAATTTGTCCAGGTCTTGAACGCGTCACGTCTTCCTATTAAGTTTGATGAGCCCTGCACGAAGAGCGTCTAGCTGTTGAGTTTACAATCGCAATTTACCGTAGTAGGGAATGACGAAATATGTATTTGGGAGGTTTTTCATGGCTTTCATTGATAGCTTCATATAAGTAATACTAATGAAAAATTCGAGTCGATTGATGAAAAATCCTGCAAATTTAACCCCTTTTATATCCGGTCCAAGGCCCCTGCAAGCCTTTTGGGACTCCTGACGATAACCCTCAAATTCAACCAGTCCTTTTTGACGCAACACTAGCCCGTTTGCTATATTTTGCACCTGGGAGGTCGGTCCTGTCTTATACCCCCGGCAGTTCCTGTAAGCCTTGTGGGAGAGCACGCAATGCTTTTCTGATACCTTGTCTCCTCTCACACCTTTAGAGTCTCAAGAAAATCATTCGCCTCAAGAAACCTGAATATTCGTCAGAACGGGAGAATCTTGAGCCAATACCATAGTACTAATACTTACGATCCCTTCGCCCTCTTGATAATGCTTGCTTTGAGCTTCTTCCACAAAACAGCATTGTCTTGATAGTATAGAGCCAGAGTCGATAGATGGCCATCCAAGTAGCATTCCATGTCTCTCGAGTCTGCTGGAATGCCTAGCCTTGTCACTCTTGCAAACCGTCTTTCAATACTGTGTATAGGGCAGGATGTGACCATAAGACTTGTATAGGTGTCCTGTTGCAAATCGCGAGCGAGGGTCAGTAGACCTTTGCGGACAAGGGACGAACACTGGTCCAGGCCATCGAGGACTAGATATGCTCCACCCTGCTCCTCAATAGCTTCATGTATTGCTTTAATTATTGCCCGACTCCGGGGCTGTCTTTCAAGTCTCATGGAGCTTTCGAGGACCCCTTTAACTGACACCGGAATGGAAGCGCATTGGCTGAGAAATTGATGAAGGACCATGCGAAGCAGCTTTTGAACAGTCCGTTCTTTTTTCATTTGGGAGTTGCAGTATATGAATGCGACAGGTCGTCCCATGCCGGATTGAGCTCGTATATGCTCTATCGCGACTGATGCCAGTACAGTTTTGCCAGTGCCGGGAGTACCGGAACAGTAGAGGTTCCGGCAGACTCCCCGCAGCCACTTGGTAAACTCGGGAGACTCCAGAAACCACTGCCCAGTTCCTGGATGTCTCTGCTTAAGAATGTCCTTATGTTGGTCTTCGTAGGTAGGAGAAGACATGATCAAATCCAAAATGTCGTCACGTTCTTTACGTCGTTGTTCTATAAAGAGTTAATACAATGAATTTTGCATAATACTGGGAGAGCTTCTCGAACCATTTAATAGACGCTCGAGGTCTTTATTTATAGACCCGACCTCTGCTGATGCTACATAGAAATAATTGTCAGCGTTGGCACCTCCTCTCTCTGCTGCTGCTCTGGACTCACTCTGCTCCATAATTCTCAGTGCCTTCTTGGCCCGCACCACCTGGTTTGCGGGTATGGTTTGGAGAAGCTCCTTGGCATATGCCGCTGCCGTTACCGCCGCATACTCTTTCCAGTCCTCATTCTTGTGGGTGTTGAAGTAGTCACAGATCCCTCGGATGAAAAGACACGGAAAATTGAGCATGAGCCCATCAGCCACCGTCTCAAAGCAAAGGATCCCGTGCTCCTGTCGGAGCTTCTCTCGAGTAGCACTATGCCGCATATCCTCCCTTACTGAGCCAATAACACCGTAGTGAATTACAGGATGCTCCGTGTCTCTGAGCTTTCGATGTACCAGTCGCTCCTTGTCGCACATTTTACAACCTATGCCTCCCCACTTGTGCTCGTAATTCGCTTCAAACAGCTGATCGTGCTCGTGGCCTGGATATTGGAACACCTCCATCATCGTTGGACGTGACTTCACCATGTTCGAAATATGTTGACTGATTGCGTTCCTCACAGCCTCGTTTCGTGAGCGAAGTTCTGAGACTGCGGTTGTAAGTATCGCAGGCGGTTTGTAAAAAAAGCATCTTTGAGGAATTTCGCCCGTGTTGTATCTTAAAACGCCTCCTGTTGGTTGTGACAGCTCGGATATTTCCTTAATCCAAAACAATTCTCGCTTACCATGGTTGCCTTCCGAGTGACTGACTACTACATCCCCAAGCCGGATGTCTTTATTCGGATCGTCGCTTGGGGTGGCTGGCGCTCCGCCTCCAATGCCGACCATCAAGCCAAAGCGGATATTCCGAAAGTGGTAGAGAAGGTAGTCTACTTCCCATGGACTCGTGGTTCCTCCTGTAAGGAAAGCAATTGCAACATTATGCGGTCCGATCCGTCCCAAGGTATACCTACACTGAAAGTCCGCTGGGAGGCTAGGGTGCTCCTCATCTAACATTAGTTTAGACGCTACCCAGTCGGCTGGAGAAGCACAAATCAATGCTACAGTGTAATCCTCGTGTGTATAGTTCATTTTGGTGACGTACAAAACAGAGCGCGGCCGTGTATCGATGGTAGGCACTGTGGACGTTGGGAATGGTCTGATGAGAGCAGCTTCGCTTGGCCATGCGCATCAACACCGAGTTAAAGCTATATCCCGAGGTTAGCAGGACCAAAAACAACAACAGTCGGAGTCCTTACGTGACGCGGTGGTGATTTCGTGGCTTTCACTGGAACGTTCTTCTTCAAATGACAGAGGAAAAGAAGGACCGTCAGTCCGCCCTCTTTAGTCCGAAAAACGCGGAGTAAAAAGATTTCCTAATGAGAGAGATAAAGATCGAGCATCATGACACTCGTAAGTTGGAAGCGCCGAGTTGGGGTCGGGAGGGTAAGGAAACAAGAACCGCAGGCCAGATGGCTGGGTGGGCGGATAGCTTTTATAATCACGCCTGCGTGCTACCTGTTATCCATTGTGCTCAGTGAATGGTCCATCGTGTTCAGTGAAGCGTCTATCGTGCTTAGTGAACAGTCCATCCTTCTTGTTGAACAGAATATTCTACTCGGTGAACAGTTTATCTTACCTAGTGAACAGTCCATGTCATTCAGTAAATGGTGAAACGCCACGACATGTAAGCTGACGCTGATCGTTTCCTTTTGGTCTCAACAAAGCGCCGACAGAACAAAGGCCTTGGGCCAACAACAGTTACACAACAACAAAGGAGGCATCACGAGGCCAGGGACCTTTAAGACCTCAGGGCAGATCATTTAAAGATTGCATCAAATTGATCATGTTCGAGCAGATGCACTGCCCTTGTCATGCGATGTCACGCTGTACCACGCTCAAATCTCTCAAAGAGCGAACAGGAGCTTGATAAAAGACAAACACATGGCCTAGTGTTCGGACCTGGGTGTGGTATGATGGAACAAGGCTTGGGCTGGTTTTGCGATCGGGATGGAACGGCCCTGTCTCCACTCGACCCATATGTGGCAGCAAACCTCAGCGTCTCAAGACAGGTAGCCAACACACATCAAAACGGTGCCGCGGTAGGAAGTCGACACAGTCGAGGATTCACTTACCGTGGTCTCCGTCGATCGACCATTTCAAGCTAATAGTTTTGCTAGCAGTCCGCTGAGTGCTCTACCGTCTACGGTGGAAACGAGGACACCGCCAACACGCCGCGATACGACCACGATGGGTCCCTTGCATCTGCACGTGTCGCACCGAACAGAGCCTGGCCCTATTTCCAGGATTTCACAGCCTGTCCAGCGCAGGAGCTTGACCTGCAACAGCCCAAAAGCATCCACTCTGGCTCTAAATCACTGGCCTGCCCATGCCTCTCCCACCTCTCTGCCACCAGCTCTTGTTCAGCCGGGCAATCGGGCCGGTGGAATGTTCATCGTCACGACGTCGAGTCTCGGACTGTTCCATCGTAAATCGAGCCTCGGGCCGTCCCGTCCCTAGCGCCATCCCAAACTGGCAGTTTTTCGGTGCGCCCAGCGTTTGTGGGGACCTGGGTTCCAAACACACATAAAAAGTCAATAGCCTCTGCCTACGCCGTTTTCTTCGTGACAACACTTATGAACAGTAACAATGTCGTCACTGACCTGCATACCAACCGCGCAGCCAACAGGATTCGCGCCCAGCGACAAAGGTGACAGAAACCGGGGTAATATGAGACACGAGCGGCTCCACGGCGGCATGCTGTGCAACAAAAGACGACATCGGAGACACACATATCAGCAGCAGATTGCCGAGCGGGACCACCCGCGCTGCAAATGCCTTGTGGCGCACCGCCTTGCCGTCTCAGTTTTCTCCCCTTTCGAGTCGGGGCTCCTCAGTCTCAACCAATCAGCTCATATCCACGGCCAGGGTAATGCATGTTTATAGCTCAGCAGCGCCGCTCGCCGGCCCGGCACTGAATGCCGCCAGAGACGAATGCCCCAGACGTGCGGCCTCGAATTCGCACATTCCATTATTCCATCGTAAATGCCGTTTACACCAACTGGCATGTCAGCAGGGAGGCTTTTCCTGTGTCATCGCAGGATAGAGTAGACTGAAGACCAAAATGTGCTGGCCACAAGCCGCCTTGACAAGCCCGGCTTCACAGGATTCGAGATGTCCTGCTGTCTGGCGGCCGTGGCATAGTCACTGGACCGGAAATGGCAACTTTGACATATTAACAGCTTATGCTATTCTGTATCCCTTGGTCTGATCTCTTCACAGGTATTTCAAAGTTATAAATCACGAGTTACTTATGATTTAATTATTTATTAGACCAACAGCTGGTACAAGTGTCGCAAATACTACATTTGTATAGAGCATGGTAATCCGATCACCGAGTAAACCTGAATAACTTGTTCGGGAAAATCGTTTTCTTACTGGCTAACGATTTTAAATAACCAACCAGTCTGGCCGCAAATAGCAGTCATGGTATTATAGACTAGTCATCTACATCTGCTCCGTCAACATCATCCGCCCATCAACCCCTACAACTTTGGTCTTCACAAATACTTATTGGCACCAAGCCACTCCTTCAGAGCAGCAGCATCACGCTTCTTGTACGCAGCGCGTCCGCGAATCTTGTCCTTGACCGTCTCCAGAGTTCGGTCAAAGCTCTTGGTATCCTTGTCCTTGAAGAACTGCTCAATGTCGTCCACGGCAGACACATCAGTGAACCCGCCCAGACTGACGCGCACGAATCGGTCGACAACAATGGGGTTGCCGAGCTTGGCAACGCACGCATCCCAGTTGGCCTTCATGAAAGCCCACTGCACCTGGCGACCGACAGGGTTGCCGGCCAGACCCATGCCAAGGACGTGCATGTCAGCGGCGTTGACGGCGTTGCTTGGGGGAGACTCGTTGAAGTTGAAGGAGACGATTTGTTCCTTGAGGATCTGTTCGTCCTCGGGCGCCGATAGAGCATTAAGGCAGATCAGCTTGCCATCAATGGACTTGGTGTTGAACCACTCGTTCTTCAGGATCTCGACTGCGCGGGCGGTATCCTTCTTGACGGCAGCACGCCAGACGGGGAGTCGCAAAGAGGGCGGGAGGGGGTTGGCCTCGGCGTTCTCGTGCCAGGCATTGAAGCGCCTCAGGGCTTCTTTTTCGGCCCTAGTAGAACATGAGTAACGACATTGCAAATTGAATGCGAAGAGACCAAAAATCTACTTACTCGGCGTGCCCGCTGGCAACAGCAACGCCAATAATGCGCTTGCGCAACATGGTGGTCAAGTATTCTTCATTCTCGGCGGCATCCCAGCCAATCTCCTTGACCTTGTCCGAGATGAGCTTGAGAGCAAAGTTTTCCAGACCCGTCTTGATCTCCTTGTCCTCGTTAAAGACAGACTTGACAGAGCCGATAGAGTCAAGGACCTGGGTCCAGACAAGAGGGTGAGTCTCTTTGCTAAAGCCTTCGAGGAAGGTTAACAGAGCAGCAGACGTGCTGTTCCCGGCAAAGGCCAAATCTGCAGTAGAACCAATAATGGCAATCTTGTCCTCGGTGCTCAGTTTGTCGAGTTGGGTGCTGAGCTTGGCAAGGCGAGCAGGGGGGTAGTTGACGCGGTAGAAACCAGTGGCGCCGCTGTTGAGCTTATAGAACTCATCATCAATATCGCGGATAGTCTCCTCCTTCTGGAGAAGGGACATAGTGTTGACACCAGTCTCCCCCTTCTTGCCCTCGAGGCCAAGAGGAACCCACCACGTTGTGGTGTCATCTTCGGGCTTGACGTCGCCGGTGGACAGGAATCGAGACTGTCTGATGGAGATTTGGCCGGGCTCCTCGGCAACTGTAACCACGGGGTGACCAATCTTGGAGATCCAGGGTCCCATGAGAGCATTGACGTCCTTGCCAGAGGCCTCGCTCAGCGCATCCCATAGAGCCTTAGTCTTGGCATTGCCGTAAGCGTGGGCCTTGAGGTAGTTGGAAACGCCCTTGAGGAAGGTTTCAACGCCTAGATGGTTGGCCAACATGCGAATTGCAGAGCAGCCCTTGAGGTAGCTGATGGAGTCGAAGATCTGATTGACATCGAGGGCATCACGTACAGGGACGTGGATGGGGTGGCTGGCACGGATACCATCGAGACGGAAAGCAGCCTCCATGCCCTCGTTGACGAACTGTGCCCAGACCTGCCAGTCGGGGTGCAGGTGGTCGACAGCGTGCCAGCCGACCCAGGTAGCAAAACCCTCATTCAGCCACAGCTCATCCCACCAGTCCATGGTAACCAAGTTGCCGAACCACTGGTGGGCAAGCTCATGGGCAACAACGTAGGCAACGGCATTCTTGAATCGAGCATCCGAGGTCTTCTCATCGAAGAGAACCTGGGTGGTACGGTAGGTGACGAGACCCCAGTTCTCCATGGCACCGTGGGTGAACTCGTGGACGGCCAAAAGATCGGACTTGGGGAGTGGGTAGTCAATGTCGAAGATCTTGGAGAAGAAGTCGATAATCTTGGGGGCGTGCTGCAAAGCCCACCGTCCTTGTTCCTTGAGTCCTCGCGTAGTGTAGACACGGACGGGTATTTGCTTGCCATTGTACCGGCGGTCCGTGAGCTGCTCAATGTACTCAAAGTCACCAACAGCCCATGCCAGGAGGTAGGTGCTCATGACGGGAGAAGTCTCAAAGGAAACCATGTTCCATCCATCCTTGGTAGGCTTGGTTTCCTTGACGGGCATGTTGCTGAGAGCGACCTGGTCGGTGGGTATTTCAATCTCAAAGTCAAAAGTGGCCTTCAGGTTGGGCTCGTCAAAGCAGGGGAAAGCACGTCGGGCATCGCAAGACTCAAACTGGGTGCTGAACATGTAATGCCACTCGTCATCACGAGGAACCGACTTGGCAGGGGTAACGGCAGGCTTGTACTTGGAGCGGTAAAAGCCAGCCATCTCGTTGTTCATGATGCCCTCAAAGTCGATAACAACGGATGCCTTCTTGGAGACGGGGAGCTCCTGGTCAAAGGTGATGGTAGCGCGTTGGGCACGTTCATCGTAGGTGAAGTTGGTAGACTGGATGGCCTGAGAGGACTTGGTGTGGTCTACAAGGACCTTGGCGCTAGTAATCTTAATCTCGACGGTGTTGAGGACAATCTCCTTGGTGGGCTTGACAATCTCGGAATCGATGCTGTGAGAGTCATTAGCTGGCAGAAGACCTCGGACGATTCTAGAGATGAGAAGCCAAAGCGTACGTCACTGTACCCTGGTAGGTCCAGTTCTTGAACTCGAGGTCTCGCAGAGACACATTGTAGTGAACGGGCTTGAGGTTGTCGGGAAGAATCTCGCGGTCAGCCATCTTTGCAGGATTTCTTGCTCTGGCGTGAGCAGAACAGAACCTAGATTGTGTCCGGGGAAAGAGACTGGGGGAGATTGAAAGAGTTAGCTTCAAGCCGATGCGGAATGGCAAGAAATGGAATCAAGCTGTGCCAGGAAGGCGGCGTCTGGAGCTAGCCTGAGGCACACGAGGAGCTTGGAGCCAGTGTCTCTTGGCCGACAGACTAATGATTCCGTATGACCGCAGCAGCAGGACTAATAGCCAACGTAATAAAATAGATTATAGCGTCGCGGATATGCAGGCAGAAGCTGTTACGAAAGGCTTTGTTCCCAAGCTCTACCCTTCGCCGCCGACGCCATGGTGGGACGAGGGACCTTTGAGAGCGGGGGACCGAGTGCAGGACGTCAATCGTCCAATCATGGGTTGGGATAAGGCGAAGTGGGGGGAGGGGCAAAGCTGGGAGGACGCGAGAATTTGCCGTGCCACTCCAATGTTCCGTCGCCAATGTGAGCCAATGCATCCATCAATTTGAATGGTGCATGCAGCGGAACATGGAACGGAAGAGGCGCCGCGCCATGAATATAGCCGACCGGCTGAAAGAGGCAATTGCTTCACTGCCAACGAAATCATATAGACGTACCTCGTAAACGCAGAACCAAAGACGAGCGAGCGTGGTCGACTCGACAAAGCTCCCCCAGAAGCACGCGCCACACCCGACGGAGCCGTCTTGCATGTCGAAAGCGCGTTTGAAGATTCCGCAGGCCAAACCAAGGCCGAGGCCGAATTCGACACCAGGCAGCTCAACGCCCTCGTCCCATCAACGGCTCCAAAGGCCGCCTTGCTTCGGGTCAACAGCACGGCTCGTCTCCACCAAGGAGCACGACCAAGACCGCCGAGTTGCCACATCAGGCATGTCGACATGGCTGAACCCCCGTAAATTTGTCAATTGGCCAGCCGTGCTTCCGAAGCTTGGTCCCCAACAGCAGACTTTTTGTTTTTCCTTCCCGCCTTCTATCAACGGGCTGTTCCGGGCAGCAATCTAGCTCAATTGAAGACGTCGTATGGTGGCTGTGGGCGCTGTTCGTCCCAAGGACGGGCTACCGTACCCGTCCGTGTAGCTCCGCGTGAATCGCAAAGCGGCGCAACGTTCGAACTGGCACTTTTGTACGTTGCAGTCGGGGCCCGACGCACACAAGTGGCAGAGGACGATGAAAAGAAGAAACAATAAAAGAACTCTGCAAAGAATACACAGATATGGTACAGTATTAATACAAGTCGTGATACAGGCCACACGCGGCCGCCAGTAATCGCGCCGTCGTCGGGACTATGCGTGAGAGAAATTTCATGCGCGTTGAGGCAGTGATACTGGAAAGGAGCACGTTGGATGTGTGCGGATTGTGGCCCACACTGTGTTGCACACTGTGCGTGATGAGATGGAGGGTGTCGTGCATTTGCATCCAGGAGCCAGGTGCTGGTACTTGCAAAACGTTTTTTAGAACATACTTGTAGCCGGGTTTGCGGTTTGATAGTATACTGTGCCTTGGATGGACCCATGGCACCATCCCATTTGTTGGGCAGCCGTCATGTTTTAAACAACTGAAGCAGACCGCCTTGGAAATAAGGAAAACTGTGTAAAGCGAGTAACCAGGCCGTCAATCAGCTAGGCAGCCTTACTTTAACCAATCTCAGGCAAACCTCCTCGACATTCAGCAAACCTCCGTAACAGGTCGGTCAGTAAACACCCCAAGCCCTCCATTTGTGCAACTCGATGCCCCCAGCCGACAAGCAACGACGCCGTCGGTCCAAACACATCGACGAGTACACCTTCAGCAAGCGGTGCTGGGAGCCAAATCAGACCGTCTTTCAACATGGCCATCGACCTGGAGCCACCAACTCCATCGCATCTATCCGGCCCGAATCAAGATCGGTACAAGACGCCCAGGTTCCCAGTCGAATGGCACGGACCGAAAACAGTCCAGCAGACATCACGTCATACGCATTACACACAGCAACTAGTAACTAGTAAACCAACAAGTCTTGAAGCGCTAGCCAATAAGTAATGTCAAACCACGGCTGAGAAAAATATACATAAATACACCATGCAGTACCCTAAATGAGCCCAACTAAGCATGCCGCTGAACCAGTATTCATCCGTCCGCAACGCCGTTCAAAAAAAAAACAAGGTCCTCACCATGCGTCATTCGTAAATAACATTATTCAATCGAGTCCTAGCCCATTGCGCTCCCATGCTTCAATTTCAATCCCATACCGACACCTTCATGCACCCGCGCCCATCACGCTGTCTCCTCCTGCTGCACCTTTGTCGCAATCTCATCCCACCAAGCGCCGTGTGCCGCCCTGTCCACAATCCCAACCTTGTCCAACAAGTCGGAAATACCTCGAACCCGCTCGACAAACTCGGACAACCCCAAGCTGGCCAGTCTCTCGCCCGCCGTATTCGCCGCCTTGACCTTCTCACTCGCCGAGCCTGGCGCAAGTCTGGCAAGAATATTGCCCCTCAAGCGCGTCAAGAGTAGCCGCAGCACGGGCTCCCTGGGCTCGATGTTTTGTTGCGACATTTCTTGGCTCGCCTTGAGGACCTTGGTCACAAGCGCCCGCAGATGGGACTTGGTGACGGCCGGCATGGACCGGCCTGCTTCGAGAGCCGCCATTGTTCCCTGCACCGTGGCATCCAATGACGAATGGTTGGCTTCGAGAACAGTCATGATGCGGTTTGCTTCCGTCTTCCACGCGGAGCGAACATCTCTCTTGAGGAGGTTCTTGCACTGCAGCAGTACGGCCCCGGCGGTAATGATGCGCTGAATCATGCAAGACACTTCGTTGATTCGTCGGTGGTCAAGCCGCAGCATTTCGGGTATCTGCTCCAGCTTCACTGGTGTGGGCTGGGTGAAAACATCCACCAGCATCTGGGCATAGAACCGAGCAGCCCCGGGCTTCGACTTTGGATGGTTGATACCCTCGGGGTCGCGCTTCTGCACCTCATTCATGACCTTGGTCGTGGCCAATCTCCAAGCAGCCTCGGCAATGTGTAGATCCATATCACCCTCCTCAACATCTGTCGAGAACCGTTTCGCTTCGTACGGAGCAGCACAATCTATGAGCTGTGGCGCCGCGATACGCAGTAGATAGTTGATGTAGTCGCAAAGCATCACGTCGATGAAGCTGTTCAACGCCTCGACCCGATCAATCAAATCGCCGTCGCTTAGTTTATTCTGCACCAGATCCTTGGCTTCATCGTCTCGGAATGGGGCGCACAATTTGGGAATCAACGAGCCCATGGCCGTGAAGAACTTCTCGTATGAGAAACTGCCCACAACGAACTGTCTCTCAGCCAATTCGGGGTCTATAATCTCTCCAATGAAGTTATACATGGAATTGCCGGGTTTCAATAGACGCTGCAGCTTCTCTTTGATATTCTTCGCCATAAGAATGAAATACCTGAAATTTGACTCGGCATCATTCTCAGCCATGGCAGCGCGCATCTGCATATACAGCGGCCGTGCAAGAACAGCCTGCTGCTCGACATACTCCTCGGATGGAACTTGATACTCTTTGTTGATTGCCAGTTCATGTACGATAATGCGATTATCGGGGAGCAAGCCGTTGAGCCCAGTCTTGGCCACGGCCAGCTTACTTTCGCTTCTGCCTGAAGGTGTCGCCGGTGGAGTGAGGGTTTGCGCCTCAGACGACACGAGGCTGGAAGCCGTGGCCGTCACATCACCAGCAGATCCCTCGGCAACTCGCGGCTTCATGTCCCCAGTCTGTTTCTTTGCCTTGCGAGACTTCCTCGCCTCACTTACCGCCTTGAAGATTAGCTTCTTGCCCTTCTCCGCGCCGGCCAGCTTCTTGATTCGCACTATGAGCATAAGTTGAGAGTCCTCGATGCTTTGGCGGTAAAGACTAGCCGCGGCGTCGCCTGTGGTATCTTTGACCGTTTGGAAGATTGCATCCAGCTCCACAAACTGCATCAGCATGACTTCAATCAGTGCGTTGGAATCGCGGGACTTCCACGCAATGAAGGCGTTGTAAAACACGGCATATGCTTCAGGAAGAGTGGATTCCAGAGCCGGCGGCATGGTATATCGGTTGGACGCGGTCAGTCGAACAAAGATGTTTTCAAAGTTGACCAGAAGATCTTTGGCCTTGCCAACCAAATCCTGCAATTGGGGGTTCGCCAAGTCTGTACTCGGTAACCGGTGAGAGCCCAGGGCATCGGGTTCGCCCCCGTTCTTGTTGATGAGGACTTGGGTAGGATGACCCAAGATGAGGAATGCACTCAAGAATGTGCGAACAGCAGCCATTTCGTCCACGGACCTCGGCTCTCCTTCTTTGAGACCACAGATCCTTAGCAGCCGTGCCGTGACTATGAGAACCTTTTCCTGCGCCAATAGTTCCACCACTGTATCGAAAGACGTATCTCGAATGCCGTCTACGGATAGACCCAGGCTGTTGAACTCTTGTATGATGCGTTTTCGAGTGCGGCCCCTCCACCATCCTTGAATGCATGCAGCAGCATCGTCTTGGCTCAGCCTAGGTTTCGTATCCTCCTTTACTTGCGCCAGGGTTTCGTTTGCTTTTCTGGCCATGACGCTCTGGCCACGCACCCGCTTCGTGGCGCTTTTGTTTAGGAGCTCCTCTCTCCTCCTCTCTGCCTCAGCCATGCGCTCCTCCATTTGGGCGCGCATCTTGGCAATCTCCTGCTCCCTTCTCTCCTTGGTAAGTTCGGCAACTTGTTTCGCCTTTCGCACCTCCTCTGCGCAATTGGCAACAATCTCGGCAAGATTGCGTTCCCGAGCCTGTTGCGCAGCAAGCGTGCGTAGCTCGGACGCGGTTGGGCCGCGAGGTGCAGCCTTGGCAAGCGCAGCACGATGTCGCACCTTTTCGGCATGGGCGGCCCGGTCAGCAAGACGGGCTCGTCGGTCCTCCAGAAACGAGGCTCGTCGAAGGTGCTGTGCGACATACTTGCTCTGGTCATTGTCGTTGCGGGATGGGCCGTGGTGAAGAGAGGAGCAGCGCGAGTGCGCAGACGAGATGGAATTGCGTCGCGACGAAGCCGCCGAGTCTCTGCGACGGGCTTGCGACGGGCGATAGAAGCGGGCAGCGACTCTCGGGGGCGGGGTATATATTCTGTTATCATGTTCAAGCACGTCATCGTCAGAGGGCGGCATAGCAAGGTCCAAATCCATCGCTGTCGCGTCGTCGGAAGTAGGGCAGTTGGATTCTTCGAGATTGCGCGAGGGTTCGCTAAGGTCGGGGGAAGGGCGATGCATCGTGTCTGTCGGAGTAGACGATGCTGCGGCTGTTTTGTAGGAGAAATGTGTACTATCCGAAAGGTGGGAGTTTTAACTTTTTTGGGAAATTCGAAATAAAGTACGCCGCAACCGTTTGCGGTACCAGCCGCACAACAAGTCCGAGTCAGACCTCAGAGTTCGCGGGGTGGCGACGACGCGCGGAACAACCCCCCTCTCCCAGAACCTGGATGAGGACGAGGATGACAACGGTGTGCAATAGAGCGCAGTGTATTTGCGCTACGAAAGCGAACAGTCGAGCCAAATGGATTATCGTGAGGCGGCGACGTCGAGTCGAATAGTTGACCGTCGACAGCTGACCGACTCGGAGGCAACGCTCAGTGGCCTGTGCACGCACTATAAGGTTCAGTCGAGGTTGAGGACGAAGGGAAGCGACAATCCGTTCGAGGACTTGATAAACAGCAACAAAATCGGTCCGCTTGCACTCCTGTACAGAAATGTCGAATTGTTTTCAGACAATCGTCAAAAACAAAAGAAGTTGATCAAGTTCACGCCGCCGCCAATCTAGTCCAGTGACGAAGCCAGATACGGTGCAGCGGGGAGAGGCTGAAGGCTGGAGCGTGGCGATGGTGGCGGCAATAGCACACGGCGTCTTCTGACAACTGGGAAGCACCGGACGTCATCAAAACCACGCCCTGCACAACTCGTATATTCGATTCCAGCGGCGAGAGGATGTAGAGGAGAAGGTTATCGCAGAGGCCCGTATCGCTAGCCGCCACCCATTGATGGTCATGGCAAGTTTGGGAAGGCGCTCCGACCGACCACTCGATTCCTTCCGCGCTGGAAGGTTCCAGTTTCGGATGGGTGGGGCGGAACCAGCATCTTCAACTCCTCACAATGAGCCTGACGTGAAGAGGGTGTAAAAATGCGCAATCAATAGTCGTGGCTCGTGCGTGCCACGGCCCGAGCCAAGCAGGACCAACGAGGCATCGCACGACGGCGCTACTGTCTGATGCTTTGCTGCAGAGGCCCGAGACAGCTGGCCAAAAAAAGGAAAGTAAAACTAACAATAACAATAACAATGCTCCGTAGTACTACGGAGTACTACCACCTTGGACAAGGCCGCTGTCCACACCCAGCGTCGGCAGGAGCGGCGTCGCCCGGACTCGGAATCTGGAAGGCGCGAGGTGCCATGTGCCATGCAGGAGAGCGTCCAGAACTTGCATTGCATGAGATCTTGGGAACATGGACGGAATCTTACCTCCTGGTTTGGCCTAACCTGGGCAGGGATAGGAGACTAATGATGCAGGGTTGCAAAAAGCTGACACATCACATGACTGACGGTGAACACTGCCGTTACAAGGGCGGCCAGGCACCTTTGCACACTCAATGGGATACGGGGCAGGCATAGTGGCTCGACTACGTATTCGCTGACGGATAAAGCGGGCGGCACGACAGCGTCCAGTTATCATATCATGTCAATTATTCCTATTCGTAACGCTGCTACACATCTAGGTGCTCACGGCTGCTGCCTACGTGTTTCGGGCTCGCCCAACCGTGTTGCTGTCATGTCCACAGTGGCATTTCTAGCAACCTCTGTCCTCGAGGTGCTTGCTGTCGCTCGTGTAAATTTCCCAAGACTCAGGAAGTTATCCTGGTCTCAATATCAATCCCAAAACAAACCCCACCCCCCTTTTCATGTTGCCCGAATCTCTCCTCTAGCTGGACAAGTGGTTTAAACCCAAATAATTTCGCCGATTCCATGTATATGTCCCGCTTATCCTCATGCCAGCTCGTTTTATGCCGTGCGACGCTATAATGCAATGTCCATTTCCTTGACCGTGTTCTGATATTTGGCCGACTCTCCCATCACCAAAAGGCCCGCCCGTTTCCTCAATATCTTACTCTCAGCTCCTCACTTGTTGGAGACTACCGCTTCGTACCCGACCTCCCATACTACTCCAGGTCTTGTCTTGCATCCTATTGAGCCATTCCAGAATGGTTTCGTAACACAGCACGTACTGCCTAAGACTCTGGACCATGCTAAGCCTTTGTTCTCGGAAATCTTGAACTGTCTTTTGGATCAAATCCACGCCGTCGTCTCGTATCCAAGTCGTATCCATGTCAAATGACTCCCATGTCTGTGAATTATGGCCACCCGTGACTCTATCCAAGAAGCCTCGAGAGGCGCCATCCTTGGTCGTCATTGGGAAAGCGAATTCGTCGTGAGTGCTCATTTTGACGTCGCCGTCGCCGTCTTTCGTTTGTGGCCCTGAGACATTGGCCTGTCGCTGGCGTTTGAGCATGTCAATGACGCTGTCAACTGTGCAGAAAGCTCCTGTGCGTCCACATCCTGCTGAGCAATGTACCAACATGGGCCGAGAATTGGCGTCCTCTTCCGGTTCATCATACCAGGTTACCGGGATCGAGTCAATGGTTGGTATCTTGGAGCCCATTGACGTCGTCTCCACTGGCCTGGCGGCTCGCTGCATCACGTTGGCGAGTTCAACCAGGGCTAGCAGGTGTGACGGCTGAGCAGGAGTTCCAAAGTCTGGCCAGGCCGCAAAATGCAGGTGGGTGATTTCTCGAATCGGCGCAAAAGGGTGCGCGGCATGAGATAGTGCAAACTTTCTAATCGTGACATATGGCGTCTCTGACTGTCCCTGGCTTTGTGCCCTTGCTGGACTTGATGACGGAAAGGTAGTTGTCGTGTTCGCGCGCTTGCGTCCAAACTCATGGGACGAGGACGAGGTGGGGGTCGGGCTCGATTCGGATCGGTGCTTATCAATGTCTAGAGAAGCCTTCTTTTCCGATAATGCCTTCAGCCTGATGGGTCCAAAATCTCTACCTTTCCAGTACGGGTGGCACTTGAGTTGGCCGCCTTCACTCTCGGCCGTCAACATGACGATGACGCGGACATCTTGCTCCCAAATGACTGACCAAAAGTCCTAGATGGGCGTGTTAGCTGGAGATTTCACGGGCTTGCTCTAGACATCAACGAGCAAACGCAAAAGGATTCAGAAACCCACCTCATACGTCGCGGGCAGTGGCCCTTGGGTAGCAATGTATCGCTTATTGCTCCTTGATGCAGACAGGTGGCTTGCGTTGACGTAGTCACACGACCCGCTGCGTGTTTCCCTGAGCCGGACTCTGGCATGCTCAAAGGGCAATATGTCCTTGTAGCGGTTCTTGGTTCCTTTTTCAACGCCTGATAATTGGAACCTGCAGTCTTGCGGCTTTTGGTTAGGTTGAAAGGCTGCATATGCAGTCCGCATGCGTGACTGTTCGTCGAGTTCGATGTTTAAAAACTTGTTAGAGACCTTTTTGCCATGATCACTCCGGGATGATGCATCGCGGAGCCATGTGGGCAATAATGGCGATTCCAGATCCTGGGGTCGCCCAATTTCAAATTGGCCCACACCATCGGCGAGATCCATATTCTGTCTGATATTAGAGAAGAATGGGTTGTGATCGTTCCCGGTCATGGGGAGATTGACGCCGCCTATGACCGGAGCAAGCGTGCTTTTGCTGGTATTGCCACAATTCTCCTGTGTAGACGATGGTGGATTGGTCGACGAAGTGTCGACGAGTTCGGGGAATATGGCGCTGAACATTGTGAATCCGCCGCGAAGAATTGCAGTATTTCCTTGGTAGCCCTCATTGGTAAACTTCTTGATCATATTCTGCGCTGTAACGGCGTCGCGCTTATCGGACGCATGCGCATCATAGACTACAATCCAGTCCGTGTCTCGCCATTTAGAGAAGTGCTCTGAATCCAAATTTCCCTGAAATGTTTGCTGTAGCTTTTTGAGGTCAAAAGTTGAACGCTTGAGCAGTGTGGTTGGTATACACAGGTTCAATGCCCCCTGGATGCGAGAGTGTGCAAAGCTCTGGGAAGAGCGGATGTCCAACAAGAGCATCTTGCCCTCGGCGACGGTTTCCATCAAGGCTTGGAGTTGACTACCGGATATCATGGATGACGGACCCATTTCCAACTTTGGCGGTAGAGTCGTAGCACGCGTTATATTGGCCAGCTCGGGTGAAGGGGGATCCGGTTGGGGCAGGGTCAAGGATAGAAGGGAATCGTGGGGGTCTGTTCGGGGTTGATGAGGTCGCCGATGAGGCGTCTCGATTTGTCGAGGCGACTCAAAAGGCATCGAAGCCGTGATCTGGGTTGGCGGTATTAATGACGACTCCGAGTTGCGTTTCGAATCCGAGGAAACATAGGCGGAGTCGTGAAGGCTGTCATGGTCGACCTCGCTCTTGCTTGTCAGTTTTGGCTTGAGGGACCTGATGGACTTTGGAAACGAGGCATCGGAGCCAGTATCGCTTGTATACGTGTGCCACCTAGGCGGTCGGGGCCGGACAGGAGTCGGGTGTGAGGTCGGCAACATGACATGAGATGTGGCGAGTGAGAAGGACTTGCCCCTGTTCAGATCGGCAGCCTTCCTGAAGGCTTCGAATTCGGGATTCGGGTCCAAGGTGATTTGTTTTGGCAGCGCTGCGGCAAAGGACTTGACAGACGAGCCAGGACTCCAGTTCTCTCTGGCTAGAGCAGACGACCCCCTGGGGTCATTGCTGGGTTCGATGACCAGGCCAAAGTAATTGGGACTTGGAGCCCGGGCACTTTCTACGGCCATGGTAGGAGACAGCATTGGCGGGTAATTTTGACCGACGGAATATGGCGCTCGCGGCGAGGTTGCTGGTGAGGTGGTGGGCTTGGTGGCCCTATGCGGACGTGAGCCATGAGAGTGGTGGTGGGAATAAGGGCTGACTGCGGCAGGGGAATGCCGCGATTGAGTCTTCATGATGGACTAAGCAAGCCGTGTTGGTAGACGGTGGGTGAGTCGGGATGATGCAGGCGACGAAGCACTATGTGCAGCACAAATGCTCGAGGTCCTAGAGCAGGCGCATGGCGAAAGGTTGTGTTGGTAGAAATGAAGTTTTTTGATGATGGTCCAAAGTATATTGTGCTGGGTGCCCAACATGTCAGGTTGCCGGCGTCGACAAGAATGAAGAAGGGAAACAAGTCAAAGACGGAAGTAAAGAAAAAATGAATCAAAGATGAAGGGTGAAGTCGACGACAATGGCAAAGTGGGTAATGATGTACGGAGGATTCCACACACACAGCGGCGCGCGCGCACGCACACACTCGCACACACACACCCGACACACACCCGACACCGACGTCAGAGGTCCAGAGTGGCGGTAAGGCGAGACGGAGCAGCACGCAAATGGTAGGGGACCCTGACTTGCGGCAGAGACAGGCCTGCGACTGAGACGGACTTGGGTGGCGAACAGGACAGGGCCCAGAGCCGCGGGTCTCGCGATCAGTGGCGCTGGCCTGGCAGAAGTTTAAACAGACGGGTGATTTCCAAGCCGCAACGTAATCAATCCGTGGCCCAGAATAAAGGCGAGAAGCGCAAGGGCGAGCAAGAAGGGTCGTCGTCCAAGGGTCAGGGGGGAGCAGCCAAGACGACTAAAAAAGGAGTGAGTCTGCGCCCTGCGCTCTGCTCGTGCCAATCGACAGGGACCCCGAATTCGCAAAGGATTGACGACGAGACGAAAGAGACGGGGCGGCGGTCAGAACCCAGGCACGGCGTGAGGCTGCAAGCTCGGGGCCTGGGGCTTGAGCGTGATGAGGCTTGCGGCCAGACCTTGACGCTGCCTGCACACTTGCACGCTCAGGGTAACACAGAGGCCAGGCGCATGTAGGTAATCGAGCAGCCGGGAGAGAGCCTCTTTCGGCCATGGCACTGGCTGACAGGTCGTGGTGTGCATGTGCATGCGGATGACCATGGAGCGGCATTCACCAGCTCCACGTCGATGCAAAGCCCACCTCGTTCGAGATGAATTGGCACCGGACATTGAACACGCTATTCTCGCCCGGTATTGCGACTGCAACATCTGACCGAGTCGGCACGTTCGAGACAATTCCATGCTGCCTGCTTGCATCTCGTCCGAGTTGGGGTCCACAGCCGTGCAATTCGGAGAAAAGACGTCGCCGGGATTGTGAGCCAAGCTTTCTGGTTTGTCGATTGCATGTTGATGAAGCTGGTACGGAGTACTACACCCACTGTACATGGTGTCCAGTACGGAGCACCGCCTGCTGTGGGTTTGGCCAGCCACCGCGAAACCGGCGGCAGTAGCCGGTACCTGAGCTCGAGTCCAAGGTCAAAGTCAAAAAGCAGCATTATTCAATGTCGACCCAGACACGTCGCGACTTACGTAAAGCTGCCACGAGGGCTTCACCTCCAGGTTCCGCACCGAGTACCGATACTCTGTAGCTACTGCTTGCAACGTTCTGGACTGCTGACTCGACCAGGCTCTTGCGCCCTCCATTCCGGTTCAAAAGAATACCGCCCACCACCGCCTCTATTCTGGCTGCTATTCCTCGTCAAGACATCCTATCCAGCTCCACGGCCCATCGTCATCAAGGCGCCGAGCGTCTCCGCCCAGGATCCCACTGCGCTGCCATCGTTGATCGTAGCGCTGCCAGGGGCGCCATCAAAACGCCCTACTCCGTACTCCGTATTCACACAGACAACAGGAGTGCCCCGTTGACTGTTCCCTGACGGCGTCAGAGGGGCTCGCGTGTGCCTTCCACCAACCAACACATGCGTGGCGCCCCAGCAAAACGTCACAGCACCGCAGGACACTTGGCGATTCGAGTCGAGACCCTTTTCGATTCTCGAGAATCCACATCGAACATTGGACGCTCCACTCGCCCGTTGCCGCCGCTTCTCACCGTACCGAGTGCAGAAAGCACTGTCGTGTGCAAGACCCCTCTGGGTAACCGTTCCAGCCACTGACTAAGGGACGTACAGTACGTCCAGACGAACCACCATTGCAACCATGGCGCAATACTCCGTCCGTATCAAAGGCGAGTTCGAATCATCCAAGTAGTTGAGCCATCTGGGCGAGTTGAATTTCCTTGCTGCGCCTGGATGCCAATACAATGTTGCTTCCATTGCATCCAAGCAAGAAGCCCCCAATGAGGATGATGGCACAATGCCTTTTGCAGCCCGTCTACGGAGTACTCCTAGGCGCCATCTACTTACCCTGTAGAGAGCCAGCAATAGCAATGGTACCGCATTTACCACAATCCGGGACGCGAAACCTTGGTGCGCATTGCAAACCCAATCAAGAGAAATAGGACGAATGGCTGCAAACCACCCAGTGTGTCAAGTCAGACTGTAGCCGAGTTGCATCAGGCCGCGACGTCATGCCTATTCTTCGGCGAGTCGACTTGGCCATCATCTGGTACTACACCGTGCGGAGATGCAAATTTCCCGTCAGTATCCTGCACAATGCAGCCAGGCAGGAAAGCTGAGTCTTCACCACCATTGATGGGTGAATTAATTTTGCTTCCCTCTGCAGCCCGTCTTTGCTTCTTCATCTGTCTCATGTTGCTGTTGCAGACACTGCTCGGCCTATGGGCTCGGCAGAGATACAAAAAGTCGTAACGCAAACCGTAACAAAGTGCAAAGGCATGACGTCAGATGTGTCGTGTCAGTTGTTCCTTATCAGAACGTCGAGCTCGTCACGCTTGCTTAGCCCAAGGCTGCTCTGCTCCTACAGGCACTCAACTGGCATCGACTTCTGGTACTCCGTATGCTTCACGTGCTTCTCTGCTGATAAACCCACTGCACAGGTCATGTGTTCGGTGTATGTACAGTGGCCTGTCTGCCGTTTTGAACTCGAACAAGGCAATTTTTCAAGTGACGGCAGTGAGGCTGCCATCCGGGGCCCGTTGCAACCCATTGTATCCAAGCTCGCCTGCAATACCACCATCCCTCATGGAAATAAGCTGCTCTGGGCCCTCGCACAGCGGCAGCGGGATGTAGTGTTGTGTGCGTGCGTGCGTGCGCGCGAGTGTGTGTGTGTCTATGTACTCCGTACCTAGGTAGGTAGTTTACAGAATCTCAAAGGGGACATGGAATTATGGACTATCCACATACTACTGAACAGCCTCTTAGCGCTGGGATGGTACGATTCCGATAACCCTACGGCGTACACAACACCCAACAAACGCCCCTCAAGGGGCTTCATGGCTCCATGTTGCATGTAAATAGCCGCTAGCGAAATGGCGGGTATGACGGGCAGTCAAGTCGTGACGGCCTGCCCCTAAACCGTATTATGCGGGTGCAGGGAATGAAATCAAGGGCGACACCAAGAAGGACTCCATTCCTGTTGGCTCATTGCGTTGGAGGCTTTGCACTCTGTCGACTCTGGGGATGAGGCTGACACCTTGGTCGAACTCGCTGGCAGTTTCAAATACATTGTACATGAATGGTAGACTGCTTTCTAAAAGACAGAAAAACTTGACATGGAGTCGTCAGTGGTGGTAGTGTGGCTCGGTTCAAGTCGCAACTTCTGGCAGGAGCGACCGACTGCCTGGCTACTACAAGTTGCCAAGTTGCCAGGCTCTCAATATCCGCACCAGACGTGAAAAAAAGCTGCTTTGTGACACTCGAGTCCTCGACAGTCGAATTGTGTTGATGCCGCCTTCACCTTTTATCATGTCAATCCAATATTGTCACTACACAGTACGAGATCGAGCTTCAGTGTCCCATCCGTCAGAAGTTGCCGAAGCACTGCCAAGAGGGGGTTTAGGGGAATGCCATTTCCGCCGAAAGGCGCCCCCATCACGTCGACCGACATCCCTCGCCTATACAAGCTTTTGGTGCATTGACAGCCAACCAAACACGCCCAAGATTCCCATCTGACATCCAACCGCGCCCCTTGCGTTTGCAACTGCGACTGGAGCCAAGATGCAGGGTCCTTTTGCAGACCGCAGGCTGGGAGAGGGGGTTCTGCACGACAAGACGTGGCCTGCCTGTCGCCGGTTGTTTGTGGTGGGATATGACTTGGGTGTTGGTTGGGGAAAAGACAGCACGAATGGCTTGCGAGGTCCAGGGCATGCTGTACTGTTCACCTCGAGGCACGAGACGCAGAGAGTTGTCGCCTGCTGGTTCATCGCTTCCGGCAGCCAAGGTGGCCATGCACAATATGTAGTTGCATGGCCAGAACACGGAGTGCAGGTTCCAACACTTCTGTGACTGTCGAACCGTCTCGGCGTCTCTCAATTGGCATCTCAGTCACAAGAGACAGCCTGTTTTGTCAAGATGCTACCGCCTTCGCCAAGGATAGGCCGTCAGATGGCATTTCATTTGCTCAAGTTTACGCCGCAACTGAGGCCTGTTGTGCAGATCTCCTCCAACGTCATGCCGATCCATGATTCTAGACCCTCGCGTGCTCAACAATGGACCACCGGTGTGTGTGCCGGACGGGTGCTGGTCCGACACTAGCTCGTAGCGTCGACTTGTTGGCTCCAAGCATGCCTTGTTTTCGCACGACGGCTTCCGGCAGCCTTGATCCCTACAGATGGCTCGGGACTCAGGGCCTTGTGGCTATAATAGCGCTGGCGGCCATTCTCCGCGGTACGGAGAACTTGGCACAGCTCTGTGGTTGAGGCACACCGTCAGGTAACACAGCAGCATCCGCGACGGGAATGGATCGTCTCTGCCCCCTCGTCTGCTTTGTGGCTGGCAATTTCATCATGCATGACATGGAAGGAGAGAATGGGTTCAGTTCACTTGCCCCACATCCGAGAGCAGTTGGCTTCTCAACGGAGCCGAGACCGAAGCTACTCCGTCCTACATACATACAGGCGCTTGAGAGACAGCTTCGTTGTCATGACTATCGAATATGATACCAGCTGCGCAAGCATTCTTCGTTGCCAACCCCATCGCCCTGTTCCGAATTGCTGCTTTTCTCTGGCTTGAATCGCGACCATGTGATAAATTATGTGCCTTGGACTGAGTCCAGTTCCAAAATCTACGGAACGGACTCCCGCCTCCGCCCTGATCCACCCATCAACGCCCTCTCGTCGAGTTTGATGCCTGACTAATCGAACCCGGCTTCAATAGCCAGGCCGAGGGCAGTCAACCAAATGATGTTTATAATATGATACCTCAAGTTGACTGTTACTGGGTAAGTCTCCATTTGTATACAAATTCTGCCAAACTCCTACTAATGTTGGTGAAGCCAAGTTGACAGTCTTGTATGAAGCACACTACCCAACCGGATTCCGTCAGACTCCGATCATCGGAACTCGAGGTAGAATAAACGCCGCAGCCTTCACAACAGTCAAAAAGCAAGCAAAACGATCACCATGTCGGCGCTTCAGGCCAGAGAATCCATTGAGCAACGGATCAAGGCGAGGGACAGCATCCCCAAGGCCCCTCCGGCGTATCTGCCCACAGCCGGATCGCCGCTATCGGTTGATAAAGAGGTATACGCGACCATACAGAAGGCGCCTCGCGTTCTGATCGACGAATTTACTCTTCCCATTCGAGCAGGCAGAGCATGGGAAGCACCAGCTGGTTCCATTGTCAAGATTAGCACCCCCGAAGGGCCCCAAGTCGGTGAGTCGATGCGCAATCGCTTGATGTTGTCCAGTCATATAATAAAACCCAGTCACACCCACGACTTTCCAAACTAACACACACACAGGCGACTTGAACATATGGAATCGCCACAACCCCCGTGAACGCTTCTGGGCAAGCCGCACCAGGCAGCTCCATGCTTCGCACGTCAGCACGCACGACCGCCTCTGGTCAGTGCTGCCATACATGCGGCCCCTGGCGACCATCATCCACGACAGCCTCGACTGGTACGGCGTGGACCCCCACGGCGGAAGAGTGCACGACTTGCTAGGCACGCGCTGCGACCCTTATATCAACACCGTCCTGGCCGGGGAGCAGTACGACTTCCACTGCCACTCCAACTTGACCCGGGCCGTGAAGCCCTACGGCCTCCACGAGTCGGATGTCCACGACGTGATCAACATCTTCCAGGCCACCGGTCTCGACGAGCAAGGCCGCTACTTTATGAACCCTAGTCCTGCGCAGGCCGGCGACAGCATCGAGTTCTTGGCCGAGCAAGATCTCCTCATGGCCCTGAGTACGTGTTCCCCTGCTCCTCATCCCCCATCCCCCCATTTCACGTTTCCACTCTGTCCGTGTTTTCCGCCGTCCTTTTGTGCCCCATGTCTAACAATATATCGGCAGGTACGTGCCCCGGCGGCGACCTCTCGGCGTGGGGGTTCGGCAGCGACAGCGAAAAGGAAATGATCAAGTGCTGCCGCCCGCTCAAGGTGCAGGTTTACCAGCTCCAGGACAGGGAGCTGCTGAACAAGTGTGGCTGGAAACCGGCCGAGGTGTCCAAGTACACTGGCATGCATGGCGTCGTGTCTCCCGAGGGCGAGAAGCAAGCTTAGATGGTACTGGCCACTGATATATTCATATTCAGTTAGTCGTATAAATCATGAAAGCTATAATATGAGACCTGTTGTAGCTGGCATTTTTGTATCCTGTGTTTGTGCAGGTTTGTCGTCATCGTTCAAGCTCGACATGCCGTAGCTCGTACAACTACACCCTCTAGCCAGAAATACATACATATGATTTGGTGCATTAGGCACAGGTTGAGAGGTTCACATATCGCATGGGGAAAACAGAGACATGTCCGAATAATGGTACATTTAGATATCCATACACGCCCGTCCCTCTCTATATGCAGACCAGCCAGCCACGCACACCCTCGCCCAGCAAGAACAAAGACAAATTCCGTGCCTTGTCTGGGCCTCACTTCCACAACTTGCCCAACGACACCTCCTTATCATCGTGCTTGTTCAGAATCTTGGCCGTAGCCAGCTCAAAGTCCTCCTGCGTAACATGGACTCTCCTCTCTCGCAAGGCATACATGCCCGCCTCTGTGCACACGCCCTTCAATTCTGCGCCGGAGCAGCCATTCATCTTTTCAGCAATCTTGGTCAAGTTGATACCTCTGGTAAGATTCATCTTGCGGCTGTGAATGCGCAGAATATCCGCCCTGGCCTCGACGCTCGGAGGCGGGAATTCGATTTTACGATCGATGCGGCCTGGTCGGAGGAGCGCGGGGTCCAGAATATCCAGGCGGTTCGTGGCCATGATGATTTTGATGTTCTTGGTGGGCTCGAAACCGTCCAGCTGGTTGAGGAGCTCCAACATGGTGCGCTGGACCTCCGAGTCGCCTCCCGAGGAGCCTTCGACTCGCGAAGAACCAATGCTGTCGATTTCGTCCATGAAAATGATGGACGGCGCATGTTCACGTGCCATGATGAAGAGCTCGCGCACCATGCGGGATCCTTCACCAATGTACTTCTGGACGAGTTCCGAGCCGGACACTCGGATGAATTTACAGGCAGTGTGGTGGGCGACGGCTCGGGCGAGGAGGGTTTTGCCTGTACCGGGGGGCCCGTAGAGGAGCACGCCCTTGGGCTGGGCGATTCCCAGGGACTCGAAGAGCTCGGGGTGCTTGAGGCCCAGCTCGATGACTTCTTTGATTTCCTTGATCTGCTGGTCGAGACCACCAATCATGTCGTAGGTGCTGTCGGGCACTTTCTCGACCATCATGAGCGACACCAGGGGGTCAACGGACGAGGGGAGGAGTTTCTCGAGCTTGTAGCTGTCGGAGAGGAGGGTGACGCGCTTTCCTGGGGTGAGCTTGGCTACGTCGACACTGTCGGAAACGTCGACGACTATGTATGATCCATGTTAGCTGCGGGCCTTTAGTAGCGGAGAGGATCTCGGCAATGGTCTTGCTTGGATGGCTGTAGCGTACCGTATTTTCCTTCGGGGTGCACCTTGACGAGCACCTTCTTGGTGCCCATGACCTTGACCACCTCGCCGACATAGGAACCGGGTTGCTGCAACAGACCGAGCTCTTCTCTGAGTAACCGCACGCGTGAGTTATAGTCGTTTCGTTGGGCCTCGAGGCGGCGCAGAGCTGCTTGACCCTTGAGGATCTCGAGCTTCATTGCCTCGATCTTGTTGTGGTAGTATTCGTCGAGCGCCATGATGTCTTGTATGCTGAAATGTCTATCCGGGGAGGGAAGGGAGAGGGAGAATCAGGCGTCGCAGATGTCGACTGCTAGACGCAGATCCGGAGCAAGTTTAGAAATACCGGGTGCGATGGACTCGAATCGTTTGGGGAATGTTGTTCGTGGTTGCCGGGATGGCGTTTGATGTTGGTGATGTGCACCTTGAGGTGAAGCTTGGACAAGGCTGCAGGGTGTCTCGTAAGCAGCTGGCCACGGCATTGGCTTTGCGAGCGACATGCAGGGCAATGGTCATGGCCAGCCGGAAGAAGTGTTCTGCCGGATTCCGAGAAGGCTCATCTCCAGTGGCGTCCGCTTTCCTTCTTGCAGCTTCAACCACACCTACTCCGTAAGGTTGTGGGGAAAACAAAGGCGCAGCCCCAAGCAGCCACCAGTTTGCATTTGCATGGAGGGTGGGGATTCTGCAAGCTGGTGAAGGAATGGCGAGATGACTGGAGGCGATACGTAGCTGAAATGCTGCAGTTCCTAGGCCCATGCCTACCGTCGGGCCGCAGTGGATCATGACTGCCTGGTCTTCCCAGTGGTCGGTCGTATCTGGGGATCCAAGAATATGGGTATCCGGTCAGGCATCATCAGTCTTTCGAACCGATCAAAACGATGCCGAGGAGTGTCGTGTGACGGGTCATGGGATTCTCCGATGGACGGAATACGCACACATCTGCCGCTACACATGTCCTCTCTAGTCAAGCTGTCCGCCGTCTTTCCAGGCCCAATTTCCATTAACCAAAACCGGTAGTGTTGAGACCTGCAGCCGGCCACGCACGACTGCCACCCCAAATGTGAGGTGAGCGTGCATGGAACGCCTCGAAAGGGACCCAAAGGGGCCGAAGGGAGGCAGAGACACTGCACGCGCTTCGTGGTTCCTCCATTCTTTGAGTCACGCGGGGGCCGACCCCTAACAACAACGGACAGTCTGGTGTCTCGCATCCGGTGTTGAACTCGGCATGGGTTGATGATTATTAGGCACATGGCGAAGCGGAAGGAAATTAATGGTGGCATCCAGTCACTACCTCGTCAACTCGCAACCTCTTGCAATACCTATGACGGTCATTATTGGCAAAGGATACGGAGTCGATGCTGCGTGACGTGGAAATGAGGGCAAATCATATGGAGGAGCTCGCGAGGCGTCTCCTCATATTGGTCAAGACGGCATGGTGAGCCGTAGAGACGCACACACGGTATTGGGTGGCAGAGATTATGGACTTGGCAGCCTTGCCACAACATATAGAAGCTTCAGTAGCATTGATGGAATCATGTTCAGGATGTTACACAACAGCAGTGACGGTCCGAAACGGTGCCATGTAGCATCCCAGATGCTCGAGTCACAGATGATGAAGGACAGATGATGCGATCCCGGAGCCAGGGTTGAGGCCTTGCGAAGCATTGGCATGGAGTTTCTTGCCCTTTGCTATGGACCAATGGTCAATGTATGTTGTGGCGAGCGAAGGCTTTGATTTGATGGATCAGTAGGAGGTCGAGGGGGCCCCTGATTGATGATGGCCATGATAAATGACGGGCTTGCGTCCATGGCGACACAGTTGCCTCGATTTGCCTATTTTCATGCCATGATGCATCTGATACTCGGTTTTCCTAAATTCGAAGCCCGGCTCGACTGCATCCACTCTGGGACCGAATCTCTCGGCGTGGGCGACGCCCAGCCAAAGAAGGCGTCGTGCTCTGTGCCAAGGCCAGAGACAAGACAAGGTTTAGGATTGCCAAGGACCACAGCCAATAAGCCCAGCTGGGATCTTCTTACCTACCTCAGGCTCAGGTAGGGACTCCGTACTTGGCGTCTCTCTTTCTCTCTCTGTCTTTATTATTTGGTTCTTCATTTCAATGTTTGTATTTTTTCCCTCCTCATTTCCACCACGGACTGGTAATAGCTCTTTGCCGCGTACGTCTTCCGCCTCTCCAGCTGCGTGAGGCATCCAGGCAAAACCCGTCTCGGCTTCTCTCACGTCGGCGCCAGCATTGGACGCCTCGCCGGCCATCATCTCCATCGCCCTCGTCCGATCACTCTCCACCAACCCATCCATCACGCTCCAGACGACGCCGCAAGCTGCTCCGACCCCCTCCGTCCCCGAGCAACTCCCACGCTAGTCCCGTGCCTTAGTCGTCGACTGACTCCGTCGGTGCCGCGTCTGCCGGTGCTTGCTCTGGCTTTCCTCCTCGTGTCGCTTCATTATTTTCCGCCGCGTGCTTTGCTGCAGAAACAATCCCGTCCGATCCTAGTTCCCTTGTGCTGCTTCCGAGACGCAGCATCGGCTTCACGCGAGGCAGGCGCGAGGAAATGCTCCCCGTTTTGAGTACTTGATTGAGCTGCCCAGAGCTCCGCTGCATGCTGCTTCTGCACTCTCCTAATCCCGGTCGCAGCTTTTCTTTGCATTGCACTGCAACCTTGCTGATCGACTTTTGTTTGAGCACGGCAACTTTGCGGCCGGAGTACCGCTGCCTGTGAACCATGGATGCTCCAAGCAAGGACGGCGCGTCATCGGGACGCCGTCAAACACCACTCACATCCCCGACCGACGCACGTCGCAACACAGACGACAACACAACACCGAGTCGCCCCGGCGATGGCTTCGGCGAGAGCTACCAGTCAACCGAAACTGTGCGACACAGACCCGAAGGCGCGGGATATGGTACGTGTCAATCCTTTTTTTTTCTAATGTGCTGCTACTCGCCGCGACTTGACGTCCGCACATATGCTGACGCCGTCACCTGCAGGGTCCATAAACAACCCTCCCACCGCAAGCAGTAGCCAAACCGCGGCCGAGTCGTCGCAATCCCAAGACCGCCCCCAGTCGAAAGGAACGCCTCAGCGATCGGGTTTCAAACCTCCCCATAGAGTCAAGTCGTTTCCCCGGTTGCGAAAACCACCCCTGTCCAGGAGGACGTCTTCCAACACTCCGCACCGTGGCGAAATCTTCTCTGCCGACGATGAGCCTCACGAGGTTGTGGCCGATGCTGCCGAGCGCCAGGGCTACTCCACTCGTCGACGGTCGCAACAGGCTAGTACACCACTGTCACGCCTCCAGTCGTATCGAGCCGGCGGCGATGGAGAAGACGAAGAGGAAACTCGCGCCGGGGGCGTTCCCACCACGACGACAGAGGAAGACGAGCCAGAGCATAGCGATGAGTTGCCACTGGAAGAGCACGTTGACTGTGATTCCGACGGCGAGATAAGCGAGGCCGAAAGCTTTACTCTCAAAGACAGACAGCAGGCAATAAACCAGACCCATCCATTTGGTATCAGAGTCTGGAAGCCTGCATTGTACAAGAAGGATCGGTCCATTCAAAAGTTTGCCCAGGCCGACATTCACTCCTCTCCTGGAGGCCGAGTGAGCAATTGGCTTCTGCTGTTCAACCTTGTCTGGACCCTTGTATTCGGATGGTGGATGGCCTTTTTTGCCGCTCTTGGAGCCATCGTTTGCTTACTTTTTGCAGCGGCCCCTAGCGGCAAAGAGTATGGACGAGTCTTGTGGGGGTTGGCCGGCTACCTGATTTATCCCTTTGGCAAGTTTGTACGTCTGGAGAAGGACGAAGCCTACTCGCACGAAGACGGAGATGAAGGTCGAAGCATCTCCGAGTATGAGCAGTGGCAGAGCGGCGATTTAGAGTACGGCCGGCTTTTCTTTGGGCCCGACGGCAACCGATCCATTGTCGGGCGGTCAAGACAAAGTATCGATTCCGAGCACAGCGAAACTGACAGCCTGCTGGGACGGGGTCGACGGGGCGCCTCTCGCGATATGCACCCTCGCATGAAGAGACGACGGCGCCTCTTTGGCAGGGGTGAGTGGAACATTGGCAGAGTCATCTTCTTCATATTCTTTTACTGCCTCATCTCGCCGGCCTTGATCGTCACCTCTGCCATTTGTTGGTTTCTCGTCTTCTGGATTCCCATGGGCAAGGTGACGATCCTCCTATTCGATCACCTCCGTCGACACCCACTCGCCTTGTCGTTTGAGACTCACATGGGCTACATGCGAAACGACGACGCGCCCGACTCGTCCATTTTGGTGTGCACCTACCGAGCCGTTGGCTCCAAGTATTGGAAGTACACCATTGACGGCACCAACATTTTTCTGATCAACCTCATGGCCGTCGTGTGTTTTGTGATTTTCGACTGGGCCGTCCTCGAGGGCGTACTTCACGTGGAGAGCTTCATTACATCCCCAGCTTTCCTGTTTACTGCCGGTCTGTTGTCCATCATCCCCCTAGCTTATTTTATTGGCCAGGCGGTTGCATCCATATCAGCCCAGTCGTCCATGGGACTGGGCGCGGCCATCAATGCCTTCTTCGCCACGGTTGTTGAAGTGTTTCTCTACTGCGTTGCTCTCAGCCAGGGCAAGGGTCAGCTCGTGGAAGGCAGCATTGTCGGCAGCATATTCGCCGGTATCCTCTTCTTGCCTGGCATTTCCATGTGCTTTGGCGCCCTCAAGCGCAAGACGCAGAGATTCAATGCCCGGTCGGCTGGTGTCACATCCACCATGCTACTATTTGCCGTAGTGGGTGCCTTTGGCCCGACACTATTCTATCAAATCTATGGGACCCATGAGCTGAGCTGCACGGATTGCGAGGACTTGGAACCTGGTGGGAAAGATGGTCCTGGTAATGTTCGCGATTGTCGTCGCTGCTACTTCTCCCAGGCACCGGCTCTTGACGATCGGTTTTATCTCGAGGCCGTACGGCCGTACTGTTACCTGGCCGCTGCCATGCTCTTCTTCTCATACCTGATCGGACTGTGGTTCACGCTGCGAACCCACGCCGCCGTGATCTGGAACGCCGAAATCGAAGAGAAAAGGCACGAGGAGCAACTCCAGGCATCTCTACTTCGGGCCTCACAGCCTTCGGCAGCCGAAACTACTGGCACGGATATCCGCGACTCCCATCTCTATAAACGCATTCTGGGCCAATCACTAAAGCATGTCGGGCTTCAACCTCGCCCCGAGGAAATGGCCCGCCAGGCATCTGCCCCAGACGCTGCCGCCAACGGCACGGCCGCAACCCCACACGTAGTTCCTCCTAAGGGCAGCGATACGATTCGGTCTACCGTCAATGTGCCTGGCCTCAGCCAAGCGGACAACACTGCTCTCGCCCGGGAGGTTGCACACATTGCCGCCACTGCGGCCACGCTTGCGTCGAGGGATCGGGAAAGGCTGCGAAAGCTATCTTCTACCCCGGGTCAACACGGCACCGTCCGAACGCATCAGAACCAGGCTGATGAAGCCACGGCAGCTGGTGAAACGGCAACCGTGCATGCTGGAGGCCATGGAGGCGGCGGCCACGATGCTCCAAACTGGGGGCGCGCAAAGAGTTCCATCATCCTCTTGGGAGCCACCGTACTGTATGCCGTCATTGCGGAAATTCTAGTAGACACGGTGGATGTTGTGTTGGAGAGTTTCTCGATTGATCAAAAGTTCTTGGGTATCACGCTTTTTGCACTTGTTCCCAATACCACCGAGTTCCTGGTAAGTGGGCGCCTCGCTCAAAAGAAAAAGAAAGGTATGTAATGCTAACAATCATCATGACAGAACGCCATCTCCTTTGCTATGAACGGAAACATTGCGCTGTCAATGGAAATCGGTTCCGCGTACGCCCTGCAAGTCTGCCTGCTGCAGATTCCTGCGCTCGTCTTGTTCTCAGCCGTGTACGCCCACATCCCCAGCGGCAGCGACCCGAGCCTGTACACCTTTTCTCTGCTGTTCCCGCAGTGGGACATGGTGACGGTCATCCTGTGCGTGTTCCTGCTGAGCTACGTCTACGGCGAGGGAAAGAGCAATTATTTCAAGGGCAGCATCTTGGTGCTGACGTATTTTGTGGTGGTGATTGGGTTCTACTTTAGCGGCTTTACGTCCGAGGTGATGGGCATTGAGCGGTTCGATGTCATGGGTGAAGATGGGAACTACAAGAGTTTCAAGACGATTGGCCGCGGGTCGAGCGGGCGGGCGTATGGATTGTGAGTAATGATGGGGCGCGAAGGGTGTAGTGACTTTACAAATTGTACAGACGTTTTATGGTTCCCTGTCCTGCTGCACAGGCGCCCGGGTCAGATGGATGGGTGATGTGGAAGGGCGGGCTTCCGTACGTGTATCTCTACTTGACGAAGCTGTGTATCGAGACGGCTGGACGAAAGCATTGTTTGAGTTTGTTTGCATCGTTGGGACATTGGTGGTTTTCGGGGCAGTCGGGCTGCCGTTGCTCGTTAGCAATGAGACTAATTGATTGAGTCGTGTGTGTGATGGGGTACTGTTTGTTTGTTTGTTTGCCGCGTCGTGCTCTCGTTCCAGCGATTCTTTGTGGTTTGTGGAACTAGGCGACTGGGCACCACATGTGGGAAAGAGTCTGGCATGCTTTTGCATTGCAAGGTCTGTTCTTGCTGGATTACGTGCTTTGGAATCTTTTACAATGGCGCTCATGCTACTGGTCATCTGCAGCGACTCACGGCACCGCCATGGAGACGGCTTCTACGCGGCCAAATGCGTCCAGAGCATCCCATCGTGGACATTACAAGAGCGTTCGTTAGACTGGGTTCCATGTTACGTTGGGCAGTTGGCGTTACAGTTTTGTGAGATCATTCGACATTGCTATCCCCATCTTGTGATGTGCCAAATGAATTTAAGGCCAGGCGAGGTCCAAACTCTTCCTCACGTCCAGGTCAAGCCCAGAGCGCAATGAAAAGAAAAAAAGAAAACCTGTCAGACGTCCATCAACACCCACCCTGCCCATGCGCCCGAAGGCAAACAACGAACAGGGTCGAGATCATCAACAAAGCTTCCCGACATGTTGCCATGCCATACGGGAACAATCTCTCTATACAGCACCTGCAGATGCAGATACCGCCGTCCTTGCGGACAGAGCGAGAGGAACCGGAGCTTTCACTCTAGGGCGTCGAGGATATACATTCATCAACCAGGGTGGATTCTGTGGCTTCTGTAGGAAACCAAGAGAAGGTCGAACACTATAGAAATGATTCTCCTGCAAAGACGGTCAGAATTGGGTGTTGTGGTGGTGGGAGAGTGAGCAGTTGGGTGTGTGCTTACTGAAGTATTGTCGATATGAAGAAGAAAGGAAAAAAAGTTCGAAAGAGTGTGCGGCAACGGGTTGTTTTATAGAAGATTTGCGAGGCGGGCGGTGAGTGCGTGACCGCCTAAAAGTTTTTTTTGGGCGGCAGTATTTTTTGGCGGCGCGCAGGGGTCCCGCCCTGGTGAAGGGGATGTGAGTTGACGGTGAGAGGAAGAGTGGGGTTGTTTGATTGGGGCGGGTCCGGTGTGGATGTGTCTGGCGGGCTGCGTTTGTTCTGGCCTTGTGGTTTTTGCTGGTGGTGCAGAGACTTCACGGGATTGTGGAGCGGCTTCATCTCGGCAGGGTGAGAAAAGAGCCGTGGCCTCGGTGGAATTATGGGTTTTTTGCTGATGCCCTGCTTGGCGGGTTTTTGGCATGCGGTGCAGGGAGCAAAGATTGCATGGGGTGTTGTGTTGTGTTGTGTTGTGTTGTGTTGTGTTGCTTTGCATCGGCGAGGTCTGCTTGATGCTTATGCATAACTCTTTTGCATGTGGCTTGGTGTGCATCTGCAGGGTGGTGCACAGTACGGCACATGTTGCCTCGTGGTCCAGGACTTGTGCTTGTGCTGTCTGGTGTTTTTCTTTTACGACGTTTTGCTGTGATATATGTGTTGCTTTGAACGTGCAATATTGACAAGACACATGTTTCTATACAGCGCTCATCTCACATGTAGATGGAGATTATTTAGTGCATACCGAATTTTTTCTTTCCCTTGTTCAAGTCATCTCGAACATGCTGTTGCCGTACTCCAAGCAAAGTGCGCTTGTGTCATAGGGTAGCCCAGCTGTCAAGACCCCTGTTGCAGCTCGACGTCAAACCGGGCTAATTAGGATGGATAGTGGCCATCACTCGTGCCAGGTTTGGCCACAGTGTGAACTTGGTCATCCAGGGCTGCATAAAAGCTGATAGCGGGCCTTGGAAATTGTGCAGAAGCGTCTCGTTGCCTGGGCTATGCTTCGGCTAATTGGGAGCGCGTTCTGTTCGCGTCTGGATGATTGCACACGAGCCAAAATTCAGTTCTTGACGTTGCAATCCCGCCACGGAGCAGAGGTCTCGCAAAACCTAGGTAGCTAGGTAGCTATAGCGATGGAGCCATACTTTGCATGCACATTGCTTTTGCTAGAAGCACTTATAGATACTCTCTTCAAAACTTGATGAAGAGCCTGTATGAATATTCACACTTGGTATTATTTAGGCAAAGTCCCTGCTGTCGTGTGGTATCTACCCTTGGTGTTCGTGATCAAGAGGGAAACTGAAACTCGCAACACCTGTGGATACTTGCATTGGTCCAAGGCTCCTCATTAGCTGATCTCTACAGCCTTGGAGATGATTCGCTAGAATACTTTAAACCAGATCGTAGTGGGGCGCCGCTTGACAACTCCTATCGAGTTTCCATCAGAAACTCTCGTTGCCTCTCATACCAAACATTGCATGCAGTGCACATCAACACTTGATATGCCATTTTCTCTCCATAGCTGCCCATACAGAGGGCAGTAGAACCGCTGTCCCTTGCACTACGTGGCGGCAGAGTGTCCCCATGGCCTTTGTTTACGGGGTAGGGACCTGGGACACGGACAAAGGACAAAGAACAAAGACATACGCACGGTCAAGAAACCAGACAAAGAAGGGCCTGGAGAGCTGCTGCGCTCCTGATTTCTTTTCTTCTCGACTGTTTCGTAGAGAAACTTGAACAGGAGACAAGGTGTACGCAAAGCTCTCCATCAAGGCGCCGTCCCAGCCAGCATCTATTCCCACAACAAAGAATAAAGATGTTCAATATCGCGATATGCCTGCACTGGATGACGACAGAAGTTTTTCATCTTGCTGCAAGCGAAACGAAACTCACATGTGCCCATGTCCCTTCCCCTCGCTTTGTGGCATCTCGCCGAGATATTTTGCTCACGCGACCGTCGCCCCTTTGTCGATGAATGGCTGCTTCTAGGCACTCGCTGTGATCAGGCGACATGGCGGGGACTTGCAGATGCAAGAAACAAGTTCACAGGATTGCCTTGGAAGGAGAGGCACAGCTTGGTACCGTGTCTGGTTTGTCTTCCCCCCCCGCGGCTGGACCTTGCCGGCCCTTTCATGTAGTCAGCCATCTAGCTTACTGTGTGCCGGGTGCAATACCGACTGAATGACCGCAGTGAATGGACTGAGGTGGGCAAGCGGTGCTTGCGATGCTGCACGCTCATTTCGGGACTGGGAGCTTTGCTTACGCTTTGTACGTATGCTGCGGGTTCACGGCGGCATCGGGCTTCGCGGTCTGCATAATGCCAGGCAGATGATTGATGGAATTAGCAATGAATGCTTCAAAACCTTTCTAGCTTTCGGTGAACATGTCGCTCTCAGCTGGGTCTTGTCATGTATCAAGGAAGCGTCTCTGGGCAGCGGATGTCAGTCATGCTGTGAATGTATGTCGAGGAGCCAACAAAGCAAGCAGTGTTGCTTACTCGCATGCCATATTACGGTGGGGGTAGTACGGGGAGATGTTGGATGCATGGCCTCGTCATTCTAGATCTAAAAAGAGGATGTTGAAGGTGTTCATTACATGTTGATGCGCGACTCCGGAGGGCTCAGTGCCGAGAAGAGGCTGAGTCCTGGTGAAACAAAGTAGGGCCGTGGAAAAAAAAGGCCTAAAAATGACTTGTCAACGACAGCCGAGAAGTGATGGCGTACTACAATCAAGTGTCAGCGGCTGTGCCAAGTAGGCGGCGGTGCAATCGTGTGCTTTGCGTGTTTAAACCGCTTTCACAAGAGGTCTCGATGTGGGAGCCAACTTTTTCTTGGCGTAGGTAGTGTCACATGTTACAGATGGCGCATCTGATCGCTCTCTTGCAGCACGGTCCAGGTCTTTCGAGAGCAGTTCATTGTCTGTGTTGGACAGAACAGCGACAGAACAAGAGGTAAGATTTCCGTCTCAGTGTAAGCGTAGCTCAGTACGACGGGCATAAAAAAAACCATAAAAGGCCATGGAATTCCTCAGATCCAAAGGCCCCTTCTTCACTGAAAACTACAACAAAGACCCTAGCTTCGAAAGGCGACAAACAACAGACAACAAACAGAAACAGACACCACAACTGAATTTTAAACATAAAAAAAACATGTCTGCGTATGTATCATTCTTCGCACACTAGAGAACGCAGCCGCTAACGAAAACAGACCTAGAAAGCTTCCATATAAAGTCGCAAATTCCCCAGAGGGAACCGAGTTACGGTGTCTAAATTGTCAACAGACGTTTCCAACGGAACAGCAGGTCTGGGAGCATATCGAGAAATGCGTTTGCAAGGATTGCCATCAGATTGTCACGATTCCAACAATGATGGATTGTCCCTGCCTTCCCGAGCACCGTCCTTCGTGCTCGTTCTGTGGGGGCACCGGCAGACGGACGTGCCACAATGAGAAGCACAGCCACATACGTACTGCCTTGAGCATTCGAGAATATGAACTGAATATGTACCGTTGACACGACATATCGAGTGGGGTAGAGGGCACCACACAGTGGCTAGACCTACGGAAGCAAGGTCAAGAATCGCACCTTCGGACATGAATACCGGTGTAGCCGAACCTCTAGGTGTGGCAGCGTGGTGATGGCGGTTCAAGATGCCTTTGCATCCTCGACAACAAGTTCGATTTCGTTCTATCGAGCAAACCCCAAACAGAAGACGAAGACGCAAACATTTGAAGGAGCCATGTGAGAGAAGGACAGGAGTCACAGGAGGCACAGGGAAGGATATGAACGACACACGGAATTCTACCAATCAGTTGCTTTCTCGAATATATTCGCCATCTTCAGTGGTCATGTCTCAGTCATCCTGTGAATGTAGTTCAGTACGGCCGGCGTAAAAAAAAAACTATAAGAGGCATGGAATCTCCCACATTCAAAGGCCCCTTTTGTACGGCAGCTACGACAAAGACCTCGACCTCGACCTCGACCTCGAAAAACAACAAAGACAAGACATAGGACGACTGTTGGAGAATTTCCAAGAGAGCCACCGAGAACAAAAGATGGCAACAAACGAAACCACACCAATGACGTCTGGGTATGTATATCTATTCGGAACCTAGAAAGGGCTGCGGCTAATAACCAAAACCGACAGAGACATCAGAAAGGCTGATGAGGTTTGCAACATCTGCCGTGCAGAATTGGGAGGAACCAAGACAATCCCAGCCCACATGTTCCACCAATTTACACAATTCCGGGGGCAACCGCCATGTTATTCATCCGCCTTGGAGCTCCCGGGGATCCTCGGCCAGCCTCCGCCTCAGCGAAGGACAGACGACCTGGTCTACCACCTATATGTATGTGCCTGTTGTAACAAGGTGGCTTGTTATAACAATAACCAAATGTGGGGGCACGTAGCCAAGTGCCCCTGCCCTACTTGCAAACAACCATTGAGCCGTCTTGGTTCGGCCCCGGGCAGCGACAGTAATGAGCCTGCGCCTACAGACTGTGGGCGCGTCGCTCGGGAATGTCAGGATCCCCTTCATGCGGGCATGGCCAGAATCATGCGCAAGGGCTATCAAGCACTTTTTCGCGATTCACAGGCGTTGCAGATAGCTTCGAATATAGCCCGAAAAGAAGAACTTGACCGGTCTGCGGAGCCTTTGTTCGAAGCTGGGGATTTGCCTCGTCCACCACCGCGACTACCATGAAGACGACCAGACCTATTCTGTCGCGCGCCTTCAGCAGACGACAAACACGCCAATATTGAAAAGGGACAGGTTGGGACGGGGCGGGACGGGGCGGGAAAGAAGCACGAAATTCTACCGAAAAAATTACCTTCTCCAACATATTCACCAGTTTGAGGGTTACAATAAGCGCTTAGCCCCACGAATACACTCATTTTTATAACCTGGTTATCCTGTCTCTATTTGTGCTACACAACACATGTAAACCCCGCCATGCGTTGATACTTGGCTTGCCATTACCGCCCAGTGAATACATGACCAGCCCCAGACCAACAAACGTCTTTTTTCACAAACACAGGACCACCGGAACGAGTCCAGGACTTGATGCTCCGACTAGTCGGTTGTGAGCTTTGGTTGTGAAGAGCTGATAATGTGCGGCGGCTTTTCTACACACGAAAAGTCGGGGAAGATTGTAGGACCCATATGATACCGATATCGTAGTTTGTACAAGGTGGCCTTATGTTTACCTATCAAACGACGTTATTTTTTTTAAAACTAATGATATATTTTGCTTGTATCCTATTAATTTATTGAATAGGCGTCGTCTACGCCCCTTGCTACTTGGATGGACTATATGCCATGTAGTTCATTACCTAGCGACAGGTGGGCCTTTCCCCCAAAGTCAAATTGATTATGGTCAGGCATATTTTAAAGGAATTTGACTAATCGCTTCAGATTAGTTGACTGCTCTTGAAAACCTTCGCCGGTATAACAGCTTGAGCTATGATTGCGGTGTGGTGACTTGCACGGGGAACGCCGTGTACAGTCAGTTGTTGTTTGTGCATTGCTTTGAGCCACTTGCACAGCTATTTGGATAATCCAGGCCCTCAAACGTTTTTCATAGCTTCTTTGTCGGGTTCACGAGCTTCATGAGCTTCACGCTCTAGATTCAATGCACGCGGAGCTGTATGTCTCTGCTGGCCAGAACAGTCGCGGAACAAACAAACCTCACGCCTGAGACTATATTCACACCTAGCCCAATGTCTCTGTTGAGAAAAACATTCACAGAGAAAACAGACCGCATAATTGGACTTTCTACACGCAGAGGCCAGTACTACCAGAATTCACCACGATTATAAAGAGCCATGGTGTCCCAGGTGTTTCACGCTGCCACAAAGACCAAGTCGTCTTCAAAAACCAGACACCACCACCTTCACTCGAGTCTCTTCAACGACAGCTTTACAAAAAGGCTAAAATGGCCGAGTATGTATCACCTTGATTTGAGTATAGACGAAATCTCCCACTAACAGAAGGGAATGCACCAGGCTCGTGTTTTGCCTGCACTGCCTTGAGGACGTGACGAAGATCGAGTACCATCGATGCCACTTATTCCAGACGAAGAAGACGCACCGTGGTCAAACGATGTTATTGTGTGTAAAATGCGACAAAGGATTTGGGAGTGAAGACGAGATTTGGAAGCACCTGCACACGTGTGTGTGCGAAAAATGCGAAAAGCCTCTCACGACAAAATCCTACACGGCCTGTAAATTCTTCGAGGCAAACTCTCGAGACAGACGGTGCAATACTTGTTCTGGCTGGGGATTCCTTCCCTGCGAATCGAAAGTCCACCGTCAAGTCTTTCGCCATTTTTACGAAAGGGCGTACATACCTGTTAAGAATATCATATACCTTGAGCGCTGGGATAAGATGTAAAGTGCGACGGATGAGCGTTCCTTTTACAAATCTGTTAGCTTTGCCGTGTTATTGTTACAAGTGATAGAAGACATGTGTCTAGTGTTCTATAAAAAATACAAACTTTTTTTTATTACCTGTATTGTTTTTTGCCCTTGATCTACTGGAAAAATGAAGCATTCTGCCAAAAGTGGAGGCCTCACACAATTGCGAGGTTTAATTTGGTAGATGCCTATTTTTCCTTTCAACATCTACACCATGTTTGCCATACGGTTAGGCCTCAGGTTTGCAAAACTCACCGACGTCTTGTGTATATAGAGTCTGCCCCATAAATACGCGTAAAGTGCAGATTCGCCGCAAATGTGCCTCTCTGTTCCGAGGGGACCCGACATCTATTTTTGGAGGTGCCACGAGTTCGGGATGATGCGTTGTGGGGTACATGGCCCGTGCGCTTTTGACAGCATCACGTGAAATTTCTCATTTCGTTGAGCTCAACCACCTTCGCGACCACATCAACCATGAGGCTCCTTTGGAGCCACGCTGTTACACGCGCCAGACGGGCAACTAACCATCTACGAATACCGTTTCAGTGATGACCGGATCTTCAATGCTCATATGCCACGACCGACAATACATCTCGACAGCCCGAGGCTGTTTATGTCCCTGAGGTGGACCTGGAAGATTTTGAGAGCTACACCATCGGTGGCTACCATCCCATCGTTATTGGAGACACTTTTCAAAAAGGCCGATACAAGATTGCCCACAAGCTTGGCTTTGGTGGCTATTCTACAATTTGGCTGGCCCGAGACAACACATTGGATCGCTATGTCTCACTGAAGGTCTCGGTTGCAAGCGAATCGTCAAAAAATACCGAAGCAAATATCCTTGGCCAACTTCAGAGCATCGACACATTGCACCCAGGGCAGCGCTTCATCCCTCATTTACTAGATGCATTCTCCATACAGGGCCCAAACGGGCGACATACCTGCCTTGTACAAGAAGCGGCCGGCTGCAGCGTCGCTGCGTCCAAAGAAGACTCGGTAAACTTCATGTTTTCGACCGAGACCGCGAGGTCCATAGCAGCCCAGCTGATCATGGGTGTGGCGTATTTGCACTCACGAGGCATATGCCATGGAGGTAGGTTTAGCACCTAAACTCTTCACCGTGCTCTCCTTACCATAGCTCGCCAAATCCAGACTTGCATCTAAGAAATGTTCTATTTCGCGATCCACATGTCGGCCAACTCAGCCCTGACCTGCTCTGCAAGAGTTACCGTTTGGATCAAGCCGCTATTAGCCGAGTTGATGGCGCTGCTGTCGAACCTCACGCGCCACCATATGCCGTCTATCCTATGCACATGAAAATGGCCGCCGACAAACTAAGAGAACCTATAATCACTATATCCGACTACGGAACATCTTTCATTCTGGCTACTGAGCGCTTCCCCGAGCTGCATACGCCACCACTCTTCCTGCCCCCGGAAGACTTTTTTCAAGAACCCATCACATTGGCGGCGGATGTATGGACACTTGGCGTGATCTTGTACGAAGTTTTGGGTGAAAGGCCCCTCTTTGAAACATTTAATGGCGATCGAGACGATATTATCGCAGACATCATCAGCACATTGGGGCGGCCACCCGCGCGTTGGTGGGATAAATGGGAGAATCGACACGAGTTTTTTAACCCAGTTGGCTCCTGGATTCATAACCTCGAACGAATCTACACCCCTGTTTCCCGACCGTTGCATCAACGCATGTGGGACATGGGACGTGGCATGACGCCCGAGACCTGTGAATGGGATGTTGAAGGAGGGGAAATGCAGGCCTTGGAAAAGCTGCTGAGAAGTATGCTGGCGTATGAGCCTTTGGAACGGCCTACGGCCCAACAGCTGATGAGATCAGAGTACATGGAAATGGGCGATTCCAGCTTGCGAGCGGCAACTGGAGAGAAGCAAAAACGCATAGTGGCGACAGATTCTTGGCAAGTATCAGAGCCAAATAAACCCACTACCAAACGCCTGCCACGTCGAGTCCCGCGCGACGAGCGCTTCCTCTGCGGCGCATCCGTTTGTTTCGGTTCATCAACGCTTCGACCGTCGTGGCCGTGGAAACCGTGTAGAATCGCACCATCATCTCCTAGAGAACTTGGTTAGCCAACCCGTAGCCGACTGCATAGCATCGAGCTATTGACTACCTTTATTGGCTAGACTGTCGGAGCTCACACAGAGTCTGAGGAGCCTCGCCGCTCAATACCAGCTCGTATTTGGTAAAGAGTGCTCCAAGGCCATCTCCATCATCAGCAGGCGGCATTGTGACTATGCCTCCCACCATATGCGAAGATGAACTGTCCAGAGCTGTAACGCTGGACTCGTGACCTTTGCCTTTGTTGTTGTGTAACCTTTGTTCGCCCAACGCCCTTTGTTGCGAGCCCTTGCCACCTGCAGCTCCCACAATGCATACATAGTGTAGCACTCGTATTGGAGAGAACATTGGCAGAACAAGCCCCTTTGCTACAGACAAAATGCACGCGTAGTTGCAGTGCATCTGTCAGATGAAGAAGTGAAACCACAAACCCTCATGGTTCACACCATGCAATGCGTGTGCTCAGTGTTTTTGTCGGATATTGTCTGTGTTGGATGAGCAGTGAAAGCACAGGCCCTCGTAGCTCTGAACAAATACATGAGCCAGGTAGTTTGTCACATTTGCTGAACAGAGTAGAAACAGAACAGGCTCTTATGATGTGGGTTAGACGTGCGCAATGCACTACCTGTGCTGGATATAACAGCAGCAGAACACAGCATCATCTGTTATATCGAGTACATGACTTGTTCAACGACGTCCTGCGGTATATGAAGAGCTCTCATTCCCCCAAATCCCGGGTTCTTTTTTTACATTCCCAACCGTGCGAGTTGCAACCTTTCAACTTCCAAAATCGGCAAACACAACACCACTGCATGAGATTCTTATCCGCATTTACAGAATGGAGGAAGAAAGGTATACATGTTATTCGCCTCACTACCAAGCAAAGCGCCTACTAATAAAAATAACGTGCCAGACGTCTGACTTGCAGACACTGTCAGGGGGACCTGACACAGCCGGGGAAGCAGGTTTCTCACATATGCAACTTGCTAAATCACGACGAGGAAATACTTCCGAATGCGGAGGGCGACTCATCAGAGTATGTATCTCATTCACCCTAGTACATAGCGAAGCGCCTACTAATGAAAAATAACGTGCTAGGCGTCTGACTTGCGGACACTGTCAGGGGGACCTGACACAGCCGGGGAGACAGGTTTCTCACATATGCAACTTGCTAAACCACGACGAGGAAATATGTAAAAATCGAGAGAGCGACCCACCAAAGTATGTATCTCATTCATCTTACTACATAGAAAAGCGCCCACTAATAAAAAGTAACGTACTAGGGACGTGTTTTGCCAATTCTGTAATGAGAGCATGACACCGGAGCAGATTCGCGAACTACGCATCATAGAAGATGAAGATGACGACGTACAGTCAGACGAGGACGAGCAAATATGTCCGAATGGCGAGAACGAAAATTTACAGCCTCCGTCTTCTGGGAACGAACCATCAGAGTATGCATCTTATTCACCCTAGTACAAAGCAAAGCATTCACTAATACAAAGTAAAATGCTAGGGGATGTTATTGCTCGTACTGTTGGAAGCCCCCAAAAGGGGTAAAGACGAGAGGTGTCCATGCATGCACCGTATTTCCCACCCAGCGTATGGAGGACGGGAGGAGCAGGCGAATATGTTGGAATTGCAAAAGACCTGCATCTGAGGAAAGGAGAATGTGGCGGCACGTGCAGAAGTGCAGATGCAAAGTTTGCGGAAATAGGCTCGTTTGGCCTATTGATTACGATTGCGAGTGTCGCGGGGACAATTCTGAGTGCGAAAAGTGCAAGGGCACCGGCAAAGCCAAGTGTGACAAAGAATATCACAAAGATATTCACACGATGTATAAGAATGGATTGCAGAAAGCATGCGTCACCCGTGGAAAGGACTTTGGGAAATTCCTGTAAAAGCCAAGCGAAGCATAGCAGAGCGGAGTTGTGCTTCTGTCGTCGAGCTGCTTTTACAAAACACAAAAACACATTCGTCAAGGACATGGAAATCGTTGTACCCCTACACACTCATTACCCCTTAGTTATAGTTGATGCTTTCAAACTTCTGCTTTTGCTATTTTGGAAATACCAATCAAGTCGCTCCTCACTAGCCTTGCCATTGCCTCCTCGTGTATCGTGAGCCGCAGACCAACAGTGAAAGCCAAGCAAACCCATCTCTATGCCCAAATACAAAACAAACAACCCGCCCAGCCGACCAGATACCCAGCTTCCAGACGTAATCCAAACCCAACTTCCGTCACCACCACCACCACCACCAACTACTCCCTATACAAGCCCTCCTCGTCAATCCACCTCGCAACCTCGGCCCCAACCAAGCCCTCCACCGCCGGCCCCCTCTCCCCAGTCCTCACCAGCTCCCTCACCCTCGAGCTGCTCACCGCCCCCTCCACCCCGTCCACCAACTCAATCCTCCTCACCCACGCCGCATCACCACCGCTCCTGCCCAGCGTCCCCTCCAGACCAGCCACATACGCCGCCTGCTCCCCAGCCGTCCCCCACGCACCGTCCGGCCTCATCGTCACGCGCAGCCTCGCCCGCCGGAAGAACGGCCCCAGCGCGCTCCCCATCCCCCCGCTCCCCCCATAGTACCGCGGCTCAAAGATGCGCACCACCGTGTCGAACCCGCACAGGAACACCTGCTCCGCGCGCCCGTACCCCGCCGCGCCCTCCATCGCCGCCGCCTTGTCGTGGAAGTACGGCCTCGTCGTCACCGCCACGTCCACCTGCACCGGCGCCGCCGATGAGGCTGTCCGGCGGCGGCGGAGGTGTTTCCGTGCGGGGGGGCACCGTGGACAGCACGCGGAAGGCGTCCCCGGACGCGGAGAAGGACCGGAGCGCGTTGGCGAACCGCGCGGCCGTCTGCTTGGTGGACATTAGCGCGTCGGGCATGGCGGGTGGTCTTTGTTCGGGGGAAGAAGTCAAGTGCGGTGCAGTGAGGTCGGGAGAGGTGAGTTGAGGTGACGTTGATGCCGGCCCCACTCTGGAACTGACTTGCGTGAGACTTGCCGGATTGGGACACATGCAGCCGGCCCGGCCCATTTACCAACACCGCCGAGCCGAGACGACGTTTCACGGGCCGCCCAACGTCACCTGGGAACTTACATCAATTATTGCAAAAAAAGGAAGAGCCTTGTCTACTAATACTTTGTCATTCCGACATGTCAATTGATAAAGTAGACCGCTAAAAGTTGCTCAAATATCATCGTCCTTATTCTGTCCGTCCATCACCCCCCTGCCAAACCACCGGGCCACCGTCCCGAACCGGTCTTCGCTGCCCTCCAGCTCAATCTTGAACAGGTCGTGCTTCTCCGCCGCCTTCCGCTGCTCCTGCCTCATCTTGCGGATGAGATCATTCCCCCCCGCGCACTGCGGACACTCCACCTCGTCGCCCTCGCCACCACGGAGACACCGCTGGTGGAAGCTGTGCTTGCACAGAAAATGGACAGCCGGTAAATCCAGCCCCTGTCCACAGTCCGAGCACCGCGTTGCTTGGAAGACGGCCGGTTTAGAGCCTAAATCTGCAATTTCGGCTCGCCGCTTTTCCGTGTCCACGCGCAAGGTGTCGATTTGCCTGCGATTGTCTTGGATTTCTTTGCGCTCGCGTGTAATCGTGTCGTGGAGGTAGGGTTTGATCATGCCCATTGTCGCCACGCCGCCGGCCGATGATTGGCCAACGAGGGTTTGGACCACCTGCAGAGGAGCCATGAGCCCGTCTTTGTCGATTTTGGAGAGCACGTTGGCCAGTTCGTCCGGCCCTGCTTCTTCGAGGACTTTCGGGTCGGATGTGAGGTATGCGAGGGCTGCTGGGTATAATTGCGGTTCTTCGGGGCCGTATTTTCTCAGAGCCTTGATGGCGCCGCGCGTGTCCTTGGCAGACGTGTACGATCGGAAGATGTCAAAAAGCAGCCCGGCCTGCTCCTTGACCAAGACAGTGCCGTCGCGGAAATTGGACAAGTCTGACAGCAAGAGCACGTTGGAGCTTTCCATGGGTACGTGCTCTCCCTCGATCAGCTTCTTCGCCTTGCCCTCCCACTCCTCCCGATGGTGGCCCTTCTTCTCGCTGGCTTTATACAAATACATTTCAAACAAAGTGGTATACAAATCTGTTCGATCCGAAACCTTCAAATCTCCCTCCTCGAGACATGCTTCAAGAAACGTGATAAATTCATCTGGGTGGTCGATGAATGAAGAAAATGCAGTTCGCGGTGCCGGCACCGTGTACTTTGGCGGAGGATGGTCGTCTTCGCCAAGTTCGAGGGTGCCGTTGCTTGCCGGCTGCTTAATGTTACTAGGCGTGCCCGGTGTTGCCGTTGGTCCCGAGGATGTGCCCATGTAGGGAAAGGGTAGATAATTAGTGAGGTTTTGCACTGCACTGGACGTGCCTGATGTGAGGCCTCCGGTCGATGATGTTTCACCAGGGATGGCAACCGTCGACTTTCTTGGGCGGTATTTCCCTGTATAGTAATCGATGAAGAGCTTCGTCGCCTCTTTGGGGCAGTTTTCGATGAGTACCCGAGCGTACTTTTGCATACATGGATATGCCTACGAAACAAGTCAGTCGCCACGCTGATAGTGTGTCCGGGCGCGAACCTACCACTTCAGGATCTTGCCGCCAGATGTAGCCCAGCGCTTCACCGTAGCTCTTGGAGTCCTCAATCAGAATATCGGCCACAAGCTCCGTCTCCCCATGCCGTTTGGCGAGATAGGCGGCCTGCTCGTAGTATCCCCCTTGTCGACACATGACAATGGCCGTGTCCAGGTCAAACTTCAAGTCTCCTGGTGACCTGATAAATTTTTCTAGCTTGGCAATGTCCTTTAACTTTGCGTAACAATTCAGGAGCAATGTTGTGTGGTCAGCCGTAGCTTTTCTGTGCTCGTGTAATTGTTCAAGGTACTGAATGAGATTATGTATTCGTTGGGTATCAAGAAACTGTCCGGTCAGCACGTTCACGTCTTTTTTTTCACGTTCAATTCATTCGCAGGCAAAAACAAAACATACTTTGCGAATAACCTGCGATGGCTCAGTGGTATCGATAGCCCGAATATACTGCATCATGGCTCCGTCGTAATCAGCCTTTTGATATAAATGATCACCAAACTTGCGATAAATGATGCTCTGCTGCTGACTATCCATTCCGGAGCCTTGTGCAAGCTCAATAGCAAGAGGAAACATGTTGCGTTGGTACAGCATCTCTAACCTCTGCTGCAACGGCTTTTCATGATACCGATAAATCTGCAAAACATCAGCCATGGACACGGGATCATGCAGTGCGGTACAGGCTCACCTTGCCCTCCTCCGACATAGTATACAAGTCTCCCCAAACATCAAAGATGAACCTCACAGGGGACATGATTGTTTCGGAGTGCGCAATGACTCGCAGATCTGGCTCCAGCAGAACAAACATTGTAGCGTTAAACAAGTCGTCGTTACCGCCGCCCCCGAATCGCCGTCGCATACTATCCGGATCCCGTCCATTGACCCCCGTCGGCAAACACTTGAGCGCCACGTAATTCTCATACATGGCAATCAAGGTCTTGGGAGCTTCATACGCCTTTGGCGGCCCTCGACCATCCAACGAATATGTGTAGATGGCATCATCCCTCGCCACCACCACATCGCCCGTCTCTTTATCCAACGTCATGCACCCCCACGCACAGCCGCTATCCTCCACAGTCTTGGGAGGAAGCCCCTGACCCTTCCTAGACAACCCCAACTTGACTATCCGCGTAGTCGTGGAGATGAACAACGTCGTTAGCTTCTCGTCCGTCGCAAGCTGCACACCGGTGACTGGTTCCTCAGACTCAAACACTATGCGCTGCTTGGTGCCAAGGTCATGGATGAGATCGCCCCGAATAACCGTCACAGCACCGTTACCAAAACCGACCGCAATCTGGGACAGGTCGTCGGAGGCAGCAAAAGCTGAAATCGGAAATTGCCGTCGGCCGTTATTTATGGTCAGGGTGCTCAGACAGGTTGGCATGTTGGTCTTTTTGACGAGCTTATCCAGCGCCCAGGCTTTAAGAACGGGCTCACTGCTCAGGTCCTCGGCGACAGTGATGAGCAGGCTCGTCCCCTCGACTTGGCGCATGTGCGTGACTCGTCCGGCATCGTGGGCCTGGAATGTCCTAACTGCTTTCCAGCTCTTGCTGATGATGCTGACGGATCCATCGCTGCCACCAAGAAAGAGACTGTCGGATCCGGAGCAGATGCTGGATATTTCGTTGGCATCGAACAGGCTACGGGTTTCGTCATCGGGGAGGGAGACTTGGGAGACTTCGAAGAAGTCGAAGGACTTCCACTAGAGGGTGTCAGCAGCAGTGTTGGGCAGGTAGCGGGCAGTAGGTCTCGAGATTGGGTAGATGGGGCAGCCTCTGCCACGAGGGAAGCAAAAGACACGTACCGAAATTGCCATGTCGACGCATCAGATGATTGAGTGCCGATAAAATGGAGAGTTGAGGTTGGTGGGTTGTCTTCGCGATGACGATTGAGGGTGGGACAGCTCGGGACAGCTCTGCTGGCTGGGGCGACTTCAGTCAACCACCAAGCACCGCCACACCTCTGGAGTGGCTGACCGAGGTTAGTAGTTATGTCACCACACGTCACTGCCCGACGCCGCCAGCGGTTCAACATCAATATCAATCAATTCTTTACGATGCGCTTTGCCTGCACTTTTGCCCACTACTAGTCAATTCCGACCCAGACTAGCTGTGGTCCTGGGTATCTCGTATGCTACTCCTATCCGCCATTATTCATCCAGCCAATCCCTAGTCCCAAGCTCCAAAGCAAAGTGTACCAGCCCAAAAGCCAAATTTCCCACAAGCCAACACGCACAACGCCTAGTCATTCATTTACTCATGATAGCAACCACCCAGCTTACTCTGCCTTCGGTCCAGTAGCCGCACCGTCGTCCTTGGGGGTTTGCTGCTCCGGCTCCTCCCTCGGACTGGCCAACGGGCTAGTTACACCCGCAATACTTCCGCTAATGCTATCCGGCCGTCCAAGACTCAAGGGGCCGCTCCGAACACTCGCTCCGTCGCCTTGCTTGGCAAGAATGCTGTTCCTCTCACTGGTGATGGCTGGAGCCACGCCCGTAGATGAGTAGATGCTGTTTCGCTCTGGACCCAGGCGTGAACTGCTCCCTGGAACTCCAGGCGTCGTCGGCATGCCCCCTTGGTCAATGTTGGCACTGAGAACACTAAGCGGCAGACTCTCACGACTCCCTCCCCAGAGTGATGAGGGGGCCAGTGCGCGCACCGATGCGTCGGTGTCCATGGAGCGGCGACGACGACGCTTGCTAGACGAGGCCAGTGTCAAAATAGAGGCATTGTCGGTCAAGAGATTATTGGCAGTCGCAGTAGTATACGTGGTTGGGTTGCTGGTCGGTGCCAGATGCGACGGAATTGCCGACGCCGGGGACGTGGAGGGAAACGGCTGGCTGAATTGTATGGATTGCGTGTTGCTATGCGGGGGCGCCGCAACATACGGTGTATTGCCGTTGGGAGCCACAGATTGAATCGTGGTCAGAGTCGTAGTCAAAGATCGTACCGAGGGAGCAGGGCTGGAAAAGGTGCTATCCCCTCCTCTTCGGCCGTCTATTCCACCACCAATGGTACGACTGGTTCCAGCCAAAGAACTAGCTCCTCCGTGGCTGGGAGCAATAGATCGTGGAGCTTCATTTTCCGTTGAGACGGTGCCGGCCGTTGTAGGCGCAAGGCCAAGGCCGTCAACGGAGCTTCGTGCGGGCTGGTCAAGCGACGTAATACTTCCGGTTCGGGCAGTAGTAAAGGAGTAGGAGCTATCACCATTCGTGTCGGCGTGGCTCGTCCTGTTGACGGGGCCGTCGAGGCCATTCGGGTCGTTGGGGTCGTTGGGCTGGCTTTGGCTCACATGGCCGGACTGAGGATAAGGGTTGTTCAACTTAGGTCCGCGCTTCATCTTCATGTGTCGCTTGGGGCGGTCGCCGTCGGAGGATGACTTGAAATTGGTCAATTTCTTGACCCATGTTGAGAAGGGACGTCGCCGGTGCGCCTGTCGGTCTGGAAGAGAAGAATTCATTAGATGTGTGTTTTGTGAGGTAGAGAAGGCTGGAAAGGGCTGGGCAGCGGCCATCTAGCGCGGCGGCAAGTTTGACGGTGCAAGGCTTGGGCTAGCTTACCGTGAGGTTCATTGACCATATCCATCGCGGTCATGACAGCCAGGCAGGTAAACTTGTTGAAAGCTGGAGTGTTTGCGGTCGTCCCAGCTGCCGACGGCAGGCAACAGACGGTCGGCGTTGGACAAGGTTATACGTGGGAGCAGACGTCGAGGTTCTCGGGGTCTGAGGAGCAGACCAGAGCCCTTGCTCTGTCTGCTTGGCTGTGGGATCACGACGTCAATCGCACGTGTGTGAGGCGGAGGTTGACGACGGCCCTTGCAACTGAAGCGAGGGCGACACGGGGCACTCTGCAAATAAGGGTGGCGCTGGGGAACACGTCGTCTCAGGTGGGCGCACGCTTTAAACGTGAGAGGGTGATGGAGGACGGAGATGTCGGGGTGAAGTAGTGTGTCATTACGGATGATCGACACAAACCTTGAACTCCATCCAAACTTGGAACTCGAGGACGCCAGGGCCGCCGGCACTTGCTTGGGCCTTCAATGTTGGATGCCTCTGGAAGTATCCAGGTACCTCGGGGTGCAGTTAGCACCGTTGACCAGTGGGTTTAGGTCATGTCAGGGGTCCCAGGCCCCATCCCAGGCCCCATCACTCGCTGGCCCCGGGCGGTGCACCCGCTGTGGCTGCTACGCTTCAGCGCACCTTCCCCCTGTAGCAGGCATATCCAGTTTCAATGCTGCCGTGCGTCGCTTGATCGCTCCCAACAAGTTGCGCCACATGCATTCGATTTTGACTTCGATTTTCAGGAGCACCTGAAGCCTGGGTATTTTCGTACCCCTTCGCGCTGCTTGGTGCCCACGGGTTATCTGGCCCCGAGACGACGACGCCACAACGTTAAATGCTGAAAGAACAAACCGGAACTGCGCGCAGATTGAGGTCCGTGGGCTTTTTACCGTGAATAATTGGGCCCAAGGGGTCCCCAAGAATAGAATCATGCGGACACTACACCTCAACCAGACAACTTTACTGAGCAACTGGCACATTCCTCGCCCTGACGCTGATTTTATTCTCCTAGTGCTGTCTTACACAAAACCTTTGGTCTGCTGGGCTCGATCATGAAGCATGTACAAGTTACAAGCCCACCTGGGTACCCAGGTATCCTGGTACTCTTGATCGAGTGGAGCGTTAGCATGGGACCGGGTACTCGGTACATCCACCCCATCTGGCCCATCTGCCCCCACCATAGCTCAGCTTCAGCTGCTTCCTCAGCTCAGCCTCCAACTATCCACTTGCTTCAACCTCAACCACACACACACCTCTCACCTCGCGACTCTCGCGCCAACATGGGACGTGCGTATCATGTCCATCCGCCCCCTCCCCAAGGATGTCGTTGACAGAATCAAGTCCTCCTCGGCAATCACCTCCCTAAACCAAGTTGTGTGCGGTCTGCTCACCAATTCCCTGGACGCATGCTGCACCAAGGTCAACATCAGCCTCGACTATGTCTTGGGCAACTGCACCGTCCAGGACAACGGGCTTGGTATAGAACCAAGTGAATTTGAACAAGACGGCGGCCTGTGTAAACTACATCGTGCGATGCTGTCCCGTGTTCATATGTTGCAACATGCAAGATGTGGGCTAACACTCACCAGACACATCAAAGAGTCCGCCGAATCCAAACATCCACGGCAGTCATGGCAGCTTTATTGCCTCCGTCGCCACCCTTTCGCTCCTGACAGCTACGTCGCATCACCGGCACCACGCATCTCAAGCATCTCTATCCGTTCACAATGGCAAGGTGCTTGCTCGCCATGTTCCAGCCCTGCCAGACCAGCGGTTCGAACTATTCAGCCATGGAACCCGCATTAGCATTCGCAATCTATTTGGGTCAATGCCCGTCAGGGTAAAGCAGCGAGGGCTCCTATTTTCTGACCGTGTTCGGCTCGCCAGAGAATGGGAATCTCTGATGCGAGATATTGCCGGGCTGCTGCTGGCGTGGCCAACCGAAGTGTCCATCTCGTTGAGGGAAGCAAATACGCAATGGGAACAGCGCCTGAGATCGGGCAATAATGAGTTTGTTTCGCGGATTTCACGGATATTCACACAGTCAGGCCTTGCCGGTAGCGAAGACGCTGGCTCGTGGGTGCCCGTATCAGCGTCATGTCGCCGTGTCCGCATCAAGGGAGCCATCTCAACAAACCCGGTCGCAACTCGTCGGTCGCAGATAATGAGCCTCGGCATTCGACCGATACCCAACAGCTTTGGCACCAATGTACTTTACGAAGAGGCCAATAAGCTTTTCCAGGGTTCCAACTTCGGTGTGGTTGACACTGAGGAGCATATAGGTGGTATTCAGGGGAAGCCTAGAAAGGGCATTGAACGGTGGCCAATGTTCTATCTGGAGATTCACCTTCTCGGAACCGATGAAGACTTGGCTATGGAGGACGTCCTCGGGGACTCAAAACATAGTCTGCAGGCCATAATTGACCTTCTGAAAGTTGTCTGCTACGGGTTTCTGAAGAAGCATTTGCTGCAGCCCAAGCAAATCCAACGAATTGCTGAGGTGCCAGTCACTGCAAGGACCAGGCACCCTCCAAGACGTCTAACCGGGCAGTCTATATCCGAAGGCCAAAAGTGTTCTCGACTACCGTCTGCTGCAACCCCAGAACCAGAACCCCGACGACCATGCAGCCCATTCGATGCATGGAATCGTCTCAAAGTCGGGCGGGCTGTCGCTGAACCCAAGGTCGCCTACCAATCTGTTGAGAGTCCCGCTACAGCCGATAAGCCTACAACTCGCCGTCTTGTAGGTGACAGGGGTGTGCTTTTGCAAAGGCCATTTGACGATGCTGCTGAGATCGAACCATCTGTCCAGAGCCCACATATGAACGAGCCTGAGGTCCTCGTGGAGGCAACTACAGAAAAGAACAACACAAAGAGCCTTGAAGTAGATAGCAAGGCTGAAACATCGTCACCAAAGACAAGATTGACACGGCAAGTTGAACAGATTTCGGAAGGCAGGCCAAAAGCCCAACCCCAGGAATGGCTGCAGAACATCATACGTTCATGGAAGAACCCCGTCTTTGAATTAACGGAGCCTCGAATACCATCCCTGGACCAGGCCATTCCCGTAGAGCGGCCAGTCAATGCAAACTATGATGGGCCATGCAGCAAATTTTACTCCCAAGAATATCATGTACAGTTCGAATCAGCTGCCATGGCCCTGGATGGACGGCTGTCCCGAACTTCATTAGCTCAAGCTGAGGTCATTGGCCAAGTTGACAAGAAGTTCCTTCTCCTCCGGCTACCTCTGCACACACCAAACGTGGCCCAAGGTACAGAAGCATCATCGACACTCATCATGCTAGATCAACACGCGGCGGATGAGAGGTGTCGCCTAGAGGAGCTAATGTCTCAGTATTTTCAGTTAAATCCTCTGCAAGCTGTGACAGAGCTTTTAGAGAAGCCAATCGTATTTGAAGTTTCAGCCAGAGAATACGAGCTCTTGGGTCGATTTCATAGCCACTTTCGTACATGGGGTATCATGTATGTCATGTGCAAGACGAGCAGCATGAATGAGCACCAGATTGAGATCAAGTCTCTTCCGCCAAGCATTCTAGAGCGGTGTCGGACCGAACCAAAGCTGGTGATTGACCTAGTACGCAAAGAAATCTGGAAGCTTGAGGATAGAACTATACCACCTCAGCCGGTCTATGAGCCGGGCAAACCGTGGGTTTCCAGTTTCCACAACTGTCCCCAAGGTATACTGGAGCTGCTTCACTCCAGATCTTGTCGAAGTAAGGTGACCACAAATACCATCATATTCGTGCAGCCCGCTAACAACTCACAGGTGCCATCATGTTTAATGATGAGCTCGGCAAGGACGAATGCAAGCGAGTGGTCCAACGTCTATCGCGATGTGCCTTTCCATTTCAGTGTGCGCACGGGCGCCCGAGCTTGGTACCGCTGGTCGATATCGGATTAGGTGGTAGGGTGGGAGGCTGGGAAGCGTCAAGTTTGAGTGCTGACCGGTGGAAGAATTGGCTGGGGGAGTTGTCATGAGGTGTCAGATGAGCATCTTCAGAATAGAGCGAGTCGAGTCTTGGCTCTCTGCGCGAACCTTGTGAACATACGGTAATATCAAGAAAGAACCATGCTGCCCGAGATGTGGAGCCATCTGTTCAGTATATTTATGTATATTTTATTCAGCCAATGGTTCCTCGTGGCCAGAACACAAAGCTCGTTGGATAGCTTGGGCCGGCACACAGCATCGTGCACTAATGTATCACGCCCTCCTACACAAGCCCAACTACCTAGGTACGTTTGATAGGAACAGACACCAACGCCAATAAATAACTCACCGAACAAACGAAAATCAAGAAAATGAATGCGGAAGGACAAAAAAAAATTAATTAGTATCAATGTACGTTGTTTGCGCTGTTAAATGACAAAAAGAAAAGTGGCTCTCCCGCCGGGAATTGAACCCGGGTCTCAAGCGTGACAAGCTTGCATACTGACCACTATACTACGGAAGATGCGAATGACTGTGAGCAGTCATCGTAGTAGATGTTGTGATTGGGCAGGTGTTATTGGGGTATATGAACCAATATGAATGACAGTCCATCGGCTGTCACGCGACAGTTCGCACATTCAACACCATTCAGCCATCTAGACGTCTAACTACCAACGACCTCGCCTGGTCACGAATATTTGGCCCACTTCCACGCCGGCGGCAGGTGCTGCGTCCCGTCTATATGGCCAGAGAGTCGGTTCCGTGACTCGTTGCACAGGGCCGTTTTAGAGTTAATGTTGCCATGGCTTGCTCATTTGCGGCACCGCGGTACGAAATCCATCCATGTGAGCAAGAGGCGCGCGACTCCCCATTTATTATGTCTTGCGTGCTTCTTCGGACCACTGGTACACGGAGCCACTTACGACGAGAAACTCAACGTCCCATGTGGCTGAAGGACAAGAGTGCGCAGCCAGAATGCTCGTCAGGCCGAATGCGTTGCCGTCATTTATCGCACCGCCGTCGCCCGCCGGTTATATAGCATCACCATTGCGAATATCTCCCGTATTTGCTCCCGTGTCGCCAAGTCGCCGCCGACACCGAGTCCTTTGCACAACCGCCTTATAAGCAGACAGCCGTCCGTCATGGAGAGCGTGGGCGCCGTGGAAGCCACCCTCTCGAGCGCAGCGACGACAATCGCCCTCGTCCACCAGGGCATGGCGACGCACAAGCTCGGCCGCGCCGGGACCAAGAACCTCCTGGGCCAGGTGGCCGACCGCGGACCCGTCGACGGCCGCCTCATCGACCAGGCTAGGAAGGACCGGCGCACCGAGCAGTACGCGTACTACCTGCTGAGCGAGTACGCCCGGCTGCTGGAGTGGCTCGCGGACCAGCACTTCAGCGTGCCGGCCGCCGCGGTGAGCTGGTACGACCCGAGGCGCGTCGTGGTCGGCGCGTACCGCGTGCCCCTGGTGTTTGCGAACAGGCGCTCCCGCGAGCTGAAGGAGTTGGTGGACAGCATCAAGGAGCTGGCCGGGGAGCTGGTGGCGGAGAATGTGAGTGAATGCCTCGCCTTGCGCGTCTCATCGGCGTCTTTGACAAGGCGAACCGCAGATCCAAGCCGCTGTGAATGCGCTGCCGACTACGCTGTCGGGCGGCCCGCTGCTCAAAGAAGGTCGGTCGACCTCCGGTCTTGCTGGCGTGGAACGGAGCCCTTGGCTGATTTTTCCTAGATTTCACTGCCTTGGAACGTCGGACCGAGGCCGCGAGGGTGAGGGTGAAGAATGGTACTTGATGGGGATGCGTTGGGTTTTTTCTGCCCTGCGTTGCTTAGACAGACTGTCCGTGAGGGCTTGCCGTGTCTTGACTGGAGGCATTTGTACAATTTTACACCCGGGACGTAGTGTATTTGAGAACATGAATCAACTCGTTGAACACGCGGCCTACGATGACACCTTGAACAGATTCCCTGACGGTCTCATCACGGCCAGCAGGCGCGGAACCTCGTCAGTGCCAGCTCATCAGGCACGAGGCTGTGACATGTCATGTCCAAACGACTTCCCTCTTGAACCGTCACACTACCAGACCCCATCACCACTTCAAAGTTGTCTGCTCCCCAGCCCCCTCAACACAATCACATCCCCGCTCCGTCTTATACTCATCCGCCGCCGCCGAGGTAGTTACATACTTCACTCCGTTGCGCGGATGGGCCGCGAAGAACCGTAATGGTTTGAGACTGCGGGGGATGGACGTTGTGCAACGTCGGACAAATCGAGATGGGAGTCGGACCAGAGTCGATTGGCTACACCAAAACGGTCCTACCGTTGCATACTTATGTACATACATGCCCTCACACGGCAGTCGCGTCACCATCGCAGCCAGACAAATTGACAGGTCATAGTTGCCGGGTATCAAAGGTAGTACACGGCCCTCCAAGGGGTGCTATTGACACAGGCACGCCGTCAACAATGCCAATTGATACAAAGCCGAACAAGAAGAAAAGAAAAAAAGAGGCCCTCGCTCATGCCATCCCTTTCCCTTTATATAGAAAGACAAAAGAAAACCCTTGACTATCGCGCAAATACCTTGACTACTCCGTCGCCGCCACCGCTGACCACCCACCGCCCGTCCTGACTCCAGACGCATGAGCAAATACCCTCCCCGCGCATCACTCGGTGGCTCGTAATCTCTTGTGTACATGACCTCTTCTCCAGACTCCAGAACCGCAGCGACGCGTCGTGGCCGGCGCTTACGAGCTCGCGGCCGTCGGGGCTCAGTGACAGGCTGGAGATGGCGTCGGGATGAGCCAGCATGTTGTACGTACATTGGCCTAAGGGCAAGAGTTAGTAGAGCTGCCATGCATCTCGGCGGAGGGGAGCCGCATGGCGTATACGTACCGCTGTTGGCATCGAAGAAGCGCACGAATCGATCCTCGTGCCCCGAAATAATCGTGCCCTCCACGCCGGAGCCCGCCATGGATCGCCCGCCCGTCGGGCCCCCGGCCGCATTCTCCTCCTCTCCCCCCAGGCTGCTGCCATGGTGCTGGTTGCCTTGGTCTAGGCCAATCGTCGTGGCCACAATGGCGTTGACGCCCGTCTTGACGGACCCGTCGTACGTTTCCATGCTGTCCATCGACCCGACCTGCTCGCCTGTTTTGGTATCGTAGACAATGACGGCGGCGTCTGAGTAGGACACGACAAATGTTTCGCCAGAGGTCCCCAGCGGCGCGATGCACGTAGGGCTGCCCTTGGAGCCGTCCCCCCGCGAGACCACGTGCACCAGTGTGTAGTGGAATGGGGAGCTGGACGCGACACTGGCCTGAGGCGAGTTTGAGAAGCCACTGCCAGAGCTCATCGAGTTGCCGCGGACTCTGCCACCGCGGCCAGTCATGCCCCGATTCGAGCCTGGCTGCGGTGAGCTCAGCTGTGGCGGAGCGCTCACTGACCAGATACGGACTGATCCGTCTGCGGCTCCGGAAACGAGCAGTATGCGATCTGCGTTCCCGTAGGGACTTGATGTACCGAATATTGCACCCAACGTGGTGGGCAAGACGCACAGAGCCCACACGGCATCCGTGTGGCCCTCAAGAGTTGCCTTGGGATCGACTCGCCCACGCTCCCACACACGAATGGTGGCATCTTGGCCGCCAGAAAATATCCATCCATCGCCTTGCGCACGACCACCAGTAGAGAAGTTGGGCGCAGGCGACCACGATGTCAGACTCAAAACCGAGCCGGAGTGGCCGCGGTGCGTGAAATTGGCGATGACATCCAAATCAGAGGCGGCTCCGGCAAACGGGCCAGGATGGTCGAGCCTGGGAATGTGGAACCGCTTAATCATGCCGTCGTCGCCAGCCGTGCAAATCTCAGGCTCTCCCGGGCTGCCACCACCAGAGAAGATGACTGTGCGGACGGTATCTAGATGACCCCGTAGTCCAAAGCGCAGCTTGAAGTTGCCACTGTCCGACTTTTGACTAGATCCCAGTCCCAACTCATGCTCGCCGCTGCGTCTTCTTGACATTGAGCCTTTTCTCCGATGTCCACCGCTGGGCACTCTGTTGGGCGACTTGGGCAGGTACTCGGCGTTGGGAAACACGTCGGTGTCGGGACGGTTCGTTGCAGACGGGGGATTCTGTGGAACAGCACCAGGTTCTGGAAAGGTACCTTCCGGAAAGTCCCAGCCATCGGGATCAGCATTTGGCGGAATCTTGTCCCTCGACTCCGTCGCGTCCTGAATACCACCCAGCGCCTCGGCAGCGTGGTTGGGACCTGGCAGGTTCTCTTCGACGGGACGGGTCGTCACGGATACGGGGGCAGACCAATCGCTGGGCGTCCCATACATGGCCTGCTGATTATCGCCGGCAGATCGAAGCATCGGCTGTGGCTGTAGCTCCTGCTTCGGAGCAAAGTTGGCCGGAGGCTGCTGCATTTGAGGCCCAGCATTCTGGGGAGGCTGCTGTCTCGCATTCATCACGTTGAAGTCCTGGACGTGGTTCACATTCTGTCGTTGCATCTGGTACTGTCGATCCATGTGCTGGGGTGGTGGCATCCCAAATTGTTCAACTTCGCGCAAGTCCTCAATCATCGGAAGCGGTGGTGAGTCGCGGGGTGGTAGGGGGTTGGCGGGCGTAATCATCAAGTACAAAAATTCGGATTGGCACTGGTCGAGGAACGTCTTCAGCTCGATTCTTTGCGTATCATCATCGGGCTTCTCGACCTCGATGCCCTCAACGCCTGGTACGCTGTATTTATCCGACGAAGCTGCATGTTTGTTAGCTGCATTGCCATAGGGGCTCTTTGGAGATGACGGAGCGCAACTCACTTCGAAGCTTCTCCTGAATTTTGGCAGCACGGTCATTCTTTGCCGCCTCGGCGGCTTCCGTAGCCGCTGTGCCCTTCAGCTTTGCCGCCTGGTCTTTGACTTTTCGTTCAAGAATCGTAACATATTTCTTGAGGGCCTTCTGAGTGGCATCTGCTCTCCGTGCCTGGCCCTCGAGATGAGCTATCCTCCCTCGCATCTCCTGTTTCTCGATTTCCCAGGCGTTTCTGTCTCGCTCATGTCGATGCCATTCGGTCTGCAAGAACCGCATAACGCCTTGCAGAGTATACTCGGTCGCCTGAGGTTGATTTGTCCCGTTTGGATGCATGCTCATGCCCATACCCATACCCATATCCATCCCGCCCACGCCGTTGCCCACGGTCGGGCCCATCATGGCGCGCCTCGATTAAATAGGCGGGCTCATGGAGAGCCTACACCAGTCGAGAGGTTGGTTCGCAAGCTCTGCCGTATGCTGGCAGCAACGAGGCGTCGGCGGTTGCGCGTGCGTACAAGATGGCTCAGGATGTCTTGAAGGTTGCGGTAGTGGCGCGCTTTGGGGCTGGAAATCAATGAGGTTTATCAAACTGGTCGACTCTTTGCTAGTGTAACTCTACCTTGAGCTCCCGATGTTGCTGTTCCTTGCTGGGATGCGGGTGCTCCTGCTGGCCAATTAGAGGGCGTCGTTTGCTTTGAGGCCGTAAGGCATCAACTCGCCCCTGGGCTCTCCCTCGGTAGTGGGTCCATGTCTCCCTGCCGACTTCAGGAGACAGAGTACACGATGAGAGCTCGTCATTGGATTTGGCTGCATGGAGTTTGTGTAAATTCCTAATTTGCTGCGAATACGTGCATATGCACCATGTATCTATCTCTTCTCGGCGTTTGTTAACAACTACATTGGGGTGCGCACGCGAGGCTGGGACCCAATCGTGTCGAGGGATGTGTGGATTATGAACAGAACATACGGGTACTCCATCGCTCAAGTACCAGAGACCCCTAGACCTGTATGAAACTTTGGGCTATCTGCGAAAATGCAGGAAAATATCGTAATTTCTCTTTATACTTGTCCGCAGCTCCTTTTGGGTGTAGGTTCTCTCTCAACGGCGAGGTTCGAGACGACGACGTAATACCGTTATCTGAGCATGTTGGTATTCGGCTTCATATTCACCATTTCTATTTGAAATACACGTGTACGTGCTGAAAAACTCTAATTCCATGGGTATCTATCCATCTATCCATTTGATCCAACTCCATGCACCTCGAATGTATTACAATTCCAGCTCTTCAACTTCCATGCCACAATCAACACATGTCTTTATCGTCATGCCCTCCTCATTCTCTACAGTGCGGCCCCATTGATGGACATGCTTCGTATCTCGTATGGAATCTCCGAATTTGTTTGCGCCCGACTTGCCTAGCGTACCAGCCTGTCGTCGGAAGGCGTCTGTTCGAGTCTTGCGCTTCAAATCCATCAGTTTCTCTTTAAACTTGGCCTCTTTCCGCGCCTTCTTTTGTGCTTCTCGCCTCTCATACTCTGCATCCAGCTTTTCTGCAGATCCCCATTTCGTGTTGACCGCATACTCCTCAACTTGGAATCGCAGGAACAGCATCATGTCATGCCAATGAGATTTATGCGGGTTCGGCTTCGAAAGATGGGGCAAGAGCTCTGGGTCTCGCAGTTCGGCTGTTACGTGTTAGTAAGAAAACGAATATGAGCAAAAAAAGACTCACGGTCGGTTAATAAATAGTCCTCCTTGCACTCCGTCTTGGTCAGGAGTGAGTACTTCTCGGGGTACTTTTCCTTGCACTTGTTGCAAACGCAAATATGAAAGACCTCCTCCCAGACAAAATCGATCTCCAGGCTCTTGCACTCTCTACACTTCTTCCTTTTCTCTTCATCGTCTAAAACACTGATTCCAGGCTCGAATGGGCCCGCCTTTTGTCGTTGAAGCTTCCGGATTAGTTGCATGCGCTCCCACTCCTGGACAGTCATGTCCTTTGGTCGTTGCTCATCTTCCTGTCCCGGTTTTTTTGCGCCCAAGGCGTAGTTATGAGGGTCATCTTCTGTTGTCAAGAAACCACCCTTTGTATCGGTCATGGAGCTCATATTGTAATCGACAAACTTGGTAAATTTGCGGGCTGGGCGCAAAGCCTCTTCGTCGCCTTTGTTACGGCCATCGCGGTTGGTCCCCGACGCCATCGCAGACGAAGCTTGCGAAGAGATTTCACTGTACAAGCGCTTTCCATTTACTGGCTTGGAGACGTGAACATGTTCAGTGGGAACAAATCCAGCCGCAGACTTGGGGGTGTTGGAAGTCTTGCCAGCAGCACGTTGCTCGGCTTCACGTTGGTCTCGGATGGCTTTGGCACGCAATCGATTCTCTTCCTTGAAGATATCAGTAAGTTTAAGCGAATGAAAAGACCAAAGGCTTCGAAATGGCGATGAAATGACGTACGATTCGTCTGGTAACTTCGGGCGTCGGTGGCGAGGCGACAGGTGCCGTTGTAGACGGAGGTGGCGTTGTCCCTCGCTCCATTGAAGCTGGAGCTGACGCGGCGGCACGTAATCAGATAGGGAGCGGGAGTGTAGGTCACGAAAGATTCAAGTCGATGGTTATCGCTACACAAAATACGGCTGTGTTAAAGTGGTGAGACGTGAGGATGCTCAAGCTGCGACAAGATGTTCACGATGATGCGAAGTAGAGGGGCCAACTGTGGGGGGGCGGCCGGATGCCGGATGCCTGATGTCACTCGCACCTTCCTGCGCCAAACGTGACTCCGCATCAACAGATGCACCAGAAATACGCCATCTCCCGTCCAAGGAATTGAGCCACTTGTAATGTCTGCATTTCATTTTCAAAGTCATGGAGCCTTCACTTTTACTTGGTCTTTTTATTCAACCACCAAATGAAATATGAGTTGCAAGTCGAGATCATGATTGTTGACCTGTTCGTGGACTGCACTCGGTTCCGTCATGATGCGAACCCAGGTTGCCCAGGCATGCTCGGCCTCCTTATTCCGCCCCGGGCCGCATCCCTGTGATTATTATCTGACCGGTTTGGCTGAGAGCGACCAAGCAGTTATAATGAAGTCTGCATTCACCAAGCCGTACGGGTATCGCATCGTTGCCAGCTTCTCACGTTCAATCCTGCGCCAAAAGATGCCAGCTATAAGAGACATAGTATTTGGGCTGTTGGCGGCAGTGATAGGCACAGTTCGTGCTGCGGATATAATGAGGTCATTACTTGCTACGGCCACGACGGATCCGCCTGGGCGAATAATACTCGATGCCCTGGATCTGATGCATGCGGCGGCATCGATGCACATGTCCATCGAACCGACTGTGTCACAAACCTGAAGATGGACCTGGTACTTTAATCAGGGGGGCTTGTACAGTCAAACCTTGGAAAAATGCCTATGCGCCCAGATTTGCGAATACGGCACGTCTGGTAAATTATACCAATCGGCACAGCTACACGGTCTCGATGGCCCGGCCTTGGGTACAACTTTGGGAGCGAAGCCATACTTTTCCAACCTTGACATAAGCAGCTGACGCCGTGGACGCAAAAGACGAGATCAAGACAAACAAATCTGCCAGGCGGTTTCCCCGAGTTACGATTTGTAGCGACGGCTCATTCTGCTCCGACAAGGATGGCATCGCGTGTTGCGGTCAGAAAACGGGCGAATTTCGGGACAAAAACGCCAATATTGCTAACGGTCCCGCAACAACAACTCTCTCGTGGGGCCCAGAACATACACCATCCGGATACCAGACCATCGCGACGACTGCAGGCTTGGCCTCTCAGACACCTTCACCAACTCCAAAACCAGACCCCAACGACAACAACGCCGTCAAAATTAGCAAAGGAGTCGACATCCCGGTCGGTGTTATTGCCATCGGGGCCATCGCAGCACTCTTCTTCATGAGACGTGGAAAGCGAGCGAGAGCCAGCACCAGTGCGCAGGAGCTCCCTAACAAAGGCGGACAAAAAAGGCCCAGGACACCTGGGTGCCGGCCCGCTCCCAGGAACTAGACGGGTCACGAGAGCCAAATACACCAGTCTGAACTCGCAGCATGGCAGTTTGATTTTGCGAAGTTGCATTGGATAGAATCACATGTCATATGGCACGTTGGCCAGGGGGCGTTTGGTGTACATGACAGGCCTAGCGATGGAAGCATAAGCCGGGTGACTTTGTCTGCCCATTCGATGCGCCGAAACGCGGGCAGACATGCAAGTCAGCAAACGCGCATACCTGCCACGCGTATAGCCACATGGCAACATGGCGAGGGCTGCGTATCCATTGATACCTCTCAAAAAGGCAAGCACTATTTATCGAGCAGGCGCAAGCAGACGCCGTATCCTACGACGAACCCAGCACATGTGTCATGGTCCAGGGATAAATAAGTACATGTGAGATGTACGACTTTCGTAGAATGTACATGCCTTGTCTTTCTACCCAGGGGCGTGAGGATATAAGAACCAAGTTCCACAAGTAGGATATTCATCGTGCCCTCGGAGTTGGCTGTTCCCATTCTGCGACTGGTAAACCGGAACCAAACAACGACCGACAACAGCCTCTTTAAAAGTTTAGTGTGGGCTTAGCCGTACGTAGTTGCGACTCGGGGCACAAACAACAGCCAGAGTCCTATGCGCCGCGCACATAGTAGTTACAACTGCTACACCTCGACCAGGGCCGGCATCCCCAGGCGCTCTTCGTCCTAAGAAATAACTACATACAGTACGCTGTGCTGCGTCGGGAGGCGGGAAACGCCACCCGGAGAGCCGGCAGCCCCTACGACACAGTGGCTGAATACGACCAGACTTCCACCCACGCCCGAGGGCGCTTCCAGGCTCCGGGGCAAAGGCGTGATCAGCGTCAAGGAGTTGCGCAAAATAGTCACCCGACCCAAGCGGAAACCAAACGGCCCCCGCGGGCAATTCGCATGAAGCCACTGGATCATTCTGGAATAAGCTGGCGATGGAGGACACACGCTGCAGGTCGTTGCGGCGGCAGGGAAACAGGGAAACAACTCCTTCTTGTATCTGACACCGTCATCATGTACTAGCAGCAACCACTAATACGTACGTGCATGTGCGTCTCGTCACCACGCGACAGTGGAACCACAATGCCCCCCGTCGGCATGTTTATAAGCAACCCGGTACTTTATGCCAGCAACATGGTCATGTTGTAGGGGCCCCGTCACCAAACGCACCTCACTGCCTCGATGGGGAAAATCCCGAGCCGAGGAGCCGCGAATTCCTCAAAGGAAACCAATTACATTCCATGGTACAGACATCTAATACAATCCAACAAACCCGGTGGCTTATCGGCCTTCAACCCCGTGTTGTTATTCCCGCCCCAAGGATTCTGCTTGTACCAGAAGCATCAGAAAGCCTCTCCCACCCCCCCGGGCCCCCAGCATCGTCTATGCAGTTGCCACGTGTTGATTAGCCGTGTCCCCTTTTCCCCGTCTACTCTTCCTTGGCGCCGCCGCGGCCCGACTTCTCGGCAGCCTCGACGGCCTTCTTGTCGCTCTGGGCCTGGCCCTGCTGCATGGCGCTCATGAAGCCGGCGGCCTGCTTGAAGGGGCGCTTGAGGTCGCCGCTGGCGGGCTGGCCGTAGATGTGGATCTTGACGAGGTTGCTCTCGAGGGCGCTCTTGACGGGCAGGATGCTCTGGATGAGGAGGGGGTTGGTGTACTTCATGTACAGGTGCATGAAGCCCATGATGGCGATGCCCATCATCTGTCCGCGGAAGAGCGCGCGGAGCTGGTCCTTGTCGTAGGCCTGGATCGTGGTCGTGACGAGCTTGCCTTCTTCCGTGGAGCCCATGGGCGGGGGCTCGACGTACTTGAGCGTCGTCAGGTCTAGTGTACGGGGTTAGTTTCTTTTCTTGTTGCGCTCTATATTCGACGACCACCAAGGTGCGAGCTGGGGTTTGTTCCGCAAAACAGGCCCGAGACACGAGGGTTAGGTAGCCATACCCTTCTTCTTGTTGATCTGCGATCCAATGTACAGGTACAGCAGGGCAATGAGGACATTGCTGCCCAGGTAGACGGCGCGAACGGTGTTGAGGACGTTGGGGTCGTCAAAGGGAATGCGCTTCGACACCTGCATCATGCCCAACATGATGACGAGGTTGGTGCTATCGAGGGCAGGACGTTAGCATACATTGTCTTCCGGTACAGATTTGATGCACATGTCCTCTGCATCGGGGCACATGAAGCCATGCGACTCGTGATATTTCCCGATGGAGGGGGGGTCGAACACATGTCCACGTGCAGAGGAAACAAAGATGCACTACTCACATCTGGGGGTTGAGGCCGGCCATTGTGAAGTCAATAAATAGGTGGACAGGCAGGCGACAAAGAAAAGGATAAAGTCGACAGTTGGCAACAATGTCGACAAAGAGCGTAACAATGCAAAACGTGCAACTCTAAAACCGGGGACGTGGTCGCAAGGCTCCCAGGAAGTGACGAGGAGAATTATTATGGCTGGTCAGGGTCAAATGTTTTCCAGATGGTTCGCTGGCCTTTTTGCCTCAAATGGGTGGCGGAGGCGTGGCTGACGTGCTCTGGTTGGCCGCAGAGATCCGTGGCGTGCAAGGGGACTCACAGCCTCAGCCACAGCCTGTCTCTTCTGTTAGAAACCTTTTTCCGGATCCGATTTGACGTTGATATTTTGGGCTTGACTTGATGCGACATCCTCTCAACTCATTAGTCATGGTCAATGTCTCTGCACGCCATGGTGAAATGAGAGCTCAATCCATCACTCTACGGCATGGTGTCGAGGTGCATTTGCCTGCATTCCTTGGAGCTAAGAGGAAGGGTTCTCTATTCTCACTTCTCAAGCAGAACCTTCAACTCCAGGCTGAGCAAGCAGGACACGCTGTTGGAGAGGCGATTTGCAAGAAAAGTGTGGGAATTAACGTCCTACGGTTCACCCACTACCGCTGAAGAACCTGTTTATTGAGCATATGCAACGTATCTGCCCGTTCTGCCAACGACCGAGAACCACAAAGAATACCAAAACTCAACAGTGGTGTAAGCGTCATCGGGCGCATCAACTCCACGATGGATTCGAGTGTTCTTGACGTGCATTTTGTACAGCAGATGTCCTCCAAGTATCCACAGACTCACATCACACTTTAAAGCCAGGTTGCATAAAAGATTCTGCCCACCAAAACGACGCATAACTGATAGTCGCCTCGGTTCATCAAATATATAGATGAGCAGCACATTAAGGCATTTCCGGGAACAGCTTTGCTTTGAGGTCAAGAGGCCGCTTCGGCATCAATACCAGCGGCATCTCGATATATCATTTCCTCTTCCCTAGGTCCAGGGCCGAGCTACGTCCGCCATATGGCATTGCAGATCTCCCGAGTTGCCGATCTTCTCGGCTATCAGGTACGCTCAATTCGTAAAGGCGGCATTGGTATTTTGCATGGCTCAGTTGCGACCATGTGCCTGTGTCAAGGAGTGAACCAAACGAACCAGAGCGGCACGGTTATGCCGTCGTCTTTCCGCAACTGCAGT